ATGGATGCAGCAAAACAGCTTGAGGTTCCTGTCAGGCTTAAATGTTGATTTCTCTGCTTCTTTTTTTTTTTCCCTGAAGATTTCCTTTTTTCATTCTGGAATTAGCGTTAGTTCTTTGTTGTCGGAGACACGTGTCAAATGAATATTTCATAATTGGAGAAGTTACGAGAGAGAAATATGTCTCGTAAAACATGCATAATTTAGTAGGGTTAAATTAATGGAAACAGGGCGTTTTTGAATTCTGTAACACATTCACTGGCAATTATCACTACTGCTCTTCATTTCGAAGAAAGAGGTGTTTAAATTATAATTAAATATTCAAATTGTATTTCCTGTGCATGGCATCAATTACTTTATTTGATAAAGTGACAATTTTTTTTCTTAATATTTTGTTGGTTTTCAAATTGGGATGATCTTTTTAAGAGATAATTTCCGGACATAAGTTTGCAGTGCAGATAGTGACTGGATGTAAATTTTTACGTTTCCCTAGTAACGGTTGACAAATCAATTGTATAACAAGAAGCGGGCTTTGTTGACTCTCTGCTTTACAAACACCTTGTCTTGGCCAAGGAAACGAGAAAATAATAAATGTAACCCACTTGTCGAAGTGAGTTTTCATTAGTCTGATCTAAGTGCATGTTTGTCGATTAAGCATGAACCTTGGTTTGCAAAGAGATGGCATTTTTATTTTAAACGTGTTACCTTCTAGAAATTTAAAATCTACACGAGAAATCTGCGGAGAGTATATCGTTTACCTGAAAATTCTTTAAAACATGTATCTGCCGAATGACAGAAAAAGATTAAAGGCGTTCGATAAGAATTGACATTTTTACATCTTTTGTCTGGTTCCCAGCTACCGTAACTGACAACTGGGGCTGCTGACTGTTAAACCTCTCCATTACAAAAATTAGCGTCACCTAGTGTGAACGTGTTGATGGTGCTTTATCAAATTCAGTTCCAGCAACGAAGCAGATGTTATTTTTTATGTAAAAACTGAACTCAATTACAGGTTTAGATTAACCCTTTTTTATTGGAACATACTGAAGTGATCAATTATTTTATATTACAATATTACAGATGCTCTTTAGGTGTCACGTGATTTATGAAGCGACAAGTCAATTCCTTGTGTGAATGATCAACATTTGTTTAATTAATTCCGTTGCAACGTGTACTTTTTATGATTAAGCAATTATTTCTCCAATATCATCAGGCTATAAAACATTCCTTTTTCCTTTTTCATTGGTTATCATAAACTTTCAGATTGAAGTGCAAAAATCAACATTACTGATGCTCCAAATCAAACAGAAACATCAGATACGATTGATCTTTTACAATGTCATCAAATTTTAATGAGCTGCCATTTGCTCTCTTCCTTTTTGCGGATGCTGCCATGACCGTTGGAACTAAGGCAATTGGAACCAAGGGAGGGGACGAGGGGCACTCACTATTTTGGTCCATTGAATGTGATGTACAGTTAGAACAAAAGTTAAAAAACCTAGAACCCAATCTTCCCCTGGGAGTAAGAATTTGAAGCTTGATTTCTTGAATAATGGTTCAGAATTTTAACGTCCCCCTTTGAAAAAGGATTTCGGTTGTTTTTTTTTCGGATAGCAAATATCATTTTTGGTATTTTAGTCCGACAAAAATATTAGCACTATGGCCCCCTCAAGTCTAACCCCCTCCATCTTCCCCAATCAAATGAAAAGCTTTTAATGGGCTCACGTGCAATAAATAACATTAAGGTGTGTGTAATGATATCGGCTACATTTAATATCCTATATCTGTCTTTTTACCCCTTTTCCATACATGTACATGTATAATGAACTCATCTATTACTCACAGAATACAGAATAGGATATACACATAAATTAATACGTTTTTTTAATTAGAGAAAGAACATATATAGACTGTTACCCTGTCTAATTTATCCTGTCCATTTTTAAAAATTATATATTGTATAAAATTAAAATATTTTTATACCTATTATAAGAAACAGATCTGTTTTAAATCTAGAACAAAAATGACCCATTAACGTACATAAGAAAAACGCACGGCCGTTTCATATATGCGAGCAAAGAAATTCTACAGAGGAAATATTTACTCATTAGACAAATTCTGAGCAGCAGTGTTAAACAAAACATCTAAACTGTTTATGACACGGCAGAACTAAACGCTATAAACAGAATTGTAAAAAACGATTCGAACACACTCGCCCAGCTACTATACCGGAGAACAGTCATTGTTTACCGAGCCTCGAGTAGCCGATGGTAAAGCTTGAGTTTTGCTTGATGGATGAAAAACAGACAAGGATTCAGCTTATTATGCTTCGCTTTCAATTTTCATGCACTGTCTGAACTGTTTTAAAGACACTCACAGCTGGTCAGGTTTAGGTAAACTTAGCAACATCTATAGAACTTGACCCGGTTTAACATTTTTATTAAGACGCTGTTTAAGTAAACACAAACGATGAAAGTATTTATCAATATTGATTGCTATGGAACAGCTGATCAGAACATTGTTTGAATTTCTACAAGATTTTGCAGGTTTCTCAACCATGGACGATAAAAACGGTCCATTAAAACAACAGATAAAAAAAACTAGTTGCCTTTATTTGCTGGATGAGAACAAAGAATTATTCGTTGTGGACAAATATTTAATTATTGATTCAAACACAAGCTTTTAATGATCAGTTATATTCCCACGTTTTTAGAAAAGATTTTCTAGCTAGGACAAATAAGATCTTGATAGTGAAAAAATTTGATTTTATTTACAAGACACTTCATCTCTTGAAAGCGATTTTGCATCTTTAATGTCATTGTTAGATGAAACATCGGTTTAGAATTATTCCTTATTTGTTATATTGCTACATTTTTGCTTTTTTAATTCCCTTTCCCTGTAACATAATTACTCCAACCAAGTGGATCACTTCTGTTTTACAATGTCCTGGTCAAAGACTGAATATTCTGAATACACACATACCCACAACTTCCTCTTTGAATACTTCTTGCTTTGTTTAAAATGTGTTTTATGAATCAGATGAAATCTGGACATGTATATAATGATAGCATTTTATTTAAACTCCCTTTGAGTAAGACAGGATGTTGTACAATGTCGGGAATTAACCTAGAACAAAAATTCAGCAAATGTCTTTGACATATTCTGGGCGTTTTCTAAGAACTTTATATTGCTAATTAATTTCCGTATTGGAATAAATCCATTTAATTTCTAATTTGATATACCAAGCTTCAAAATACACTTGCACATTTCGTTACGTCATGATAGTCATACGATACTTACTGTTTAATTACAAATGTTTAAATCTGTATGTAAGCTTAATTCAGTACATTCGGCCAAATAGAATGACATGCGTTTCTTATCTCTTCTTTTGTGCACGTCGAAAAAAGGCTATAGACCTATCCCTTATCGTTAATTTTCTGACGCAATTTAAAAAAAAAAGTTTAAAGAAATCCTTGAGAATTTGTCAGACATTACCACTTTTTCCTGGCTGAGTCCGGTTTGTGAATTATAGACCTAACGATTGTTGCCCTTTTAATCAAACACTTTTATTAAGCAGTCGGTAGAGTATTATTTGCTTTTGAGCATTGACGTCTAAGGGTGCATGGTGCATGGAGTTGTGATTGTTATCTGTATTTCCCCAGCCACAGGTATATCAACAAGTATACAAACACAGGTAGATTAATAATCATCACAAATCTTATCACCTGATCCATCAAAAAATACAGGCCAATGTAGGCCAAATTCATTCACTATTTTACCTTAAATCCTCCATGGTGATATATCAAATGTATGTATGTATATGAAAACAGTTTTCCCTACCATCTAGTGAAAGTGAATGAGGTGTACAACAAAGCACCGAGCACACCCCCTTTCTTTGATACCTCATTAGTGATTTAATATACTTTTTTTCTTAAAAAAAAGTCACTTGACGTTGGTAAATAACACATGCAAAGTTAAGGCATTATATTTTTATTTGAACAAGCATTCTGATAGTATTGCATTAGCAATACTAGTCCCCTACCGGCAAGTGTAATCTGGTTCCCGTTAAGAATTGAAAATGTCATAATTCCGTCAAAAATCAATGAAGCGGGACGAAATGCAAACTTAATCTATAACTAATCAAGGTAAAGTCACACACCAAAAATCAGCTCAATATCTGAAAGCATTAAGAAGAAAAATGCGGAAAACCCCTAAAAATTGAAAAGGCCGTAATTCCGTCAAAAATCAATGAAGCGGAACGAAATGCAAACTTGACCTGTAACTCATCAAGATACACTCACACACCAAAAATCAGCTCAATATCTGCTAGCGTTTAGGAAAAAAGTGCGGAAAACCAAGTGGGACAGACTGACAGACAGACAGAGGGACAGACAGACAGACAGACAGACGGACGGACAGACTCAGAGGAAACCTATAGTCCCCCCCCCCCCCCGGTTTCACCGGTAGGGGACTAACAAGCATTGCATTAGCAATACTAGTCCCCTACCGTCAAGTGTAATCTGGTTCCCGTTAAGAATTGAAAATGCCATAATTCCGTCAAAAATCAATGAAGCGGGACGAAATGCAAACTTGATCTATAACTCATCAAGGTAAAGTCACATATCAAAAATCAGCTCAATATCTGAAAGCGTTTAGAAGAAAATTGCGGAAAACCCCTAGAAATTGAAAGGCCGTATTTCCGTCAAAAATACATGAAGCGGAACGAAATGCAAAGTTGATCTATTACTCATCAAGATACACTCACATACCAAAAATCAGCTGAATATCTGCAAGCGTTTAGGAAAAAAGTGCGGAAAACCAAGTGGGACAGACTGACAGACAGACAGAGGGACAGACGGACGGACAGACTCAGAGGAAACCTATAGTCCCCTCCGGTTTCACCGGTAGGGGACTAATAACTTTGAATGATGATACACGTATAATCAAACATATGCATCTAGTATTCCACATATATGTAATGTAAAATTTTGAATGTTTTGTAGACACATGGCCGCCGAAAAGATTGTCGTCAGTGTAAAGCGGGGCATTATGCTAGAAGAACTTGTAATGAATTACATGATACCGTATGTGCACAGTGTCCAGTGGGTACATATACCCCTGAATCAAACACTCGTGAACTATGCTATTCTTGTTCTACATGCAAGGAAGGTTATTTCGTCATCAAATCATGTACTTTTAGACATGATACCGTTTGTGGTTCATGTGAACTTAAAGATTATAGTGAATTAAATAGTTATAGTACAAAATGTGCTCACAAGAGGAAAGGGAACCAAAATGACCAACCATTGGAAACTCCTTTAACCTCTGATGACTCTCTTGACATTTCGGGAGATGGTGAACTGATTGTAGATCATGGCTCATTAAAACCAACAGTTATTGATGACGTCATCATTGACAAGGAATCAGTGTCCAACACATCTCAGTTAGAGAAAGACGCATTAGAGGAGGGAAGTGGGGGATTTAATATTAGTGTACCCTCTGAGGAGCTTGAATCATCACCCACATTCACATCCCCACAGTCAATATTAGTATCAAATGAGTCAACTACAGTTACATCAAATGCTACCTCCAAATCTGAAACATTACGTACAACATACCCAGAAACTACAAACGTAACGTCAACATCTGAACCTAGTTTAAATACATCATCTACTATTGTTATATCTAACACTGAAGGACCAAGTTCAACCACTTCATCAGCATCTGAACCAACTACAATATCTACAACTGAACCAAGTTCAACAATAATACCTACATCATCAACACTTGAACCAAGTTCAACAACAATACATGCATCATCAACACCAGAACCAAGTTCAACAACAATACTTACAACTCAGTCGGAAATACCAGATCCAGAACCCGAGCCAGAACCTACACACAAACCAGAACCCAAACAAAGCACAGCTGAATCTAAAACAGAAGCAACGACAACACAGACAACAAGCACAACTCAAGCAGTGACAACAAAAACAACAAAAATCCAAACAACACTAGTGCCAACAACATCTACCACTACATTAACGACTACAAAGTCTAAGGACTACTTCATCGACAAAGATGACAGTATCATCATTGATTTAAGAGGAACAACAGAAAAGATTATAGACCTGAGAACGAAAAAGACAACAGCGAGTCCAAAATTAAAGACAACAACATCAAGGACGATAGATTTGGACAGAGACAAAGGAATTGTTATCGAAACAGGCATAGAAGAAGACGATGAAAAGGAAAGATATGATGTACCAGGTTGGTATATTTCCTATTTCGAAATTTTTAAATGTGTATTGATTGCCCAATCGACAGTGTTGAGTTTATGCACGGTGCCCTTTAATGCTTTATTTTAAACGTGTCTATTTGAGTATATTGTTTTTGAATATTGTAAATATTTATATATTGATCACATTTCCCCAAAAGGGATCCAGAAAGGGGGAGGGGTTGCAAGTTAAAGAGGAAAAGAAAGGCAACCATATTCTGGGTCCAAACTTTTATATGCCAATTCTAAATATTTTCCCCCAAAAAATGGGATTGGCTCGCCCAACTTCCTTAATGAATGACACGCCATCAGGTCTTAAGATAAACATGTAAAAGCAAGACAAAGAGATACAATGTAATTTACCGATGATAATATAAAGATAAATATTTCTATACGTTACAGCGGAAGTTAACTTAAACCACGATACATTATAATCATATAACCTGAAATATTTTACTGTCTTTAAATTTCCCGCTTCATCCAAAACTCTCAACTCACGTGCATGGTTTTTGATGCTAAAACGACCCCCTGATGCGGCCAGAGCATTAAAGAGATAAGAAACTTAGTTTTGGAATGTTATCGAAGAGTCTTCCAAAATGAATGTGTATTTCCTGAGTGATATTTGCTATGGGGGTTTGGCAGGGCATGTTTATTTTCAATAGTGATCAAACAACCAAATTATATTCACAAAACTCTTGAGCAGAATCTTAGAAATGAAAAAGCATCAAGCTGCGCCATCAATACGTCATTAACAAATTTTAAAAGTATAAAAACTTTAGTTTGTGCATCTATTTTTAATCCTTAGAGTATTATGTTTATTATATTTGAAGTATAAAATTCATCAAAATATAAGACGTCAATTTTTGAGACCAACCCCAATATTTTATATATCTTGAATATGATACTGTAACTTAAGAAAGAGATAAAATAGGGTGTTTTCGAATTTTTGTGTTATTGGGGTTTCGTCTAAACGGAGTATTAAACTTAGGCTGTGACTTTCGAGGTACGATTTTTGTAGCTGGAATCTATTTACAGAATTTCAAATTACAAAACTGTTGTCTGTCTAATGTCAATTTGATATCTGTAGCATGTTTTATGCATTAATTCATTGAACTTGTAGTTAATTTATAATGATCAAGATGGAAAAATCATGAAAATATTCTGTTCTTAATCGATAACGCCTATTTTCAGATTTTACACTACCAGAAACTGAAATCAAAGAAAAATCGCCATTGCAGCCTGGTGCTCTTGGTTCTGAGAAAATGGTAAGATCGACACGCCCATATAACGCCCTCGTAGTTAATGCAATTTACTGTACGTGGTATGCTTGATAAAACTCATTTATAAATTCCGTTTTTTTTTTTCAGAAAATAACATGATTAACTGCAGAAAGCCAGTTTTAAGAATTCTTTTTTGAAAATATATTACAAAAGATAATTTTATACTAACTTGTCGTATTGTCTGAGATTAACATAACTTTGAAATATAAACTGAAAACTTTTACCAGGAAATAATTGAGGTACCTACTTTAACATATCTTGGATTTGAAGTATTTGAATGTAGTTCCTCATCTTTGATGCTATTATCGAGTAACCTGTTAATGAATTCTAACAGGATGAAGAAGACGGAATTAAAGTGGGCATTGTCGTCGCTATTGTGATTGGCGCTGCGGTCATCTTCTTCCTCATCGGGTTTCTCGTCAGCAGATATTGCAGAAAGAGGCGGTCTGGAAAGTTTCATGTTAAAAACGTAAGTGTGTAATGAAAATATGGAAATCTAGAATTTTAAACTACAATCCTCTGATTTTTATTATTGGCTGTAAATCGATATAGGTAACACAGATTGGGTCGTGTTTTGTCTGATTTGTTTGGTCTTTGTTTCACTAAATGACTACAGGGTGCTCCTACATATTGGGCTAACAGCGGGTGCGACCTGTCGACGGGGGATGTTTACTCCTCCTAGGCACCAGATCCCATCCCTGGTGTTTCCAGGGGTCCGTGTTTTTGCCATGTTCACGATTTGTTTCAATTTGTTTAATGAATTTATGAGATTGATCACTGTTCGTTTTCTTCACCTTTTACATAGAGATACATTTTATGTAATCAATTAATCAAAATGGTGTGTCATTAATATGAATGCAATCGTTTTGAGGAAGACTCTTAATATTCTTGCATATTTTCTCTATATTAAAGGGAAACTAAACCAGCTCTTCATGTCAAGGTAGAAGTTTCTGAGCCATTTAGGACTGTTAAATATTGTTTACTGTGAAGACATCTGATCATTATGAACAGATAAATATGTGGTTAGACAGTTAATGACACGGTTAATTGTAATTGATTGCCTATGGTATGCAAGGACTGCATGTCCTGAATAGAACCTCCATGCTGAAAACTGGGACATACTGGCGTTATCGTTTTCTACATAGGATAAGTTATTTTGACGAAAAGGCAGGAAATCATACTTTTTTTTAGAATGAAGGTCAAAACGTTTATAATTATATTTTGTTGATACGTCTCGTGACAACTTGATATTTGCGAGAAAATCTTTTTACTACTTTAATAACTCCTATGTTGTACTATACTAGCTGTTATGAGTGTTTGACATAAAAAGGTATTTGATCTTTTCATAAGGCCTACTTATGGATGACAAGCTTTCAATCGCCCACCCACAGTTAAGCGAATTATGCACCAAAATAGCAGAGCACTAATCAAATAATAGCGAAAATCCAACTTCCAATGCAGTTTGTCCCCGAACGAGGTATTACATACCTTTTCATTTTCATACCAAGATCTGCAAATAGAAAAATCGGATCTGAAATAATTACCATGTAACTGACACATCAGTGAGTCAGGGAAATTAACGTTTCATGATGAATGGCAACAGTTTGAAATATTTTACCTATAAGTTATAACAATGTTTTTATCTTGTTCGAATCTGTCATCTATAAGAACCTTCTGTTTAAAAGGGTCATGTCATCTGAGTAGGTGCTTTTCCTGTTGCAAACATATCAAAACTCTATTAAACCATTTTAACGGAATGTTTAACATGTTAAAATGGAAAGTCATACCAAGTTTTAAAAAACAAAGGCGACAAAGACAAAGTCCTACGCAATTTTTAATCTAACTTAAAATTGAAGACATGCGATCTTGGGTTTGAACAGAGCCCAAAATTGGAAGATACAAGGTTTTATCTCCCATTATTTCCCCTGGTACTCGATGCAAATCTTTCAAGACATAGAAAGTGTTTTATGCTTTAATTATCATAACCATTAGATCTGATAAGCCCTTCGTAAACGTAGCAAATAACGAAATTCAAATTTGAAGTCTAAATCAAATTTTAAACTATAGTCTTCAAAAGATGTCAAAATGAAACAATATACAGGATCCTCATTTGATATGGGATTCTGTATGAAAAGAAACCAACTGAAAGATATATCTGTTACTATGGAAATTCTCTAATATATACCTACAGGATTTAGAGAGAGGCCCAGTTAAGGATAATGCTCCAACAGCTTTAGATTACAAAGATGGTGGAATTTATGATGAAATCGGCAAAGAAACGGTGACACTGGTCAATAACGGAAAACCCAACGGAACTACGCACTCTACAGAAGATGTGTATGCCGTCCCCGACAAACGCAAGAATGGCGAACCAGGATCACCAAAGATAGGTAAGAAAGTGGTACATGTACTTACTGCATTATGAACTGTCGACTTGGTTAATTACAAAATCTTAATTTTGCTCATAACGTTATTCAGTTTTCAAATTGTCATGTTGGATAATGTTCAACAGACAGTTTTTATTAGCTTATATGTTCTTTGTGATAATATCTCTTTTGATTCGTTAACCTGAATAACTTGGGCTAAAGTATGGATTGTTAAAGACGTGGACTTTTAATTAACGATTCTTAACTGTGATACTGAACAATAGATACATATACCATCTATTAAATCTAAATTTAATATGGAATTATTCTCTCACTACGAAATATTTTTGCATTTTTTTTCTCGCGTATGTCACTAATAAACAATTGGATGTTCTCCAGATGAACAGTTGAATAAAATCAAGTTTATTGACGACCCCGAAGAAGAGGCAGAACCGAAGGAAGGTGACAAGCTTTTGGATGACTCCGACGAGAAGTATTCCAGTTTCGCGTCTATTCCTAACGGTTCGGTAAAACAGAACGGTGACGTTGCACCCAACGATTATGTTTCAGAATCTAGTCCCATTTTGAGCTCAGGAGACACACATGAGAACCCGGATGAATCTGAAGAGGCTACCAGTGGAAAAGAAAGCGATGACGCAGAGATGTCGCCACTGCTTGAAAAAACGGAAGTTGATGAAAGCCAGAAAGAGACAAGCAGTTGAAAACATGAGATATGCTGAATTATCGTTTTATCGCATGTCTGCTCTCAAAAGATAGCCATGTTATATCCAGCGATTGCTTAAAAATTCAAAAATTATACCAAAGACCTGAAGAAACGTGTCTGCCGATGCTGGGTATCAACGCCGTGCCTTAGATTGTCGGAGAACAATTGCAGATCCCTCACCAGTAACGAATATTTCATGTTTGATTCTGTGCACTCGAAAATTTGAGGTTAAGCTATAATCATCACATTTTTTCTCTCTGATATAGTATTGTTCACATTTTCTTCCAACATCTGCGTCAGGGAAGTGATAAAGCAAGGCATGACAATATATATAAATTTAGTAGGTTTCAATTGGCTTTGTTGAGTTACAATTATTTACACGCCTATAATTTTTTTTACGAAGTGCAATGGTTGTTAATAATATTGATCAAACAGTGTTATTGTTGTTAGACCTTATGAATTAGTGCTTCTCTCTGTTTTTGTTTTGTTTCTCCGATTTTGTAAAAACACATTTATTAGTTAACATTTATTGAATGGATTAATTTTACAACATAGCAAAGTTGACATCGACGATTGGATGTACGATTTTTGTGTTTATCAGCATTGTGGTCATGTTCGTTACAGTCATTAATTATTTAATTTTATTTTGTACAAATACATCTCTCCCACTCATATTGTCCAGCTTTTTTGCGTCTTTTTTTTTTAATTTTCCCTGACTGTTATATAGATATCGTTGTGCTAAATGTTTGTGATTCGGTGTACATGATTTTCAGCCAGGAAGACGAACTTTTACTCGGAGTCCCTGCTTCTTATATAATGTACTTTCATTAATCTGAAATAGTTGTCTCATTTCTTGCATTATCATTTAACGTTAGCATACATGCATTATGTAACTACCAAGTAAAAAAACATGTACATTTAATTAAATGAATCCAGTTAACATTTTTTTCACACATTTGATGTGAAATTCTCGCATCTTATGTATTTGTTAGTTTTAACAACAATTGTTTTTAACTGTCTCTGATGAATTTGATCACAAAGTTTATACTAGTCTTGCCAATTTTAATGAGATGTGTCATAATACATGTATATTTATTATTTCATGAAAACATTACAGACTTCTCACTATAATCAGATTTTAGGGAAGTAGGGAATAATTTCGTGGCATTTTGTTCTCCATATTTATAACCTATAGTTTGCAACATCTGCATCAAGAAGAAGAAAAATTATTGCTTCAAAGTTGTAATAACGTTAATTGTGTGTCTGTATTTTTTATTTTAAGTATTTATTTCAAGATTAAAGAATTCAGATGGCTTGGAGTTAATTTCTGTCTTCCTTGATATAGTAGTTCTGTCAACAGTACCGCCGCGGAAGGATCTTCAGGAAACTCTGTGACAAGGGTAATAAATACAGACGCCATTGATCTCATCGGATTACTGCGCAGTAAACCCATAGAAAACAAATTGGTTATATTACATTGTTTACAAAAAAATGTGGGTGATGATAAAAAAAGATATTTACACCGCGATATTGAATCTTTTATTATTTAGGTATTCTTAATTTAAAAGATGGTATTTCAGTACAGCATTTGCGTGGGTATCATCCGTCTTTTTAAAAAAACAATATTTTTAAATATATATTTATAAATGAAGAAGATCAGTTTTTTTTAATTAAAACCCTAATCTCTATCTTGTCTGCTTAATTTAACAATCTTGGTGTTCTGGTAAGAGGTGAGAGAAACCATCTGCGATAAGAGAAGATGAAAAGGCATCCAGATTACAAATAATTACATCAACTATAAAACTTTGATAGCTCGACCGACCCTTTTTATTGAAAAGTTTTGATGTTCCAGGAGCACCTAAAAGAAACAAAAGGTCTTACTTACAAACCATGCAAACTGGGTCGTTACTTAACAGAAGGAGGCTCCTGCCAACTACCCTGGTATATTGCATGAAAACCTCACTTTTTTTTAAATATATGAAATGTTAACTGGTAGTTTCCTGAAAATACTGGTACCTACAAGTCTGTGGAATGTCTGCTTTATCCAGATAACAAAGATTATCTTTACAACAATAACAGTTTTTGGGACATAATTTTTTTATACTAAAAACAATACCCTGTAGTGTTTAAATCGAAAGACAACAATAAACAAAAAATAAATCAAAAATAAACGATAAGCAAGACTCAAAAGAAAAAATTAATGATAAACGAAAATCAAACTTCAACGAGACACGAAAATTAGTCAACAATACGCGAAATTCAATCAAAAGTCAATGACAGAGGAAAATCAAAAGTCAACCGTAAACGAAAATCCAATCAAAAGTCAACCATGAACGAAAATGATTAATCAAGTCAACCATAAAAGAATTTCAAAACGTCACCGATGAAATATGAAGATAACGAACAGTATTCAATCTCGAAAGTCCAATGAAACGATAAAAAATTTGGAGCAGTGCAAACACGGACCTCAAAATTTAGAGGTGGGATCAGGTGCCATAGAGTGAGCATCCCCTGCCGACCGGTCACACCCGCCGTCAAGATCGAAAAAACGGACAAATCCGTAGACAGTTCAGTGTATAAATAATGGCCTAACAATGAGTATGAAAAACGTCAGTCAGCATTTGACTCAATGATAGGTTGTATGTGCTAACATGGTCAGTGAATCGACCATAAAACTTGCAAAATGACTTCAAACGAGACTGTTGACATCCTTGTTTCATCAACTTGTTTGTCAATAGCTTGCCCCATTTTAGAAATTTATCATACGTACAGCATGCTCTAGCGTACCGAATCAACTGAGAGACATAAACTCCATATGCAGGTGATAAGTAAGTGAAGGAAGATGACGATTGAACAGTTGAAGTCATCACGTTTATCATAAAGCTTTGTTGTTAGGTTACCATTAACGTCTTTTTCTTGTAAAATGTCTAAATATGAAACAGATGTTATAGACTCTGTGGTATCTTTTATTTCAAGCTCAGTGGGATATATCGAGTCGACATAAGAATGGAAGTAACTATTGTTAATTGAAAATATTGTCGATGTATCGAAATGTCGAGTTAAAGGCCACAGCAAGTGTTTTCTTCTTCTCGTGTAGAAGTTTTTGAATAAACTCTGCTTCATATGAATACAAAAATAGGTCTGCTAATAACGGGGCTCAATTGGTACCCATAAGTATTCCAACAGATTATTGGAAGACCTGGTCTCCAAAAACTACATAGATATTGTCAATCAGAAACTTGAGCATCTTTTTAATATCAATTTCAGAGTACTTGTGTGTACAATCAGAATGCTTTTAACAAAATAATTTTGCACATGACCAATGATATGAGACGATAAAATCAAGTCAACTATGCACTAAAATACATCAAGAAAAATGAGATAAAACTTGCTTCTTTCCTAACCCGTGAGGCAAATATGAGAGCACAAGGTCTTTAGGATGGGACTGAAAACAATGTAAGTTCTCTCTCTCTCTCTCTCTCTCTCTCTCTCTCTCTCTCTCTCCAATCATGTGGTAGAATTGAAGCCATTTTAATCAAATATTGAAGTTGTGTTGGAAAGATACCTCTTATTTTTCCCGTGTGAATTATACAAAGCATAACACAATTATACAGATAGAATGACAACCGCTCTTACATAATTTCAGATCGATTTTGTTTATCTCAAGACGAAGTTTTCTATGGCGGAAAAGAGTTAAATTGCTAGAGCGCTCTGTGCTGTGACTTTTTTTTTTGGTCTGAATTAGCAAGAAACTAGTTTGAAACAATTCGTAATTTAGAGAAACAATTAGTAATACAAGCATATCAAGAATTCAAAGGAAATAAACATTAATTTACTTGCTAGTTGATATACTTATCCGGTTCTAATATAAAGTCTCCCTAAATTGTTCCGATTTTTGTGTAAGTTTTAAGTATGCATGGGATTAAATGTTTTTAGAGTCACTTTTATTCAGCCTTTAAACCGTTGTATAGCATTTGATGTCATTGCCACTTCTCTAAAACGACAGGTATACAGGTGATTAGACAAGACAAGAAATGGTGTTCCGATTTTACACCTTGATGTTTAACTAAGTGTGTGCTTGTACCTTTTCTTATTTCCCGTGTAGCGGATGGGTCAAGATGCTCTGATACAAGAGAAGGTTTTTGTGACTTAAAGAAATGTCATTTTCTGTGTAAATTTTAAGTTTTAAAATCCTTAGATAAAAGATAAGAGCTCGATAAAACCGAACACGTCTTTATCCTTCCTGTATGTTTTGACTGTGTCGATCTTATCGGTGAAAATGTAAACAAATGAAGTGAATGAAATATTACCAGACAGGGGAAAAACGAACCTCACAAGTTTTTTTTTTTTAAATTGAACAATCAAAGTCCATTGACGGGGGCCCATCCGAAAAAAATATATAGTCAATGTTAAAAACCCGATTTTAGTTCAATCGCACTTTTAAAGGCATGCTTCTTATCTGACTTCAACGTGCAGGGTAATACTGCACATCATAAATCTTTTGAATATCAAAAACTTGGCTCACGTAATATTTCCTTTTTCAGATTCTAATATTTATGTATCGGCCATGGTCAGCCGTACTTCCAAATATATGTTTTGAGAGAAATAAAAAAAAAAGCGTTTTACTTTTGCAAAAGGAAATACTGATTTTCAAACAATTAGTTAAAGCATATTATATGGAAATTTAGGTCGATGTCCAATCCTAATATGTATATGTTACATAAAGTATTTCTTAAATAATAAAAGTATAGGGAATATCCTTTGTAAATTACATGCAAAAATTTCCTTGTAGATAGCAAGTACATCTATATATTATCGATATATATCGTAGAGCTTCCGGATGGGGATATAATGAGCCATTAAATACGTGTAATTACATCGGTATGGTTATAATTTTCAGAGATTGAATGTATTTTCCAAGTCGCAGAAAAAGGACAACTCTAAAAAAGCTATAATTTTGCTATTTTTTTTTTATATTTTGAATATATTTTTGGTTATTCATACTCATTTTCTAACATCATTGACTAATGACATTGATAAGTCCTCTCCATTAACTGAACTATCATTGATAAGTCCTCTCCATTAAATGACCTATCATTGATAATTAAGTCCCCTCCAGGCCCGTAGCAACGGTTTCAAAATCCTGGTTTGGTCTAATACAACTGCTCCCTTGCTATTAAACTTCATAAAAAATTTTCTATACACATAAATCTTAAGCCCTTTTTGTGGCTTTTTCCAAATTTCTGGAGTCTCAATTTAATTTAGTTTGAATCTATGATGGATGAATGAGCATGTATACCAATTTGATATATTCTATGTCACATTAATCAACAAAAATTTTCTACGCCTACACTAACTAAGGAAGTTCTTACACAAATGTCATTTATGACACAGTGGTTCTGGAGAATTGACCCACCCAATGTCCGCTAAATACAGTAAATATACATTCCATCACTCTCCTATCTTTGAATGGTTTTAGTACAATGCAGCTTTGCAAAAATGATACCTAATGCACATCTCTTAATGTCAAAATCAAGTAAATGAAAGGTGCTTACAGATTTCTCAAATATGAGAAATGAGTCCTTTTAATGATCCTTTACAAATGCAGAATGGTAAAATAAGGTGTATTTGGACTTAATTTTTAGGTAAACTCAACAAAAAACATAGGTAAACTCAATGAAAAAAAATATTTTAAGCTGACATTTTTAATGAAAAATGAAGAAAGTTATTACTCTGTACAAATTTCAGAGTTTTTTTCCGTCTCAAAAAAAGAAAATGTATCAATATTGCCCAAAGTCTCTCAGAAAACAGTTTTTCGTATCTTTTTGACCTCTACTTTCAAATGATATTAAATTGAATGTAGGTATCGGGGTTTCTTTTGACATGATTTCAAATTGAATTCCACGAAAATGCTTCATTTTCTACAAAATTCTATTATAGCCGTAGAGTATGAGAAAAAGTATATTTAAATTGATTATGATGTCATAATGGATCTAGCATCAAAAAGACAGCCTAAATTCATTTACTAGATCTTGACCTTAAATGTACATACATCTCTAATAAATATTATATACACACATATTTTAAACCACAGACATCTTTCAATATTTTTTTACCTAAAGGTGTGGTTTTCTTTTAATTATCTTAATGCAAAGAACTACAACTCAAAATTTAAAAGAACATTTTATTTTACATTTTTATGTACAATATTTATACCACCAGGTAAAAATAACAGTAACGATGTGAATTAATCCACTTCAATTTGTGACATTTAAAATGCTCAGTTTGTAAAGTTTCAATTAAAATTGTTGAAATTTCATATAATCTTATATAAATGATATATAAATGATACAAATAATGATACACTAAAAGAAAGTCTGTCCATTAGTCCACACATTTTAGATGGGTACTTCAATTCACCAGTTTATGGACTGTACATTGAAATAAAATGTCTCTTCTCCTCCAAATACTAAGTGTATCATGTAATACTGACACACAATCAAGCTGACCAGAGATAAAAATAAACTTTCTGCCACGATGGTAGATAATCAATTATTGGTCCTAAAAATGTACAGGAATTATTTATTTTACATGTAAAATAATATGATGATTTGTAGCTATGTTTGTAGGAAATTTAATACATGTAATAAATATACTTACTCAATAATATTCCAAGACCAGGTACATTGTCTGCCATAACTCTTAAGGTTGATAAAATTTTCATTCTGTTGGGGTAATAAAGAAGAAAGATTGAAATATCAAACAATTCCAGCCTAGCATTATTTATAGTAATACAAAAACAAACATATATGTTGGAGAGAGAGCTAATGTTGCTCAATTTTCTTAACTTAATCTTTGTTTCATAAGGAGGAGAAAGACATGAAACAATGCTACCAGTAACAGGTAATTCAGGAATAATGAAAGAAAATTGGTATTGATATATTAAAGATAATAAAATCACAAAGTAAAGTACACGTGGAGGAAAGTTTGACTGAAGTATTTCACAGTACATCTCTTACTTGGAATAAGTGTCAAAAAATGGGGATCTCAGCAAATAGTACAACAACAGGAGTGATCTCCTCTTAATTTCACTCTTCTCCTGGGGATTCAGGTCTTTAGTGTCACCCATCATACACAAGCTACAGAAGAAAAATACTACTGGTAAAAAAAGAAGTCATCTTCAGTGAAGTCTGAAGAAAAGATGCCATATGAACAAGATAGATGATCAAACCTGGCAACATCAATGGTTCCTGACATGATCCATGGTTTCCATGACATGGTCCCACAAACGTACATTCCGAATACTACACTGTATTAAGGACTCACAAAAATTATACATCTAGATCAAGTAATGAACTCAAAATCAGGGTAGTTATCTTAGAATGAAATACTAGTAAAAACTTATTTCCATGTTAAGGTAATATTAAAAGGCTTTCCAATAACCTTGATACTCTAGGATCATAAAAATCATTAAAGATTTATAATTTGTGATTTATACATGCACATGTATATTTAAATCATTTTAATTTATAACTTTGGAGAAAGAATTGTACAGTTCAAATCCTTCTACTCATTAGAACAGCATTTATTTCAAGTTAGATTCATGTCCATCAATGGATCAGTTTGTGCATTACTATCTTCAGCTTTAAATGTTAATTACCTCCTCGAGACTTAACAAAAGTTCAAGAATATATCTAAATAAATCACAGAGAAAACAAAAATTTATCATTTGAAATTTTTGTGTACTTTGTATATATATTAATATCCTGGAAAGTCAATGGTTATATCTTAAATCAACAGAGGATACAATGAATGAGTGGCCTGGTAATATACAAGGTCTCTCCCCACAGTCGTTGTTTGGATAGTGTTGTGGGTTCATAAAATCTGACACCGGCTCTCTCTTTCTCCCTGTCCCCATGGCCGGGGAGTTTCCAGGAACGAAAATTGATAGGAGGTGCTATAAATAGGTAATGTATAAATACACTAACAGAAATATTATCAACAGCCTGGATAACATAATTTTGAATTTGATCAAAAGTATTGAATGTCCCAGACTTATAATGATATTTATACAATTACCAGCTGAGAGTCTCCTTATGACCTTGCCTGACCTCTTGAGGGTAAAGGTCACCTCACTCATTCCATTCACTGGTTCCACTGTTTCACTATCCAAATTCTCTTGGAATTCTTGCATTTCCTTATTTACAATAAAAAGAAAAAATATAAACCATATCAATGAATATTCAAACATTTGCCAAAGAAAAATTATAAAAGATTCAATAAAAAGAGACACTGATTACATATACAACAAATAATATTTTTACACTGCATGGACACTGACCTCTGTAGGGTTGTGTTTAAATTGCTTTGTGTATTTCTCTCTGTCTAAAGGTGCAATAGGAGGGGAGGGCTGTATTCCTCCATGATGTTTCCAAAGTAAAAGAAGCCGCCATATTGCTCTTCAAAAAAAAGAAAAATCAATGACTTATCAATTTTTAATATTCATGTTACAAAATCTACATTTCCAGTTTCTCATTACTGACTTTACATGTATACTGCATTATGGCTATATTTTTTTCTATTTCACTTGAAACATATTGTAACAAGTCGAGCGGACCCTTGTCACAAAATAAAAACTCCTTTGTCAGGCATAACAAGTTTTTATTTAGGATGGCAACAATCAAGAACAATAACAACGAATGAGATGCTGACCATTCAGACAATAGGTGACCCGAAAAAAAAAGGGGGGGGGGGGGGAAGGTGAACTTGTCTTGCGACTACATTACACAGTTAATTTATTGTTGTAACTAGTATCTGCGAACAACTCCTTGTTCTCGAACTCAAAGTAGAACAACTTTGCGTAATTAATTGCGTAAAATTAATTGTAAATTTAATAATTCAACAAGCGACGATCCGGACAGTCCCTAACTATTTGGGAAATCCAAATAAACTATCTCTGTACTAAACTATTAGACATGCCTAATATTAAACTCTAATGCCACTTAACTTATGAAGAAAATATGCGTAAACTATTCAGAATATGTGTATACTCTCAAAATGAATATATTTTCAGCTCAAGCTAATCCGAACAAATACTACCAAATCCGGACAAGCCATTCCGGACAAGAATAACCTAAGTGAACTTAACTGTGAGAACTACTCTGGACATCCCAACAAACGATCCGGACAACTATTACAATATAAACGTGACATAAACTAACAAATAAACTTCTGAACTTGGAAACGACTGACTCATAGAAATGTTCCGGTCTTAAGTCTTAATTAATAACTCGAACTGTAAACAAATAAACTACTGGTCTACATGACTGGAATAATCTCTATACTCTTAAAACTGTCCTGTCCGGACGCGCAAGTCCTTATAAAAATTAGCATCATCCACTACAAGATTTATCATCTTGAATACCTTGGACTTTCTCTAGTTCTAACCAAACAACCCGAAGGGATGAAGAGTCGAGAGTGTCGAGATGCGGAAGCTGGGTCCTATATATAACCTTCTATGACCAATCAGCGTTTGTCCTTTTTGTCCGGAAAATTTATAACCAATCCAAACGCTGTACGGATCTATGGAAATTCCGAACAATTCCCGATATCCGGACAAGCTGAATTACAACCCTTAATAATCATTTAATGAACAATACAAGACCTTGTCCGGATTACTTTAATTATATGGACACTAAATAATGTAATTAGTTTAATAAATGAAAATATCCAGGACTACGTAGTTTTACTATAAAAATCAAGATTCGAATCTAGGCGCCTTCTAAAGTAGTGCGCGCAGCGATATATGTAAATACGGAAGTATGACTTCACAATATAGTGCGCCGATGAGATCGATAAAATAAGACAATAGTTCACCATCATAAGGTAAAAAATAGACAAAAATAGTGGTCAGCATCATATCACAATAATTCAAGATAAAAATAATGTACAACATGGTTGAATAATGAAAAATCAGGCAGCAGAATCACAAGTGACAAGATGAGTTGTGAAGCGGTCAGTCAGACAAGAGAAACGCATGGTAAAGTATACAAGAAGTTCGCGAGCGGTAAAATGACAATTTCACATAGATGAAGGTAAAAGAATGTGCTGGTATTGAACATACATCAACAACTGGTAATTATAAACAGCTGCAGTTTAATTAAAACGATTGTTTTACCATATTTACGAAGAAATTTAGAGAATAAAATTTGTAAACAAATGATCGAAAATGGGGGAAGTTGTCAAAACACGAACGGTAATACTGCGAGTTTTGTAAAACAAATCTGAGTTAAAATAAGGCATAATAAATGCTGTTTAAGCTTAATAAATCACTTTAGAATCATGTACTATGATTATAGTAAATTCCCATCCAGAATAAATTAATTGTAAACAATATAAACAGTTAGCACACGAAGGTCTCACATATTACACCAATATCAATGAATTATGAATATTAAAGTCCCTCTGCAATAACCCTTATTAAAATGGGATTTCTTCAGATCCTTGTGTAATAATCTACATTGAGAAGATCAAACAATGTAATATTGATCAGATTGCTATTATCTGTGAACTCGATGAATGAAACTGCTAAAATATGATCTACAAATTTATGTTATATGTATATTCTCTTCATGCAGTACCTATACATGTACATTATATTCATGTACAACAGACATGTATTTTAAGGTCAATAACATATCTAACAAAAGAAATTTTCAATTTCTTAAGCTCTCTTACTTTGTGAGTTGAATAATTACGATGAGAACCCATTTTCCTGTCTCTCCAAACTTCCTGTATGCTGCCATTTCTATAAAGACTTCTCCATATTCCAAAACAGTCAGCCATCTTTTCAACTTTTCCACTGACACTGGCTAAAGAAAGCAATTATGTGATCAGACTATTTTCTGTAAATAAAACATTAAATGTCTGGTTCATAAATTAAGAAAAAATAGTATAAATTTTCCTATAAGCCACAGATACAATTTTCTTTTCTTCAAAGAACTGCTTTATGAAGCTTACATTTTGCTCAAAAGACATTGTTATTGTTATTTCTGAAGATTCATTCTCAGAATGCTCAATTTTTTTCTATATTTATCAATGCTTCACATTACTTTCTCTACAATGTTTATTTTGTAGCTTGGAAAAGCAGTGAAAATAAAACTAAAGGGCAAAAACAGCTGCATACAAAGTACTACAAAGTACCACTTATACTTCAGACTGACAGACACCTTCTCTGATCATGCAGGTTGACTTACAATCTTTGGAAGAATCTTTGATGCATTCTTAATGATTGTGTCATTTAAGAGTACAAGTAGGTTTGAGGACAGGTAAACAAGCTCCGACAGCACCTGTGAATCTTCAAAGCGGCCTGAAAAATATAAATGAATTATGTGTCATCACCGATATGTGTAGATATTTTCAAAAATCAAATCCTTTATACATGTACATGTCGAAGATATATAGTAGATAAGACTAAGATAGGAAGATGTAAATTAATTTGACTTTATTCATTTAAAGAAAAAACTAAATTTTAGAAAAAATTCATTGGTAGTTTGTTGGATTACATAGTTTGTTGGATTAATCAAATTGGGTCATTATCTAGACCTTTGAAATCATCGTTCCAAAATGAAAGTAGACACACAAGGCAAAATATGTTATTTCAAGAACATACCAAAGACGATTGTTAGTTATTACCTGCAATTATGTATGACAGCACTCTGGAAGTTGCTTCTATCTGACTGACCGTTTCCGGAAAATCTGTTACGTATCTTTTATATTTTTCCCATGCTTGGTTAACGATTTCGTTTGCTTTGGTAGCCATTCTCAATGATTATTTGTTAACTCGGTCATAGAAGTATTCGAATACAGACCTTATAGACAGTAACAAGTACATTGGCTTCAATTAGGATAATTTGTATCTAAGAAAATGTCATTCTTCATTTATTAGCCTAATAATACATGGCTTGTCTATTTTTCATTTCATAGTAATATTTTTTCCCTTATTTTGTTTCAGAATTTAAACTGACGCGATCTATTGAAATTCTGCAACCCTTTTTTATCGAAAAAGTGAAAAAGTGAAAAAGTGGTGAAGAAATAGAAATATTTATGTTAATATCATCAGATGCATAGATAACAAGGACTGTTATTTATGTATCTGGTTTCAGGAACTGGAATAAAACCACAGACTCAGTCACAGTCGTATGAACAGCAAGCAAGGAAGAAATAATGCAGAAGATACCAGGCATGTAATCTACATTTGTATTTTGCAGGTAGAATTTAGGTAAATAGTAAATACTCAATAACCTTATCATCATATGACTGCATGATCCAATATTCATAATTCTGTAAGAACAACATAAGTGTATGATAGAGTTCTGTGGTGAGCATGTTTTGAGATACAGTCAAACCTCATTATCTCAAACCCCATAGGACTGAAAAAAAGCTTCGAGATATCCGGGGTAAAATACTTAAAGAATAAGGGATTGGGACTTCCAAATCACTTCAACATATCCATGGTATTCAAGATATCAGTGTTCGAGATATCACAGTTCAACTGTATTCCCTGAGACCCCAGCATTACAACTCACAAGTCAGGTGCTCTAACCAGGCTGATGCCCACCGTCCACATAACCCAATTAACTAACTACATATGTCCTAGAACAATAAATATGGAGTTCCGTGGTGAGCATTTTTTGAGACACTCTTGAGTTATGACATTCATGAATGTTGAGTATTATTGTGTTGTAGAATGATCCGTCTCTCAAGACAAGGACTTGTGCTACTACTGATTGCAGGGGCTTTTCCTACTCTCATTTTAGTCTACCTAACACTCACTTCAGATGGTAATTATAGTACTTTTGAATTATTTTCAATGTTTTGATGTACACTCTGTAAATGTACATGTACCATAGGTATGTGAATATAGTGCAACAACAATTTACCTTTCTCAGTTCTGTTGTCTTTTTTTAAGTTCGTTAATTTAACTAAGTGTATATTGTTTTATCTGTTCAACAATTACATTCATTATATCTTGTTCCAGATGGGTATGCTAATGAAGCAGTGTTCCAGAGGTTGGAACTCAAGTTTGCCAGTAAACTCAGGGAGCTCAGCAATGACAACAGAGCCCTCAAAAAACAACTCAGGTAATGTTTTTACATACATGAAAGGAATGTATATATGTTGGTTGAAAATGATATCAATCAAATTAAGCAATGCTAAATATGATATGAAGTTAAATAATGAACAGTTTAATGCCAGCACTCAGATTGGCTGAAGTACCTATACACCCTGAAAAAGTATAGCATCAAATTAATTCATAATTTTTTACCAACATTTTTATCCAGATGGTTGATAAAAATAAGAGGATTTGATTGCTAGCTTGATTTCTGATGTCCAGTAAAAAGAATCATCTGGGTTTTCAGTTTGGCTTATGGAAGTACAACACATGGGATTATCTTTCATTGTCATCATACATTCAGAGCTACATATGCAGGATTGGCTACTGTCATCATTACAAAACTGATTTCAGTTCTAGGAAATTTATCAGCAACTGCATCCTTGAATGACCATTTTCCTGCTACTTGGTGTTGGTTCATTTCTCTGTGTACATGAATTAGTGTATAAGTACTTCAGAGCCTACATAGACTCAATATGTCTGCAGAAATAAAATCTGACTTAAACATGACTTGTGTTGCAAAGAGGATAGGAAAGAGGGGGGTATAATTTCAGAAGTTGCCTATACAACTACATTAAAATGCACTGTAAAGTTCTGAATGCATTATGAATTCTGTCCAAAGTCTTAAAATCGTTATATATGCAAGATGCAATTTAGAAAGAACAGGGTATTGGGGATAATTTTCTGTCGTAAATTCAATATGGGTCATTAAAAAATAATTATCCAAAAATTGTTAAGACTATTTTGGCAATCAGCTACAATTTTTTCAACATTAAATGAAAATAAAAAGTTTTTTCTCCCAAAAATATTTGAATTAGAAAACAGGCATTTTTCAAGGCTCTGGCTTACCATATAGTTTTTCAGTTTAAAATACTAGTATTCTAAATTGCGTCTTTCTTTATGTAGCAAAATAAAATTATTTGTGCCCTTAAAAGGTCAAATGAAAGAAACAACAAAAATTAATAACTACCGGTATGCTAATCTAGCTTTTTTAGAAGATCATGGATTTTAGAGTCTGTTGGTTGAAAATTTCTTCTCCGTGCTAACAGCACAAAGGAGAATTTTTTGGAACTTCCTATCCAAATGCAACACATTCCATTTTGTCTAAAATATGCAAACACATAGTAGATATTGTTATGTATAAAATAAAGAAAAAGGAAAGAAAATTAAACAACAGGAATTTTTCAGGGGAGGTATGTTATACCTCCTTAATAAGATTTGAACTAAAATCTACATATCTAGACTTACATGTACCATCATCAACAGCAATAGCTAGTTAATGAAAGGTTTTTGCTCTTAATTTGATTTTGGTATTCATGTGGTATTATAAATGCTTTTTGATTAATAAACATTGTTGTTACTTGAGAAGAAGGAAATTAAACTCATGGATTGACTAAATAGCTAGATGGTTGATAGTTTATTCAATTATGGTATTTGATAAAATAATAAAATATTTATAATTTTCAGATAATTGCTACAATGATTGCACTCTCTTTTAAGCATGAAAAAGCATACATAAACAAATGCAATATTTGGCTGATTAAATGAAGCATCAGTGGACTGAAAAAATTTTGTTTTGATGTTGATATTATTTACAATGTAGCTATTCATTTTAAACAATATTTACCTCAAGCTTTAGGTTAGATGAATACTGTCTTCTAAAGATAGCTAAATGATGGTGTTGACCTCATAATAGTCAATTTTTTTTTTTATATTTTTAATACATGTAACTGTTGCATGATGTTTAAAAGTGCTGGTACTATTGTTTGAAACAGAATAAAATATACTGGTACTGCTATGTTAATTTGTTATGATATTCAATATTGCAGCTTGACTCGTACCGAGTTGACAGCATTTGAACTCAATGCAGATGAACAAAGTCCTAAAACATCCAAAAACTGTGTTGATTCTCAGCAGGAGGTCCCGAAATGTGAGGTACTCATTCACCAGATGTTCATTAAATATACAAGGGTTGTCCGGTAAAATTGTGGAAAAATTCATGCTTGCACAAAGCTGAAAGTTTTAGCAAACTTTTGTTTATCAAATTTGAGTACTTCTTAATTTTTTTGATAAAATATAGACAAAAATAAGGATTTTTATTATGCATGAATGTGCACAGGGTATGGTCCTACGGCTCACAACTGAATAGTCAGGGTTTGGTCAGAGAATATGCAAGTATTGTTTCGAAATAAATGTACTAAATAGATAAGGTTACAGTGTTTTCCCTTTATTTCAAAGTAAAGGTTAGAGATCAGTTGAAACAGGCTAAGGGTTGATGTTTATCAACAAAATCTCTGTGGACCTTACATCAATTTTTTTTTTAAATTTTTGATTTCTAAGCGGCATTTCTATCAGTTGAAGTGGTCAGTTTGGCAGGTAGCCGGTTCTTAGGGAAAACACTGAGGTTAGAACCTTTACAGACTTTAATTGAGAACAGAAGATAACAAAAAATATAAAAATATCACTATATCTTTAGAATACATGTGGAATGGGGTTTTTTTTAAGCTGAAGCTTTTTCACCGAGTCCCCAGGTAGAACTAACATTTGTATAAACAGCATCAGGCTATAGCAAAAAAAGTGAAGTATTTAGTGAATGTAAGGAGAATAATGACCATAACTTACAAATACAAATCTCCAAAAGGTGCCATGTGTGTTCAAGATTGATCTCTCGCCTGTTTATGGATGGATAAAGAGGAATTCTAGTGTATACATGAGTGAAATTCTTGAACTTAAGTGGGGGTTATGTAAGTTTTTGAAAAGTCAACTTGTCCACGATTTTACCTGACAACTCACGTACATGAATGTATTTTAATTTTTATGTTTTTGTGAGAGATTCACTTTAATTTTTAATATCTTATACACAGTGTGGGGCCTTCAATAAGGTTTTTGAAGACTTAGATTAATCAGCACTTCTGCGATATCATTTTATATAAACCAATATTACATATACATGTACAGTATATAACAGAATCTAAATTTTCAACATGCTTAGAAATGCAGTGTTATTTCAGTGTATGAAATATTTTCGTAATTTGGAAAAAAAAAAAGGAATCCAATAGCCTAAACCTTTTTAACTTCACATCCTGATTTGTGTTTGAAATTCAGCACGCTACTTTATAACATATAAAACTTTGTGATTTATTAAAAATATAACCTGAAGGCATATATGTACACTGGTAATCGAATCTTTAAGTGTATAATTTTGCTAAGCTTTTATTCAAATCTGAATCAGTGTACAAAAATGTATATGTGTTTCTTTATTATGCAGGAAATCCATGTAGCTATTGTGTGCTCTGGTCATAAGTCAACAAGAGATGTCGTGACTCTGATCAAAAGTGTTCTGTTCTATCGTAAAAATCCACTACATTTCCACTTCATATCCGACACAACAGCACAAGTTATCCTGAATTACCTTTTTGACACCTGGAGTGTCCCTGATGGTTTGTAGAATTGGTCTGTCCACAGATGCTAAGCCAGTTTTCTTACCAAGAGCCATGTACGTCAGACATACTCTTTTATTATTGTATATTTGATTTTAATTATTAAATTGGGCTTAGCTCCTGTGGGTTTGTCTGAAAAATTTTGTGAATTTTACATTTTTTTTTTACCTTAAATTTTATCATTATTTTGCATTTCTTTTATTTATTTCAGTAAAAATAAGCTTCTATCATGCGGATAAAGTCAAGGTAAGAAAGTATTTATTTCCATCTGCACAAACACTGTATACAGAGTTATTTTCACCTGTGATATTTTCGTCCTTTCGTACGTGCAAACAATTTTGCCCCATTTTAAATTTGCCTAGACACATTTGAATTTAAGAGATAATGTCTTCTTTGAATTTGCCTTGTTTTAAATTTGCCCATTTGCAGGGCAAAAGGGGCAAAATATTCCCTGTATGCAGTACCTTTTCTCTCTTGCAGACAAATATGAATAGGGTAAAAGTTCATTTTTAGAAGAACTTTATATACAAATTGCCTTTACAAATAAATCCTTGCATATACAAAATTGCCTGTAAATTCAATTTTTTGTTTGTTTTTTTTTTCATTTGACAGGAAGATATAGAATGGATTCCAAACAAACATTATTCTGGTATATATGGGTTGCTTAAATTGGTCTTGCCAAAAATTCTACCAGCCTCATTGGAGAAGGTCTGTATTCTAAGGATATGGTCCATCAAATTTGAACAATAAAATGCAAATCTTGAAGCAAATGTAAACTTAAAGCTTTAAACTATATGAGATCTTAATTTCATTGGGCATACTTGTTTAAGGCTTTTAAGTAATGAGTTGCTTTTTGTAGGTAATTGTCCTGGATACAGATGTAAGCTTTGCTACTGATATAGCAGAACTGTGGAAAATGTTTAGTTTCCTAACAGGAACAAAGGTAACAGAACTAGGAAATGCTACGAAGCTTAAAATCAGCTATCTTCCAAATTACCTTTAATATGAGTCGACATTTCAATTTTGTAAGCATAGAGTGTTCATTGTTGTGTGTTTTGATAACAAGTGATAATTTTCATCTCTGTCTACAGGTGCTTGGTCTGGTGGAGAATCAGAGTGACTGGTACTTAGGAAAAATCTGGAAGAACCACATTCCCTGGCCAGCCCTGGTGTGTGTGTGTAATTCTGTACAAGTCAATTCATTCAGTGCATGTTACACAATGTTATTAATTGATTCCCGATTTTTGGAAGGGTCATGGTTTTAACACTGGTGTCATTCTGATGAATCTGGGGATACTGAGAGAGATGAACTGGATGGAAATGTGGAGGAAAATCACCGTCAAAGAACTGGAGACCATGCAATACACACAACTAGCAGATCAAGTAAGGTTTAAGATCGAACGCAGAATTTGATTTATCAATTAATAGGCAGTTGTTAAGTATGTTCGTTGTAGATGTTATGTTAGAGGTTGTTTGTTACAGGACATTTTTAATGCAGTGCTGAAGGAGCATCCCTATTTTGTGTATCACTTGCCCTGTCAGTGGAATGTACAACTGTCTGATAACACCAAGAGTGAACAGTGTTACAATCAGGTGGAGAAACTGAAGGTATATGTACTAAAGATAAAACAGTGTTACAGTCAGGTGGAGAAACTGAAGGTAAAAGTACTGAGGGAGAGAAAGAGTGAAAGTCAGGTGGAGAAACTAAAGGTAAACGTACTGAATGAGAGAACAGTATTACAATCAGGTGGAGAAACTGAAGGTAAACATACTGAATGAGAGAAAGAAGTGAAAGTCAGGTGATGAATTATAGGTAAATATACTGAAGGAGAGAACAGTGTTACAATCAGGTGGAGAAACTAAGGTAAACATACTGAATGAGAGAAAGGAGTGAAAGTCGGGTGGAGAATTATAGGTAAATATACTGAAGGAGAGAATAGTGTTACAATCAGGTGGAGAAACTGAAGGTAAATGTACTGAAAGTGAGAACAGTGTTACAATCAGGTGGAGAAACTGAAGGTAAAAGTACTGAAGGAGAGAAAGGAGTGAAAGTCAGGTGGAGAATTATAGGTAAATATACTGAAGGAGAGAACAGTGTTACAATCAGGTGGAGAAACTGAAGGTAAATATACTGATTGAGAGGGTGGAGAAACTAAAGGTATGTATACTGAAAGATAAAACAGGGTTACAGTCAGATGGAGAAACTTAAGGTAAATATACTGAAGGACAGAACAGTGTTGCAATAAGACTAAGGTCAAATACAAGCAGAAAAAAATAATTGAAGTTTTTCTTAAGTGTAAAACAATAAAACAGATATTTGGAGATTATTTCATATTTCAATGTTACTTGTATCTGCATGAATTAATATTTATTTGAGGGAGGAAACGTTTGGGTTTTTTTTCTCGTCATGGCACTAGTCTTTAACAGAAATTCCAGTGATACAAAGTATTACATGTACTTTCCTACCAGACTTCTCTGACAATTCCTCTAATTAATTTTCATTCAACTTTCATTGTAGATTATTCACTGGAATTCCCCCAAGAAGTTTAAGGTTAAAAACAAGCATGTAGAATATTTCAGAAATTTGCACCTGACTTTTTTGGAGTATGATGCAAACTTGCTTCGGAGGGAGTTGTTTGGATGTGAAAAGTCTGAGGAGGTCACACCCACAAATGAAGAGGTATATGGAAATTTTCATTAACAGTGTACATGAATAACTAAAGTTATTTCCCTTTGTAAGTTATTCTGTTCTTAATTCTTAAAGAATTACATTCATTACCCAAGTAGCCTCTCAAATGAATCTGTCTGATCATACACATGTATTGTTTGTGATCTTTTTAAGTCAAACACTTTAAGTGAGGATGACGAGTGCTATGATTTCCGTCGTGAGCGTACTTTGGTCCACCGTACACACCTGTACTATCTGGATTATGACTACACCCCCACAGAGTATGATGTTACTCTAGTGGCACAGCTCAGTATGGACCGGCTCCAGATGTTGGAGCTTATTTGCAAGCACTGGGAGGGTCCTATCAGCCTTGCCCTGTACATGTCTGATGCGGAAGCCCAGCAGTTCCTGAGGTACGCCCAGGACTCGGAAATACTCATGAAGAGGAAAAATATTGGCTACCATATTGTCTACAAAGATGGGGTTAGTAAAATCAAACTTAAGCTAAAGTGTTCGAGACATTTTGATACAAAAGGTAATCCTCTAATGTCTTGATCATTCTTCTGTAATTTTCTGTACCGATAATAATAAAAATTGGTATTTGATTTCAGCAATTCTATCCTGTGAACTATTTGCGTAATGTTGCAATTAACCAGAGCCAGACGTCTCACCTGTTTTTGACGGATATTGACTTTTTACCTATGTATGACCTGTATAATCATCTAAAGAGTGTTGTATCAAGGATTGACATGGAGAAAGAAAAAAAGGTGTGTCTAGTAAAATTTTTAAAAAAATAAAAAAGTACAGTTAAAGTGTTAAATACTTTTCTACTGCTGTAGATGAGAATGAAATACTATGTTCTTGATTAAAGTTAATTCAAACTTTTCAGCAAATATCAATTTTGAACTTTGTGTTAAACATTTTTTAGGCTTTGGTTGTACCAGCTTTTGAAACCCCAAGATACAGATTTGAGTTCCCATCTACAAAAGACGAACTCCTAAAAAAGCTTGATAGTGGGGAAATATTCACCTTCAGGTATTAAAACAGTCATAGAAAACTTACAATGGTACAATATTGCTTCAGAATATTGACAAGTTAAAAAGCACAACTGTTGTGAATGTAAGCATTATATTTCTTCATTATGATCAATTTTATTTGATAGAGAGTTGCATTAGATTGGATATTTTCCGAAAATACTACGCAGATTTTATAAATTTTAGATATGATGTGTGGCCCCAAGGGCACCTTCCCACAAACTACACAGTTTGGCGGACAGCCACTACAATGTACACTGTGAGTATTTTTCACAAATTTCATATTTTGTGGCTCAGTCAAAGTGCATTTATCTCACTGCAGCATTGTACATATAAAACCTTCTCTTTTAAAACCTAACATAGCCTTTTAATTCTCTTTGAACCCTTGAAAATTTCTTGATATACATACTTGACAGTTTTGAAACAGTACTAATTTATTATGAAATTTTACTTCAATATCAATATTATATTTCATTTATGCATGAGTAACAGGATTGTAAATTGCAACAATTTTTTCAATATTCCAATTATACAAAGAATTTTGTACATGTAGCTTATGCACTGGGTAATTCTGTATACATTACAGATATTTTGTGTTTACAGGTGAATTGGGAGCAGGATTATGAGCCATACATTGTTGTGAAAAAGGGAGTTCCCCAATTTGACCAGCGATTTGTCGGCTTTGGTTGGAACAAAGTCTCCCATGCTATGCTCCTTGATTTATTAGAGTACGAATTATTGATTTTTTTTTATCCCTTTTGAGATTTTTTTTTATTATGTTTAAATGTTGTTAGACTATCCTTGTTATATTGTTTCAAGTATGTTGTCTTTCGTGTTATTGTTTCTGATATAAGTACATTGTATGTTGTCTTGTGTGATATTGTTTCAGATATAAGTATGTTGTCTTGCCAAATGCCTTCATGATCCATATGCCTCATGCACCAAGTTTGGAGATCACAAAGTTCCGCAACAGTCAAGTCTATAGAAAGTAAGTAGTAATTTATCTTTATTATGCTGATTTTTTAAACAGTTTATCTATATAATTTTAAAAATATACATGTACATGTATTATCACCTGTTACCCCTTAACTTGTGAATATCAGTCACTGGAAAAAATTTCGTTGGATCCATCTTTTTGTACTTCAACACCTTGTGATATCAGTGTAAACTAGATACTTTGCATTTTAAAAATAAAAGATTGAGGTAGAATTCCTAATAATTTCATTTATTAAAAATCAATGAAATAATACTATTACTAAAGAAGGGCATTTTTGTTTTATTTTCAATAAGTACACATACTATTTTAAATGGTGCGATATTGTTGTTTACCTTGTTCTGTGGAAAGGGAGGTAAATGAATAAAATCATTAAATTTAAATGTAGGGAAATACATGTGATATTGTAAAGAATCTCCCATGTTTTGTGATTGGATATATTTATCCAATGTGTTCTTTCTATCACCTCACCAAAGACTTTGGATAGAAAACACACAATCTGTATGATAAAATAAAAATTTGATCCATCAGAAAATGAAATGTACGTTACACTCTGTGGTCTACTTTAATCTTAATATTTCAGGTGTTGAAATTTTCCTGGAGAATCCACTAGCCCAGGGGCTACTGATCAGTAAAAAATTGCTAGCCCAAGCCTTAAACTAACTAGCCCAACAATTTTTTTTTATGCAAAATGAAAACATAACAAATTAAAGTTTCAAAGGCTTTGGTGACAAACAAATTAAATTAGTTCTCAGTCAAAATAAACCAGTCAGCATAAAAAAGTGAAAGAAGACTGACGAGATTTTTTTTTCTGTTCTGCTAGTTCGATGGACTGTCATTACATTTAAACTAGCTAGCCCAAATCTTAAAATGACTAGCCCCAGGCGTCGGGCTACTGTATATTTCAACCCCTGTATTTATCCCAGATTTTCTGCCTTATTTAAAAATTCATAATTCTTTTATTGCAGTTGTCTCAAAACACTGAAAGGAGAATACCAGCGAGATTTATCTAGAAAATATGGTTTGAAGGCCCTAAAATATTTATCAGTGGACTAAGAGGTGAATATTGAAAAACTAGGAACATTTTACTCAAATTAAATAATCAAAATGTGTCAGTACCACAGAGCAGCAAGTCTAACTAGCAATGAATATAAGTAATTTTCATTAAAAAACTTTTCTCCTGTCTCTTTTGTGTGCAAAAGTATCCATGGAAGTAGATGTATGAAGTTCAACAACTCTTTGTAGTGTTAGGTTGAGTGAATGAAATTCATGAATAAATGCTATTTCTTGGTTTATATGAAGTGAAATAATACAACATGCATGAATATCATATTGAGTTGGGGTTTTTTAATACATGTACAGCAAAATTTTTCACTTCATTATGAATAGTTAAGAGAATTTTTTTTAATTTCTAAGAAATAAAATTATTTTCTTTATGGTTACTGCAATATAGCTTCACATTATTGTATAAACTCAGAATTGTTGTATCAAAAAATGTTAACAGCTTGTTTTAATTTCTAGTCTTTTTACAGCTTATCAGTAACTAAAGTTGTTTTTTCTCATTTCAGTTTATTAGGCCTTTTTTATTTTGATGTAATTATATATTTAAAATGAGGTAACACATGTACTACTGATGATATATTTGGTTAAGGGCTTTCAAATATAAATGGTTGCATCATCTTGTCAGTGTCATTTGTATGTGAATTTTTTCTAGAAGCATTTATTTTATTTATTATGTATTTTTAGATATACAACCAGAGGGAGATTTTTTTTAAAAAAAATAAGTAAACAAATGTTTTTTATTTAATGCAAAATAAAAACAACAAAACTAATTTTCAAGTGTTTTTACTGGACTGAGTCCGGGAAGTGGAGGGTCCATCTTCACATCTGAAATATTAACGAAACCTAAATTCCACTAGGCATCATAATTCAGTAGATTCATGAAATTTTTTTCACCCATCTGTAAATTAGTCTATCAAAATTGGATAAAATTTTCACTTGAATCAAATAAACATCCTTTACACGGTGCCTGTTTCAATGTATGTAGATTTACACATATTAACATTTATGAACAGAATGGTCAGAGAGTAGCCTTTATTTATACATATATTATAAAGGGTACCTGTTTCGAAGCCCTAAGCTTTCTTGTACAGTCTGACTAGATATCCACTGCACATCTCTGTGTAAACACATGTACACAGCTACTATAATCAGGAGAAAGAGACACACACTGCACCATAACTTGATTTGCTCTCGCCTGTATTAAAAGAGAAAATAATAGATTACTTTATGTTTCACAAGGTGAAATAAGTACCGTGAATTTGCTTTAATTCAGTCACTTTGAACATTAGTGAGATGCTTACAGAAGGCTTGCCTGAACTGATTATTGTAAGTCCAATTGTGTTCCTTATTTTAACTGGATTTTAAGTATTGAGACTGAATTCAGCCTATTAGACTTTTTAGCTCTGATACAACGCAAAATGCGATAACAACGCAAAATGTGATAAACTTAAGTTCTATCATTTAGTGTCGAGATCAACACAGAATGTAATAACACAAAATGGAATCCTTTTTGGATAATTACATATCTCAAGGTCGACGCAGAATGTAATAATACAAAATGTAAGAACACACTTGGAGGGGGGGGGGGGGGGCGACAACTTGAAAAAATCTTTGACTGACCAAAAAAGAGATTTCTCAAAACTCCAAAATCTTATTTAGGGGGTGGGGAGTTAGAGCCAATGAACATAGAAGGGATTTGACTATATACAGGATCAAAAAAGGACAGGGACGGCTTTTCAGTGAACATTTTTATACTACTGTAAAAATAAAAATTTTGGTTTAAAAAGTGGGGTAACAGCCCCTCTCCAATACTTAGTGCCCGACGTTCATCTGAGTGGAAGTCGGGTGCAGGTAAAATATCTTTTTACACCTAATTTAGAAGTTCTTAATCTTTTTAGTCTAATGTAGAAGAAATAATTTTAAGAATGAATTTTAATATTCACCTTGAAGGTCACGTGCAGGTGAATATAACGTAGTATTTTTTGCTACAATGTTGGATCTCAGCCAATCAGAAAGCTAGGAATTTTTAAAACATATAATAATAATACAAGATATATACATGTAAGTTAGACCAAATCGTGACTCAGGATGCATGTGGGGCAGAAAAACATATTGTGTTCATCCATCAAAAGGTAAACGATATCTCATTGTTCTTACGTATTTTTGACGTAATTGGGTTCACAACAAGTGAATTGACTATCCATCTCACAACACTCGCTGAGATCCGGGTCATTGCAGAAGTAGATGTTCCCCTTGCGGTACCCAATATCGTCATTTTTTAAGCATAGTACACCGTCTGCAAAATGTCAATGACAGAAATTAAGTTTTAAAAAATCTTATTTTTATTTAAGCTCTTTGTACATTCATGAAGGTCAATTGAATGTGAACACATTTTAGTTCCTTTGAATACTGAAGTGTGAAATAGAACGATTATCTATGTGTTTGGCTTGCATATCTTTACATATTTTACCGCTCTAATGTCAAGAGTTGTTAAAGGTCTAGTTTAGAGAGAAGTTAATGTCTTAAAAGAGTTGAAAAAAAACCCTTATCACATATTTCTCTGATCCTCTGGAAAGAACGTGGGAGTGTTTGAGGACACGGACGAAGTCTTGACTTTGTTTTGATTATGGCCTGGCTCTTTGAACGTCTGTCTTATTAACTTGTATCTACCATGCAGGTGAAACATAATTATTATCTTGGATCTATTTTCCTCTTGTAAATCAATTGAAATGTCATTATATGACGTGTTGGAGAAACTTTTCTTTAGAACAGTAACATTTACACGTTAGTTGCTCCTTTTCTTTAGAACTGCAGTGCAGAATTTGGTACACTAGGATTTTTACAGACATTATAAAGATGATGTAATTCGTCTGACTTAATGTAAGAATACAATATGATTTTAAGCAAAAAAAACAAAACAAAATAAAACAAACAAACAAAACACAGAACATTTCAGAGAGTAATAAAGATTGATAGAGTTCTCAAAATCACATAATAATATCCTGGTTACATTTCTCACAAAACATGTCACCACGAAGCACTTTATTCTCTCAAATGTCTCTGATTAAGTTTTCTACGGGGAATATGAAACTGATGCAAAATTAATCATAGTTGATATGCAAAACAAATCGTAATTACTTCTCTATGCTTTATATCTTATTTTCATTTGACTGATTAGTGAGTATGATCATTAAAGAAACCACCATAAAGTTGTCATATCTGTCCCACTAAGGAAAGAGAAAAAACTAACATGGATCTGTGCTCAGTCACGTAAATAATATAAATCTAATCTGGCAATGCTGAATTCATCCCTGGGTCAAGTTGAAATTAATTCAAACTAGAATTAGATAAGTCCCTTAGGAGTCCCTAAAAGGAGGGTGGGTTCGCTTTGAAAGATAATTGATAAAGAACTATTGATGTTTTTTCTTCTTTCTTTCTTTCTTTTTTTTTTTTTTTTTTTTTTTTTTTTTTTTTGATTTTAGTTAAGGACAAGATCATGGTACGAATACTAGCATGTAAGATAAAAGAAGTCATTACTATTACTCATATCTTCTTAAAAATTGATTCCCTACGTAACAATTAAGTTCCAGAATACCATACAAGACTTTTATTTTAAATCGAGGCAGGCTACTGACAGATAAGTTGATGTTAAAGGAATTTCAACAACTTCGTTTAAAGGGGCCTGGACACAGATTTGAAGTTATTATTTTCTCAATTTTTCTGTATAATATCATGACATATGTTGCTAGAGCATTTCACACGGAAAAATAATCAAAGCGTGTTCAGAAACGTCTTTTATCTTGAAATTATTGAAACTATGTATTCCGGGATACGTTTGATTGACACATCCTTGCATTTCACAAAGTAAACTTTATCCTTAATACTTAAGAAAAGTAGATATTTTGTTGTGTAAAAATGAAAAATATTAAAACTATAATGCAGAAAATTTAGAGTAGAAATGTGAAAAAGCGAAATCAACTCACCGGTATTGTCAGTCCGTGCTCATGATGTGTGCAGAGTTTAACAAATTGAACACGCCCGGTGAAACGTAAACATTGACAATAAAAGAGCTTGTGCCCTGTTTACAAAAACAGATCATGTTTGAGGAGATGTAAAGAAGAATGTCGTTGTCATTGAATTCTAAGAATATTCATGAAAGTTCAATTCATTTAATTGGTTTTAATTTTTAATAAGCATAGAAATTTAAAATATAAACAATACAACTGTGTCAAGGCCCCTTTAAAGTCAGCATTTCGTAAATTCTATGGTCGTTATAATGACCTTGTCAGCAACTTTAACCTATCTGTAAGGCCAATTATATACTGAATATGACTACGGAATATTCCGACTACCTGATCAATACATAGGGCTCGCGCCGGTGAGACCGGTCAATAGGGGATGCTTACTCCTCCTAAGCACCTGATCCCACCTCTGGAATTTCCAGGGGTCCGTGTTTTATGCACTCTTGACTGATTTGTATTCTTTATAGATTTTTTTGGGATCGATAACTGTTCGTTATCTTTATCTTTTTTATCATAAGGTTTTACATATGTTTTATTTTAACGTGTACGCGGGCAGTCAAAAAAAAAAAACGAAATATTTTCTCCTTTTTAAAATATGCATAATGACTTGATCGTGAATTTTTTTACGATAATCTAAAATTAAAAAACAAAACAAAACAAACAAAAAAACGTTGATAACGGAGAATCTATTAATAATCTTATTTTGGAGCCTTTCCCGCTGAAATTGTTACATGTACCGCTAATCCCCAGTACTCAGTAATCGCAAAATTATTATTTTACATGTACATTTCTCAATATGTGTGTACAATTACAGTTATTCATTAACAGATTAATTTATGATCTTTCTAAATTATTAGACTTTGACAGTATATTTTAAAGTACTAGTTATTTACTGAAAGGCGAATAAAGAAATAAAAATATCAGTCATCTAGAAGATTTAACAGAGATATACTCAATCTTTATAACTGATGATCATATAACTATTTTGTGCAACTAATATTATGAAAAGAAAGTTCTTTAAAAGTTGCAATTTATATAGATTAAAGAGGACAAATTTAATTTTTTTTTAAAGTCTTTTTCTTAAAAAAAGTAGCTACTCTGTACTTATATGCATTCTTCTTATAAAAATTGAAGACGTAAAAAAGATTCTGTTTATGGCCCCCCTTTTTGCGAGAAAATAAAGACTATGGAAATTTCTTTAAATTGTTTAATAATTGCATAATTTGCAAAAGAAGCACTTACCGCCAACTTTGAAAAGCATCCAAAATACCCAGACGACAAGAAAAGCAAACATGCCATGTAAATGATTCTAACGTTCTGTGGAATCTGTGATGATTGGTCCGATAAATCTATAGCCATTCGGGATGTCACGGGACTCTTTCACAGATTAACAGTTATCTACTGAGACCACTGCATGCAAATCCAGGCCGTCTGTAAAATTGCATGCGTCACTCGCTCATAAGATGCTGGGGACGTCACTTGCTAGAGAGCATAAATTTCATGAGTTGACATTGATCAGTATTTTCAGCCAATAATTAATAACATTTTTACCATGTCTAATGAAGAATGCATCACTGTCAGTTTCTAACTTCAGTTACTTCTTGTATGAAAATAAATGAAAGGGAGGGGGTACAAAGACTTGCATCTGTTTTTCCTTGTTTGGACGTAATAAAATATTTTCGTAGCATTATAATAAACAGCAATCCAAATCTGAGTAAAGTTTAAAATGAATATCTGACCTTGAGTAAATTTAATAAAAGGGTACTTTTATAACTTATTAAATCAATTATATCCCTAACATCTGTTTGCAACGTTCGTAGTCAAACAGAAAAAAAAATCATTCGTTGCACATTTTATTAATTGGAAATCTTCATAAAGATGTAAAATATGTCCTCGAATTCTTCGCAATATACATGTATACTTAAACTCTTCAGATATTGCCAATAAGTATTTTACAGGGAAATAATGTTGGCGATCTGAACTTTCTCTCCACCCTCACAATGCTGTGCGCCTGACATTTACTGCCTCTCGTATTCACAAGCATCAGAATAATCTATTCATGAGAATCAGAGAAAATTGACAATGTTCGTTAATTGAATAATAAACAGGTATTTTACATGACATTACAGTACAATTTTCTGTAAATTCTGATCGTAAAAGCGTTAGTAATGGAAGTTCCGAACTTTTCACCAAATATCTTTCAATTGCATCTGTACATGTTCCTAAGCAATCTCCATATTAATTCATAGTAATACAAAGGACTCTAAAGATCGCGATGAATGGGTATCCAGGGAGGAGCCATTGTTGTGGTAATTCGAGTTTTATCGTTTATTTTGGTCTAGCGGACTCGCGGATTCTGGAGTCTGACGTATACATCATGTTATGGACCGAATTTCTTTGAATTTATGAGTATGACTAATTCATCGTAATAATCTGGGTATTACATTATAAAATTAAGCTTATCTATTTTTAATTTATAAGATTAATTAGATCTTAAATCACGAATATTATTATACTAGTAAGTACTAAAAAAAAATGTTTCTCATCACAGGATTAGCGGCAGCCGATTCTTTGATTATTTGGAAACTCTTCATATGTTGATATGTTAATTCATTTTTATTCACTCATCTTCCTGTACCTTCATGTACCAATTTTACATTGCCTATTTGATTGTTTTATTGATCTAAACTATAGATACAATGTATTTTTTTAAATCTGTAAATATATATTAATATTTTGTACACGTATGCTGTCCATCTAATATTTACAAATTGGATTATTAGTTTCTTTTTCTAAAAGAACCCTAAATGGTGAAGCATTCAAATTAAGAGTAATATCAACATGTTGTAGGTCTTTAATTAAGAAAAGCCGTATAGTACGTCACGATGCCTTCACTTGAACAGAGTAATTGTAACCATATTTTGATACAAAACATTCATGTATTTATTAGACAAAATAAACTTCAATCGATGCTGATTAAAGATGTCTTGGCGATAGGAATGTCTGGGACAGGAAGATGGATCGGTGCCCCTTGGGACCATATTCTATAAATAATCAAATAACTCCTACAAAATACCAAATTCCGGTGGATTAGAGAATTTCCTTCCGGTTAAGTTTATTAACCATCTGAGTCTTAACAGACAAGGTTTTTTGCGTATTCCACAAAGCAAAATATATATACTAATCAATGAAGCTGAAATTTGTACTCAATTTCTCTTCTTTGGTTTAAAAAATCAGCATTTATTATTTTACGTATATGCATAAGTTGACATTTCTGAAAACTGTAAATTCCGAGCCCTTTTTGTAAATCTATAAGATTTTATCGGATTTTACAAAGATCTACGCATGAGAACTGTATGCACCACTGATATTTTTTTCTAGCATGGAAATATCAACTAATGATTTCTATTCGAATGTAAATATAATGCAATTTGAGTTCGTCTCTGAGGACTTTTAGTATCCTGCAAATTGCACTTCTCTGAGGGAACTCGAAACCAACAAGGATTCGATCCGAACACACACATTTATTAAAAAATTCCAAAATTTTGTTGTCTTATTTCAGCCCACTAAGTAATTGGCCATAACTACCTCAAGCAGATGAATAAATAAAACTAATTCCTTGAAATTCGTGACTTAACCTCCTATAGATTATTGTCTTACACATGTACAATAATTTATAATTGATTATGAAGTTGCATGTATGCAAAGAAACGGCTACATGTACATTGCACTTTAAATACAATTCAAAAATTACTTCCAATATTCTACATTATGGTATGTTTTCATTAACAGGATACATGTACATTTATGTATAATAAAATCAAAGAAATATAATTTTTTTTTGTTATTTATGGAATATTCAATTATACATTAATCGATATACAGAGTAAGTGGGATTATCACGGCAACTAAAGTTTAAAATTTATTTGATTTTTGTTCAATGCATGTTGATTTTGAAAATATAAACCAGGTACAGAAAACTCTGGAAAATAGCATCTTCCCAAACCAGAGGAGACAGCTGGTTTTGGCTCCAAATGTTGTCTGTTTGTCTATCTGTGATATTATGCCCAGGTCACATGTCTCGTACCTTTGATTAGAATGCACGTTTTAAACTTTATTACGTTGTTGCTTATGATCTCAAGGTTATTATTTTGTCCCAAGGTCATGTCTTATCAGTCATGCTTACTAGGTACATGTAGTGGACCCCTATTGGAATGAATTCCAACTTGAGAATGTTTACGTTGCTGATGTTCTGTCGGATCTTGACTCATGGTTATATCCTGCAGATCAAGGTTACTGGGCAATGATATTGGTTCCGGCCCATAACTCTCCATTAATTAAACCCTTATCAAAAATTATCTCAAACTTGGGAAGCTGTTGCTGATGACTTAACGGTATCTTATGATCAAAAGTCAATGTCACTGGGTAATTGTGTGTGGTTATGACACAGATTTCTTTTTTTTACTCAATGATGATAAATTAATGATGATAAGAAGGGTATTCAACCCCCTATATGCATTAGATATGGTTTAATATTGAATCAAGTCATACACCATGATGGGTTTAACTCTTGAATTAAACAACATGGAGACTTCATACACTGTACTTGGCACAAAAATAGTTAATGACAGGATAATGCGTCCTCACCTGAATCGAGGTCACTTTGTCAAGGTCAGTCATAGAGAGCGTAAAATCCTTGTGCAGTTCATAACCTTTGAGAAATGCTGAGGTCTCCTACTTTGAACAATGAAAGGTTACGTTCAGAGGTTGTGAACCTCACCCAAGGTAATTTGGACATAATCAAGGTAAATTTTGCATGGTCCATTACGTTGTAATAGATACAAGTTATCTCGTACTTGTAGAGGTTGTATTATGACCCTGACCCAATTTCGTTTCGAAAGTTCAACCTTGTCCACTATTACTCCGAGCCAAACTCGGAGGCATTTTGTAAATAACACATTTTGTTTCAACATATTTATCCTGCTCTGCAATTTGAAGATCAACCTTATCTGGGTCGAAGAAACAACCAAACAAATGCACGAGGGGTACTTACCAAGAAATGGGTAGCTTCTCATCATGTTCATTTAGTGTAAAGCGTATTACGTGGTACCAGATGAGAATGATATCCCGGAATATCTCTGAATGAAAAGCTACAGCAGCACAGTAATAACACAGAATGTTCCTTATCTTTGTACGAGCACCTGTCAGATTTTGTTACTTATAACAATAAATACCTGTCCACAGCGAAAAACACAACCTTAGTTTTGTTCTTATCACGTAGATAAGTAAGAGAAAAATAGAAATAATACATACAGAAAGACCTACATTTATTTGTAAATAAAAAAAATGCTATTAAATAATATGACCCAAAAAATTGATATACTTATTGCCTTGTAAACAAGAAGCGATGAATTTGAGATGTCTTTAGCAAAATTGATATAATGTTAGTTAATATTAAAATGTTTTGTTAATCATTTCTTAATATTGATCTTTGCTATATTATCCTCAACAAATGAAACCGAGTAATAATTTAACACGCATAGCTGTCACATATGTATATAATATCAGCATGTCCGATCCAATCACTTATTCCATGATGTACACGAGAGCATATTATCGCCTACATTGAACAGTTTTGTATTTAGAACGTTAGTTTTTTCATTATGCTAAATGGAAATTTGTGCATTTTTAAAGTCATCTGCCAGAAAAGGGGGAACCCATTCCAAAATGGGGACTACCTTCCCTTCCTTCGGAAAAATGCCCTACTGCTATGGATCTCATATAAGGTGCTTCCACCAGGAGTTTTCCGGAATCCGAAAAAAAGGCTTTTATTGACATGGGGTCCACTGTGTCGGGTAGAGTAAATTCTCGGTTTAATTCCTTGGTGGAGGTTCGAGAGCCTATTCTCTCCTCTCTTCTGGCACTGATTAAAAGTTTTTTGTCTAACGTTTTCACGTTTAAATCATCCGGACTGAAATCTTCAATATCTATCTCCACTCGATACCTTTTCTCCCTATCCATTGTTGCAGGAGATTGAGAACCGCCACGAGATTCATATTTAGTTGTGGTTGATGAGGATGTCACATGTGAGGGGGGTGCCGAGTAAGTGCGCTGAAGATTGTTCGTGTTAGATACATGTGCAGTGCCGGGACCCCCGGGATACGGTTGTGGTGGTACACTACTGGAAAACTGAGGTTGTGATGTACTTCCAGGATATTGTTGTGAACTTCCGGGATATTGCGGTGTACTTCCGGAATATTGTTGTTGTGGTGGGGAAGAAGTACCACTCTTTGGCGACATGAAGGTAGTGAAAGTGGACGTGTGTGTTGTTGGTGGTGCGTTTTGTACTTGGACACCCAATGGTGGCGTGCCCCTGGGAGGAGGACTGGACACAGTCGAGCTGACGTTCTGCACTATCCTCTGTGTGCCGCTGTTGTCTGTTATAGGTGCATAATTTGGTACCGGCATCGGTGCCTCTGCAGTAAGCACACCATCAGATGAAATAGTGCAGTGCAATGCCATGGGATCGATTTCGTTTGGAATATTGATTTCGCGACTGTACTCACGAGAAACAGATCGTTGACCGCCTTTTTCTTCATGCTTTGCGTTGACAATAAGTTTATGTGCATCCATTTTCACACTGACTTCCTCTGGTTTATAGTCACTGACAATAAAACGAGCCCTAAAGACAGGTCTCCCAAACTGATCGTTTTCTATTGCTGTTTTAGCGTCGTCCGAGCCACCCAGTTTGTCCGTCAATGCCTCCATCTTCCCGTTGCTGCTCGGACGCAGATTAAAGAATCCGCCCCTCATATTCTCTATCTCATTTTCCCATTCTTTGCGCCTCCTCTCCATATCTTTTTCCATATCCTCCCACACTTTGCTCTGTCGTTCTTCGAAACTTAGATCGTCCTGTTGAATAGGGATCCTGTGTGCCATTTTGAAAGACCTAAAATAAGATGAAAATACATGTACATAATTATATAAATCAACTGAACGCCTTTAGACCTTTTGAACTCCCTCCCCAATCTTCATTTTCCCCCATACCTCACCCAATCTGGCTCCTTCAGTTTGTTCGCCATGTTGATGTTAATAGTAATATTCAGCGTTATTCTATTTGCCACTGGTTCAATAATCAATATTTCTAATTCATTTCTCCTCGTTCTGTATGTAATGAAGGCCGACGATAGTGGCTATAAAAAGCCACCGAATTGTGTCGTATAATTACCAGTTTCGCTTCGGCCAGTTCACGGTTTTCTCGCCGCTACATATAATTCACATTGTTTATTGTTGTGGTCAGAAATCGTTACCTGACTCTAAAGAAAGTTTTAATTTCGTTCTTTTTAACTTCGGAAACATTATTACAGCCGTTTTGTGTGATTCAATTACAACACAAGAGGAGCTTGTTTTTTCCGAATTTTAATCCTTAACTACTTTGACTTGAATTACATTTCAATGTTACACGATAAAATGTTTTCTCACACATAAAACCATAGAATGAGAAATATTCCAGCTTGCACAAAAAATAATGAAAGCACAGAAAACAATAAATTTCTCCCAGAGCGCAATTTCTTACAAATTAAATCAAAGATTTAACCCAACACTAATACACGTCATGCATTACTATATGGTAGTTAAGCTATGATTGATGACTTTTACTTACATACAACCAGGTAGACATATACTAGCAATGAATGGAATATTTATCGTACCACTACTTATCACTCGGGATGTATTAACGGTCCACTCCCCACCGTCCGTGTTTTTTACTGCTTACAAAGATACATTTATTTACCTGTAACTTTGACCAGCGATGAATCACCTGAATTACACCTGTTCCAGGTATTATCTGATTAAAGAAATACTTTTCGTGAAGTTCTCAAATGAGTTGCTGTATTCTTTGATTTTCCAAAAATAGAACTTTACTATGTACACTGGCTTGAACCTATTACTTCTGTGTGCACGTGCGAACGCGCGAGATAAAACGATCCGAATAGCTTTCTCAGTTTTAAACGGTTCTGTTATCTTTTCAGCATCTCTTACAACTTTATTTATCGTAGATATCTTTCCAATGCGGAAATCAACCTCTCTCCCTCTCTCTCCAAAATCGAGACATTAATTTACTGTTAAGTACATGTCTATGGATCATTTAGTCTTACCTTAATTTTATGAATTTGTAGACGAGACACAGCTATAACTTTTTGATTCCAACTGTTTATGCATGTTTTTGTGAAAGTGCGTTTTTAAACACTACATTTCATTGTGCATGGCGCGGAAAATGACGTATCAAACAAACAATTTCAATGCTAACGTCACGCTTGGTCAAATTTGGATAGTGTAACGTTTGACAAAATCTATATTTCATTTGGAGCTGTCAAGACTCGGGGCCACAACAGTTCACATTTTTATCCCGGGCAACATGTTTAGTTCTGAAACATTTTTTACAGTCCGGTGATGACAATAAATAAGGCATGATTAAGATGCACTGCAACGAAGTCTTGTATTACGGGTTGGTTATGTGGGTGTGATTTTGGCGTTGGCGGATGTTTCAACGGAATAAAATTCCTGTTCCAAAAGCATTCTTGGAATGCTACCTCATCTTGATGAGAAATATTACGCATTTGCTGCAGATAAACGTGGGGGTAATAAAATAAACAAAATATACACAACCCGTGTGTCTGGACTTTTTTCCCCCAAAAATATATATGTACAGATCTTGTTAAGTATCAAAAGGTGGCACATAAAGTAAATGTTATGGCACTTTGGTCAAATCTGTGTTTCTGTTACACATTATATAGTAACTAGCGTGATGAACCTATCCAGATGTTACTCTGTAGAGGTCAGCCATATAGCACACAAATCTAATGTTGTTAGTCAAGTGTTAGCTCAGCATCAAGCACAGCAGGCAGTGGTTCCATAACGAAATCGTAGACATCTCCAAATCGAAAGTTACAAGACATTACGTAATAAGTTTTCTCAAACAATAACACAGCGCCGACAGGGAAAGAGAAAACCGTTTCTTTTGATAGGACTTTTTCTGTTTTTACTGGTATATATTGGTCGATATCAATGCCTCAGATTATTCGGCATGAACTGTGGACTTCTGTAGATTGTTTCTGCCCTGAAGTAATCGAGCCAGGCGATAATGTACCAATATTTAGCTAATAAATTCTACAAAAACATGCTGCCTCGTCAAAAATGGAGCTCCTTATCAAAATTGATCAAAGCGATTTCAAATACTAACTGTATTCATTACTAAAGACCCGAACACAAATATGAATCACCACAAAATAAGGTTTCTAGGTAGTGGTTAACCTAAGAACTAAACTTTTTTTATTTTTCCTTCTTTCTTTCAAAAAGATGAAGAGAGATGCGTAGAAAACACATTTTTCTCATTGTCGAAGTAAAAAACGAGAGAATGTCGGTAAAATTATGAATTAATTCAAAAGAATCCACAGAATATCATGTAAGTGATCATACATAAAAAGAGAAAGAAACTTCAGAATCGGCCATGGCTTACCTTCGTTAAGCTATACTCCTGTCTACACGTTAATTCGGAAGTGATGTTCAGATATGATATATACCAACTAAACAAGAGAAGCTTCTGGATGAGTTTGACAGAGAATGGCTGGCGGGATGGGAGGGCTGATGTACAAAGTCAGCTGTATGTGTACAGCGCAACAGCCGCTCAGCTAATACGCCGATTGTAAGCTGGGTAATGACCAGAATTTTTTTTTTAACAATTGAGATTAAAAAAAATTGGGTATAATTTGATTTACATCTATTTGAATCCTTTCATTTTTATAACAAATATTTTTTTTTTTACTGAAATGGTTATAATTTGATTTAGGTACATACATATATGGATTCTTTTTCTTTTTAATATTTTTTTAATAAATCATTTCAAAGTACATGTAGTCGACTAATACTTTTGAATTTAGTAACCATAGAACTACAAAGAATAAAAATCGTACGATTTATCTGACAATCCAAGTTAAATGACGTCACAATACTTTATTGTGACGTCCTGGTCATTGTGATTTCATATCAAATCGCATAATATTGATATCGAAACAAAATGTCAAAATTCTTTAGACTTTTTCGAGGAGTAACAGTCAAAGATGTTGGAAATCAAGCTATTTTGGCAGACTATGGTCAAATGTTGAATTGTCTGCTGGAAATGTCAAAAAGCAACAATGCGCTTCAAAACTTGTATCAGTCTCTACGGAAAAATATAATGTACAGCAAAGAAAAGCTCCAATACTCGGAAGATTTGATGGAAATGATTGCAGATAAGTTCGAAGGTATGGACGAATTACTAGGACGTGTTAGTGAAATTCTTCGCGTCGAGGAAGACGTAATGCGACAAAAGAAGGAGTTGTTGAGAAAGATGAGAGAAGACGTCGGTAAGACAGACATTTAAATGGAATGAACAAAAAACCAAGAACCCGTAGAAAAAAAAATGCATTTGACATATTTTGTATATGAATTTCACATGATTATAGTATGTATGGACAATATGCATATTATAGACTCGATGTACATTGATTTTATTACTTATTATTTACTCCATTTTACTGATATATATACTCAGCATTAATTCTTTCTAGCTGATTCCAAATTCCGCCTTTTGTCAATGAAAAAGCCAGAGCTGGAAAAGTACATGAAATTAGCCGAGGACCAGGCTGTTCCGAGTATAAGCGGATTTGTCCGCGAGGAACGAGGTGGGTGAAGGGGTCAATGATATCGTTTTATGTACCGTATCATGGTCGTTGTCAGTGGTATTATATAAAATTCAGAGCTGCGGGAAATGTCATTTGTTGACAATGGACATATTTTGTGAAATTTATGAGATCGTTACCTATAAATTACTAATATATCAGAAAGGTGAAAAATAATCGTTGTCTATAAATATTCTACTTATTGAAAAGATACATTTGAGTCAACCGTCTTGTGAAATAGCTTAAAGTACATACAGATATTATTCATTTAAGACAATTAAGGTGAAAAAAAATCCTTGTAAGACATTTTGTTTGCGGGAAATATTTGTTGGATAATTGATAATCATTAAATGCATGTTTCTCCTAATCGACAGTAGTTTTATCCAATCCCCCAACCCCCTTTTTATACACCTAATTTTTTTTTTTTTTAATAAGAATACGAATTGCATGTCTATCGATTTGGATGGCTATATCATTCAAAAATAAGTTAAATGAACACCTAGGGACATAAACTAGTGTCTTCCCACAAATTTTTATTAAAATAGAAAACTTTGGTGTCGTAACACCATATATTTTATTTTAACAAAAAATTGTGGGAAGACACTAATTTTGAGGAAAAAATATTCTTTAATTGGTGTACCGATCTTCTACATTAATAAAGGATACAGTACATTGAATTGCCTACTGTTGTTTAGAGTCAGAATTTTGATACTGCTAAATGAATATTGGATAGATAAAAAAATATTCTTAAATGAAAAGTATATAACAATTTATTGTATAGATGTACAAGTGTTAGGACTATGACAACACATGAGTACTACTTTCATACAGAGCATATGTTTCCTTTTTTCTTTATTTTTTCTTTATTTATTTTTATTTTATTTATTTATTTATTTATTTATTTATTTATTTATTTATTTATTTATTTATTTATTTATTTATTTTTGTTACTGAAGTGTTATCCCATAAGGAATCTGCCTATCGTACATATTCATTATAAATTTGAAAAACATTTACTCGTTTTTTTTTTAATTTGATTCCAAATCAGGATTCAAACTATTGTAAAATCTAAAAACTACAAGAGATTTCGATAATAGTGCAGAACTAGACTAGTGCATTTTATTTGGTGAATTAGAATATGCATTCAAAATTGACAAAACATCAAACTGTAATTAGCTTTAGGATTTAAAAAAAAATGCATCGTTTATGTGAAGCTCGAAAGCTAGAATTTCTGTCGTTTTTCCGTCTGTCTGCTAAATTTACTATCGAGAGGTATATAATGCAAAAATAAGCATGGGGGGAGGGGTTATTTTCAGACAGTATCATCATCTACTGCATGGTGCAAATGCTTCAAAGGATAAGTCTGAAAATTCTTTCATGAAATTATTTATACAAATAAATTTCTTTAAAAAATAACATAATCCAGAAGTGATACTTAATTTTATGTTCTACATAAATACGACAGCCCCCTTTAAAAAAAAAAAAAGTCACCAGCACGATTTGATAATGATATTCTCACCAAAAAAAAGTAAATTGACCGTTTTTTTGTTTGTTTGTTTGTTTTGTTTTGTTTTTGTTTGTTTGTTGGTTTTTTTTCGGGGGGGGGGGGGCAAATTCTTACATGATAATTTCATCATAATTTTCTTCTAGAGGCTGTCTTAAGTTTGTGACAACGAACTCCAAAATTTATATTATTCCATGAAAACAATTTTAACTAGTACATGTATGTACATTTTATTTAAGCAAGAAAAATAAATATCACTGATTGGGCAGCAGACAACAGTTAAAAACTCTCCAGGCACGAAACAGAGAAAAAAAACATGATAATTCACCATGAAAAAAATGTCGGAAGTTGACATTATCTCTGAAATAGAGACCCTCAACTCTGTGTAAAAGTACATTACGTAATAAACATGGTCTGATGTGACACCAACTTGTTCTGAGATGAAAAATTCATGTAAAATGCAGGGAGAGAAATGACATAAACTATTTAGAGACTATTTACTGCGTGCTAATTTATTGATTTCGGTGATTTTTTTCCCTATTTTTCAGAACAGCTAGAGCAACGGCTTGTTAGCGCCAAGATTGCTGTAAATGATTATATAGAACGAAACTTTGACGACCAAGAGGCGTATACTGATATACAGGTATTTGTACTAAATACTAGTGATATATTGAGCTCATATACATGTAATAATATCAAAAATGAAATATTTTGCTTTGAAAAGCAGGGCAATGTTTGGGCATAATATCCACAGGCACTTGACGCTTATATATATATATCTTTCTTATCTAATATATTTAGTAAAGCATTCACGACAAACATGCATTACAAATACATGTAGAGGGAGGATGAACAAACTTTGATGAGATCGGTAAAACTCTCTTGAGCATCTTGATCACAAGAAGAAAACGTTTTCTACACGTGTACATAACTCTTCGGCTATATATGATGCGGAAAAGTATTGATGATTACAAGCATCGTTTTTCCAAAGTGGGAGATCAGAAGAAATACTAATAATCAACTAGGCCAAGAAAATGATTAACTAAATTAAACACTGAAAAAAGTTCAAAATGAAAAAAAAAATGCCAAAACTCAAGAACTAATCTATTGGGTTGGGGATTGGGGTGGAAGGATTCTTCTTTAAGGAAATCATTTTCGAGTCAGTATATCGAATACGTAAAAATGGGAAGGTTAAAAAAAAGAATAGGGTTTCTTTGACTACACTGCAACGAAAAGTGTGTCCCTGTGACTTGTGACTTTCGCTGACTGTAATTAAAAGAGTTGTCATGTTCGTTAAGTTTGAATTTACCGGGTGGGAGTAAATACAAAATTTAGAACATTTTGTATTTACCCCCACCCCGGTAAATTCAAAATTTAGAACATGACAGTGTTGTTTGTGCCAATGTTTGTTTGTTGTTGTTGTTGTTGTTGTTGTGTGTGTGTGTGAGAGAGAGAGAGAGAGAGAGGTTGTGTGTGTGTTTAATAGGGTATAAATTGTGGGTTATTTTAGTCGTCTGTTTTTAGCTTTACAGGGAATTCTTGCAACAGGAACACAACAATCACATGCTAGTGATTCTGAATGAGTTCGGATCCCTGAAAAAGAAGCGAACTTTTCTTCTAAGAAATCCAGTGTTTAATGGTAAGGGACAAAGCTAATCAATGACCTAAAGATCTAAATCTAGTAACAGATCAGAGATAATATGTCAAATAGTTTGCTCAAATTTATTTCACTTAAAAATAATCGGTAAAACCGACTTCATCATATGATGCCAAAGAAAATAAGTCTCCAGAAAAAAAATCAATTTGTAAGCTGTGTAAAAACAATGTAAACTATACACTGCACGATGCTGAAACTATCAGTTTTACATCGCTCATGTCTTTGCCAAAATATCTGTCGCCCAATTTTAAAATGATAGCAAAGGCACGTGTGGTATCAATGCTTTAAAATACATGGTATTTCACTTTATAAAATCATACTTAATCTGAAGGTTGATTATGGTCATAGGATGACCCTAAACAAAGGTCAACTCAGACAAGGTAGAAGTCGCAGGAATTAGGAATTGAAAATTCTGATGGCTACAGCTTGCAGGATATATATATACTTTTTTGCAAGATGTCAGACTTTTAAGCTATTTTTAAACATACTGTAAACGTACTTTTTTCCACGGGGTCATAATTCCGCGGAAACATAATTTCTTTTCAATCCACGTGTACAAAATTTCGCGGATTTCTTAAATTGCCACTATATGCCTAAAATGTACTTTAAGTATACTGGGACAAATTCCACGCAGAAAAAGTACTTCTACAGTACTCTTTTTTCACCTCACCTGAACTATCAGCTCATGCAGGTAAGCTTGTCTGATCACCAGTTGTCCACTGTCCAGTGTCTGCCTATATAAACTTGACACACTCTGTCTTCTTTTCTGGAACCACTGGGCTCGCAAGCCAATACCAACCAAAATTGCTCATGCAAACTTGTATGAGGCCAATCAGAGAGTGCATTTCTTACCCCGTCAAACTAAGTCTATTCGGTCAAGGGTTTATGTGGATCAGAGTGGATCAGAAATTCTTGACTTGGGAAAATGCATAGAAATCTGACCCCCTATTTTTTCACTACATTATATAATAAAACCTTTAGAAATGAGATGTGATACCTGGGTTGGGGGAGTTCGGCAAAGGCCTAGAGATGACTGCTTCTCCTGATTTTTTTTTTTACTATGAAATGTTTGTTGGTGAGGGAGCAAATTACCTCCTCCCTCCTTCACTTCTTTTATATATATATATATATATATATATATATATATATATATATATATATATATATATATATATATATATATATATATATATATATATATATGTGGCTCTATTAATTTAACCATTGAGCGCAAGATTGATAATTTTTTGTAAATAAGATTGGCTTGTCTCCAAACCATGCACTGCAGTATGGTTCTCCCTATTTTTGCTCCTGTCATATAAATAAAGCCTGCGGACATTAATTTTTAACATGTTCGCTCCCCCTCCCCCGTCCTTTTCATAACTTTCATTCTTCCTTCAGACTTAGAATTGAATCTTATTTCAAGTGCTTTACGATTTACAAACTTTATCTCTATAATGTTACATAGTTTGAGGAGAGCGCCTATGCGCGACAGAGGCAAACTTGTACCAATTTTTTAAGCCCACAATTTGCATGGCTCTCTGTTTTGATTGAATGGCTATTTTGCTTTTATAATTGAATGATTTTAATTTTCCCAGAAGCATGACTAGGGCGTGTTATAAGGTGAACATTTACTCAAATTACACTGATGGTCCAACGGTTAATCATTTAACACTATCCATTCAAAAACGTTAAGTGGAAATCTATGGCTAGTAAAGTAGAACCATGCAACAAGTAAGGTTACATGTAGGTTTATTAACAGTGCGCATTTGAATAAAAATCCAAAAGAACATTTATATGCAATGAGAAAATATTACATACCGGGTAATGCGTAGAACAACGAGGGAGTCATGATACAAGTGCATTTTGGCTAACATTCAACGCAACGACACGATGTCTGAACAGGAAAAAAATTATAAAAATATAGAATTTAAATAAACTGGATGCAATCAAGGGAAAGGGATAGTGAATGTCGAACCCTAATTACATACTTGGTCAAATAAAGAATATTTTATAGACCTCTTCTCTGTGGATAATTTAGGACATCAGCCGGAAATCTACTCTTCATAACGGTACATCAAATAATATCCAAATGGGATTTCAAGCTTAAGCTGACATATCATGTCCCTTGCATGTTAGTAAGCATATAAATATTGTTCTTAAAGCATATAAAATTAAATGCGCAAATAAATAACGCAATGATCAAATTGTGAACTTGGAAGCAGTATTTTCTGTTGTGTGAAGTTATCGGCCTTATAATTACAAATTACATTCATTTTTTACAAATATAAACAATTCGGCTAAATCAGATTTAAACTAAAAAGATCAAGAAATTTTTTTTTATATTTTTTTTTAAATAATGATAAGAATTTTCTCTTTTTTATAGAATAAGTATTTTTTCCATTATTTGTTAGTGTAAATAAACTATGAAACATCTATGTGTTCTGCATATACATAGTTTATTTCACAAAACTAAAGAGTCAGACGGAACAATAAATAAACAAAAAGAGAGGGTAAAAGTGAGGGGAGAGAGGGTAAAAGAGGGAGAGAGGGGTAGAGAGAGTGAGTAGGGAGAGAGAGAATGGGGAGAAAGAATGGGTGTGGAGACAGAGTGAGTATGGCGAGAAAGTGTGAAGAGAGAATGGGGAGAAAGAGTGAGTAAGGATAGAGAGAGTGGGAGAAAGAGAGAAGAGAAAGAGTGGGTGGTGAAAGAGAGTGTGAGGAGAAAGAGTGGGTAGGGGGAGAGAGTGTGGGGAGAAAGAGTAAGGAGAGTGGGTAGAAAGAGTAAGGAAGGAGAGAGTGAGTAAAGAGAGAGAGTGGAGAAGGGGGAGAGAGACTGTGGGGAGAAAGAGTGAGTCAAAATTTTACAATGGAATATAAGAAAAAAATCTTTTAAAAAAAATTTCAATCTTCTGTTCAAGAACAGCATAGCCATTAGTTATACTAACATGGAAGCATCCTAAGGTAGTGTAAAATTCAAGTTTGCCACCACCCCTCCAACACACACACACACACACCCTCTCTCACACACACACACACACACACACACACACACACACCATGTAAATTTTTCAATATTGAACCGATAGCCAATGTGCTCAGGTGAGCGATGTGGTCCATGGGCCTCTTGTTTATTTATATGTTTCTCTTTCTTACACCAGCTAAGAAAATGATCTTGAATTTTTAAATAGTTTCAATTGTGGAAACTTTTATTAAACGTGATAAAACAAATCAAAGAAAACGCATATTCTTGCTCTAAGAGTCAAAGAACATCATTACATCCTTGTTATGTTTTCCTTTAATGGGAATAAAACATCTTGTTATTTTAACTTTAAAGCTTTAGAAATGAACACTTTATATTATAAGGCTGCGTGATTTAACCCCCTATGTATTTGCCTAACAAGAATTTTCCTACCAAAACCATGCAATTTTGTTAGGTTGTTTTTTTTTTGTTTTTGTTTTGTTTTGGGTTTTTTTTTTTTTGTTTTTTGTATAAAAAATGACACAGGGTCATTATTCTACGGGGTCATTTTTCTAGAATCCACACGGAGAAAATGACCCCAAGGCCATAATTTCTACGATAAAAGTGGTTCATTTTTCTGCGTAAAAAAGTTATCCTCGGTCAGTATTCTACGGGGGTCACTTTTCGTCATTACACCGGATCCCCTCCAAGGGGAGATAATCAAGAAAAGGAAAAATAGGATGAGGTCCTTTAAAAATCGTCTAAGAACCACGGGGCCAAAAAAGATGAAATTTATGTGAAATCTCCCTAACATAGTGTAGATTCAAGTTTGTCAAATCATAGCCACAACATGGGTGGGGCCACAGTTCACAAAGTCTTACATGGTAATATGTATGAATCTTCTTAAGAAAAACAGGGCTTAATTAATATGCAAGCATCCTCAGGTAGTGCAGAGTTTTCTTTTATTCCCCTCTCAGATTGTAAGAGCCAATCGTAGAGAGTGGTTCAAATCGTGGTCCCAAGGAGTAGGACCACAGAAGGAATCAAGTTTTACATGGAAATAAATCATGAGGAAATTCAAAAAAAAAAAATCAGGAGTAGCAATCGCACACTAAAACCTGTTTATGCAAATATTCCCAAGTTGTGTGCTTTCAAATTCCCTTTTTATAATTATATGAACCATGGGCTTAGCTTCTTAGGGCCAATCGAAACTTCTCGGGCCTTTCCGACCAGCGGAAAAACAACCTCGAGGTTGTTTTTCCGACCTCTGACTGAAAAAATCCCGACATGATGCAATTGGCTTGGGGCGAGACTACAATCGTGGATCAAATTTTATATAGTGCATGTATATTGAGAGAAAAAAAATTAAAATCTTCAAAACAGTTTAATTACTGAAGTATCCTCTAGAGTCGCGGAGTAAGGAGCTGATCCTACGTCGCGGGTTCGAATCCACTGCGGGACGTGGAGACCGGTCCCTCGGATGAAACTGTATAAACCGTGTCGCAGTAGGTGTTAGCACGAAAAAGATTCCTCGCTGCTCAATGGCCCTGAGTGTCGAGTATAGGTATAAATTTGCAGCCCTCCACCGGCAATGGTGGCGTCTCCATATGAGTGAAAAATTCTCGAGAGGAACGTTAAACAACAAACAAATAAACAAAAATCATGTTGCATGGATTCAATTTTGGTTATGTCATTACCCTTTGAGGCTAGGGTGAGGTCAAATTTCATGAGGGAAAAAAAACATTTTTTTTTTCATGTCAGCGCTTTGACCCTATTCTCTTTAGAGAAGTGGACAGGCTTTCGCCTACATCATGGATGTAGGCGAAAGCCTGTCCACTTCTCTAAAGAGAATACTTTGACCCATGGGCTTTTTGTTTCTGTCATTAGTCCCATTATAATTCTGGTAATACTAAATGCAGCTATGTTGTTGAATCATGTTGAATATCAACTAAATTATTGATAGCTCCATGGAATTTGTAACATGATTAAGTGGTACCTACTCTTTTAACACTTGAAATTCACAGATAATGAAGGGAAGAAAGATTTGCTGCATTTGTTCAGGGTACCACAAGAAGAACTGGAAGCAACCCAAAAGGAATGCACTTCAATGGGACAAATGGTAGGCATATTTACATGTTACAACAGAACTCACTGTTGATCAATTTTATGGATGTACTAAAAAAAGAATACAAGGACATGAGTAACCCTGTCGCTAAGCTTAACGTTATTAGCTATATATATTGGTACATCTATATTTGAAAACCTTGTCATATCTGTACTGAAAGTAAAAACTGCATGCATATTATTCTCTTTAGAGAAGTGGACAGGCTTTCGCCTACATCATGGATGTAGGCGAAAGCCTGTCCACTTCTCTAAAGAGAATACATGCATATATGTATGTACATCGTTATTATATATGTGTGCAAGAGAAGTAAAGGTTTTGAAGAAAACCAGTATAATCTAGATTTCATTTCTCTTCCACGTGGAACTTTTTTCGGTTGGGAGGGAGAGGGATAATATATCATTTGGTAGATTTTACCAATGAACATAATGATACCATAGGCATCGGAAGGAAATTGAAAGTGGGGGGGGGGGGGGAACAAACCAACAAAAAACGTTTTCAAAGCCTATATTATGTCTATCTTTGTAAATAAAAAAGGGGGCTAACCCCCCCCCCCCCCACCCCCCGGTTCCGATGCATATGGATACAATAATGATATTTAGGACTTGCATTCTAAACTTTTTTGTCCTTCATGTATAAAATTATTCCCAGAATAATTTACTTATAATTTAGAAAGAGGCATTAACTGAACGGATCCGAGAGCAGCGGCTTACTAAATCCGCGATAGCGGATTCAAACCAAGAGATTCTGAAGAAGCTTCTGAATGAGAAAGATACCGTCATGAAGTTAAACATCCCCTACAAAGTCAATCAACAGCAGGAAGTAGGATTGAATGTTATAATGTCGATATAAATAAATGGAATGTATCGTTTTGTGTTTTGCTGTCTGTTCTAGAGAATACAAAACAATTTTTAAAAAAAAAACTACCCTACAAGCCTATCATATTATGCTTCCACGGCGCATGAGCCGCATTCCCTCGCTAAGTTACCATACCTTGGCCTAACCGAAGGAATTTTTTGGCCCATTTTGATATAGACAATAATATACCATGGTATGTACAATGTACAGGAATTTCAATAATAAAGCAGGCTTGTCCCTGATGGTGCTGAATGTTTGTTTGCATTTTTTTTCAAAAAGATGGTTGGTTGTTACTTTGATGTTCGAAGTATTTCTTCATATTTTTATCTACCTTTATCTTCTTTTGTAGATTTATAGATACCATGCATTTGTATCCACACTCTGAAGAATTTTAAAAAAAAGATTACGAGAATTGTGGTCCTCTGCAATTGGGGTCTTATTGCTTGGGATGCAATTATCTATGTAAAATTGTTACTGTCTGGTCTCTCCATCATACTCAAAAAAATATTTTCAATATGATTTGCTCTGGTTCAAAAGTTACGGCCAAGGTTGAAGATTTTAAAAGTCTGGGTTACGAGGTCAAAATTCATAGTGCATTTTGAAAAGTTTTGTCACATGTAATACACAGCAGAAAAATATGAAAGCTCTGTCTCTACAGTGCAAAGCTACGACAACAGTTGAAATATTTGAAATGATGGTCAAACTTTAAGGTCAAGATCAAAAAGCCTCGTCACCTCAGCTGCAAAAGCTATGGCCAAGATTAAATTCTTGAAAAGTACGTCAAATTTCAAGGTCCAGTCATGAGTCAAAAATCAGAGGTACAATGGGAAAGGTCTCATCATAGGTGATGCACTTGTGAAATATGGAATCCCTATCTCCTCTCATTAAGATTAAAGTTTTTGTTTCAGACATAAGGACAAAGGGACAGACAGATTAATGAGATTTATTAAATGTCTCCAAGTTTTTTGCAAAAGCAGAGGACAAAGAAATTCTCCTACACGAACGATAATAACACAAAAGTTACTTTCATTACTTTTATTAATAATGAAAGTCTGACCACATTTATACACAATTTATGCTGTCAAAACACAACATCCTCCAGCTTTCTTGATTTTCAGTTCCGCTGATCGGCTGAAGAAACGTGCCTTTACAATAACAGGCTGTTTGGGGAGATGACCTTTCCCAAGAACCTTGTAGTATCCCTGTCAACAAAAGTATACATATCTGATACATATCTGATCTGAAGGAAATAACATATCTCATTATCTACCAAGGCTCTATGGCAGAGCTGTAGCTCTCTAGAAAAGAAAATCCAAACAGACATTGGTTTGTCTGTCAGAATTTTCTTGCCCAAAGAGCTTCAGTTCTGCAGCTACCAAGGCTTTAACTTATTTTTTTTTTCAATCACAAAGGAGTAGTGACACCTGCGTTGATTTTTCTTACTGTAATTAAACACCATTATCACAGCAGTAATGTACATAAGAGCAAATGGTTTCAAAAATAAGTATTAAAAAGCCCTCAGCCACTAAAGAACACTTAACTACTATTAAAGAAAGCAGTGATCGGGATAAGAAAAAGGCTAAATGTGACAATGGCACATTCCAAGTCAGTGTCAATGTGACATTTGCGCCGTATGAAAATTTTTACCAAAATGTTGGTAATATGTCAGTACTAATTTGACTGGAAATTAAAAGACTTCTTCAATATCTAACTTACAGCTCGCACAACATCGATGACTGGGGCCTTGTCTTTATTATCTTTGTATGTTTCCCGGGTCTTATCTGACACCAGTGACCAAAGTTTGTCCACATTGACAGACGGGCAGAAGAACTTATTAAGAGTCTTGTGGAAATACCTCATACCAACTTTACCAAAGTAACCTGGATGGCTGAAAAATATTCTAGGCATTTAATTTTATCAAATAAACCATTCAACACCCTTTTAAATCATATAAAAATGCTGGTCAGACAAAAATGCACTGCTCATAAATGATAAACAAGTTAAAATATGTCAATATGAATCTGTGTCTCAGTGTGTATTATTTTAATATATTTGGTTACTTATTGTCATAATTAATTATGCGATTAATATTGGGTTACTTACTAGTTGTCATAGTTAATTCTAATACTGGGTTACTTACTATTTGTCATAGTTAATTCTGTGATTAATACTGGGTTACTTACAATTTGTCATAGTTAATTACGTGATTAATATTGGGTTACTTACAATTTGTCATAGTTAATTACGTGATTAATATTGGGTTACTTACTATTTGTCATAGTTAATTCTGTGATGATGCTGACCTCCAGCATTACCACGACCACCAGGATGCTTCCTGTGTTTTCCTAGAAACAGTAAATAAGACGGTACACTGAACACAATATACATTATATTTCTTCATTTGAACAAATTTTCTTATGTATATTACTGAAACCTAACATGAAAGTATGCAAAGTAAGTTTTTCCTTTTTGCTTACCTATACGACCATGTCCATGACTGACATGTCCCCTCAACTTTCTTGTCTTCTTGTTTCTTGTGGTCTGTTGACCAAAAACAAAAAAATAAATAAAAAAAAAAATGCACAAATGCAGTGTATTGAGTAATCAGCATAGGATGTCAATTTCCACACTTCTTTCACTATTACTAAAACTTTATAATAAGCAGGACTCATTTAACCCCCTTTTTTTCTCCCATTCAAGCTATCAGTACCAAAAGAAAAGGACCTGACAGGTTGCAAGAACAGACTTCATGTTTGCAAAATAATCTCAACAAAATATCTGCTTTTTCTGCATCTATATAAGTACTTAAACTTATATATGCCATATGCCTATAACCTGTACAGATCGGTACCCACTGTAACAAATCTATATCAACACACGTATTCACACTATGATCACTTGAAGTAAACTCTGTTATGAGTATATGTGTATTTCACAGTTTTGAATGCAAGATCATGCTCCAAAAATACTTCCTACTTGTGCTTCACACATATCCAAATTAAAGAATAATCTTTTGCAGCCTAGTTTTAACTGATGATCACTGAATATTTTTGAATTTTCTAAAAAATTTGGAGTCATCTCAAGTTCAATACTTCAAAATTTAATAAAGTCTCCAACAATCTAATAATATTTAGAAAGGTTTCAAATGTTAGAACAGTGCACAAGAGTGTAAAAATTGTAAACAAACTATTCTGAATAATCAGTGTACAGGTTTGTCTGACATCTAGTAAAACTGGATGTACAGGTAGTTCTGTTCATTTTAATGAAGCTTCAAAGGTCTAGAACAGGTTACTGATATTAAAGCTCGATGATGGTGACTTTATGTGAACTTAAAACGCTTTTACTTCATCGATGAATGCCGATATAAAATGTAAATATTCGTTTCACCCACCATGTTGGATTACACAGGATGAAGAGACCGGAAGTACGTTTCTTGCAATAAATTGTATGGACAACCTGCGGAAAGACGGAATTATTCAAATGTGGGGTTTTTTTTTTTTTGATCATGCATCATAAAACCAGTTGCCGATTTAGAGAGGGTGCACCTGGTGCTCTAGTATATCGCCTAATAAAACCATGAAGAGTTTCAAAAGGAATTATTTTGATCCAATTTCATCTCAAATGTGGCGTAACTATCATATATATATATATATATATATATATATATATATATATATATATATATATATATATATATATATATATATATATATATATATATATATATATATATATATATATATATATACATATATATATATGATATCAATCTCTCACAAAAATGGGTTTATTTGACAGTTTACCTCTTTTTCTTTAGTCTTCAGATCCGTAGCAATGTTTTGTTTTTTTTTTCAAAGTGTAGGGGGGGGGGAGGGGGGACACAAAGCAACAATAACAACAACAAACCTGGGGAAACAAAAATTAAATACACGTATGATAAAATAATGGACAAGTTGCTGTCCTTTAAAAAAGGACTGCAATACGTGGACCATATGCATGTGTTTCTAACCGAAATCCAAAGAAAATTTCTAGATTCATGAATATACATGTAGGTGTGAATAATTTTTTTTATCTTGAAAGGTAAAATTGTCATCGCTATTTCAGTTAAATTGCTAATTAAACTGTAATAAAAAAAAAATATCAGGCCTTAATATGAAATCTTGATCTAGGCATCTTTCACAATTATAATGTATCCTTTAAAATTTAACCAAAAGAGATTTTAACGTGCACGTATCATAATACACGTAGTTGAATTTTGTAGTTGCAGAGAAAGAGAGAGGGGAGAATTTTTTCTGTAATATAGATATTTTTGCATCTAATATTCTGAATAAAATTAAATAGTTCAATCTCTGCCCTTTCTGCTAGATATAGTTTCGCATATTTGTTTTCCTCCGTGTACTTTCATAACTCCGGCCCGAGCCCCGACCACCCACAAGTAACATGAAAATTTTCAGTTTGATATCATCGGAAGTTTCCGGCGAACTTAAGCTATGCCATTTTGGACCATCTTCTGAAGTAACCAACTTTAAGAAGTATACATTTAAGAAGTATGCATAGAAAGTCTTGAAAGGAAAGATGCGTAAGAAAATATTCCTCTCCTTATATTATGGGGATATTCTGATGGCCCTAGGAACTGGGGGGGGGGGGCACGGGGGCTGTGCCCCCCCCCGGTAATTTTGCCGATATATAGAAAAACATAGGTAATAAATGCTTGTGTCTCCTCAATGAAAATGTCTGAAGCCCCCCTCCCCTTTGTCTGGCCTGATATTAATCAATGAAGAGAAATGTTTAAAATGTTCCCATAGTATGCGGGTGGAGGGGGGCTCACGTTTTCTAAAAAATAACCTTTTGCTTTAGTTTTAATATATAAATTTTGATTTCGGTATCTCGAACACCGATATGTCGAATACCACGGATATCTCGAAGTGAATCAACGGTCCCGACGTTTTTACTATATTTATGATTTTAAAAAACCCCGGTATCTCGAACACGGAAATCTCGAATACCTCGCTTACCTCGAAGTAGATTTACGGTCCCATGCAAGTGCTATAAACACATGCGTTATCTCGAAGTCCAATTAATTTCTTGCTCCGCTGAATTCACACCTTAGTACACAATTATCCCGTTATGCTAATTTTCCAAGACGTTCAATATTGTTGCCGTTCTTAACTTTTTTTACGCATTGATCATCTATATATATAATTATCGATAAAATAGTCACATCCCCTCCAATTTAATTCAAATTTTCGCCAAATGACGTTTCATGAATATTGTAGCGACAGGTGAAATATCATAAATCTTTATGCGCCACAACAGTACAATTTTTAATTTAAAAAAACGTCTATGTAATGTAAACGTGCAAAAAAGTGACATGCTCCGTGAAGCATGTTTTTCCTAAATAATATACCTGTATATTTTTTAAGAATCGTCGCAAAACACAGAATTTTTGCATATTTATAGGAAAATACGCATAGTTTTTATCTGCAGAGTTTTACCGGTTTCATGCAATAGCGCTCTCACAATAGATCTTGTCCGCGAACTTTTTTGACAACCCTCGTATATATATAAAATAGTGTGTGGGGGCCCAGGGGGCGAAGCCCCAGGAAGCTCCTGAATTCTAGAGATTTTGTGGGGTAAAAATGAGGTCTACCGAGTAGAAATATTTACATTTTCTCGACGAAACTGTGATTTACGCTAACTTTGACAATTTGGGGGGGGTGCGCCCCCCTTAAATCCGCCACTGGTCAGACACTAAACAGATATTGCTAAGGTATATTTTCCAATTTTTATATGTTTTCTCCCATGTTTTCCTAAATTCCAATTTTCCTAACATTTTCATGATTTTCCATCAGTCATCATTTTCTTAAAGCATTTTACAGGCCCGTAGCAACGGTTTAAAAAGTGTGTGTTTGGGAAGGGGGCAACCCTCCCCCCCCCCCCCACCAAAAAAAAATCTGACAGGCAAAACAAAACAACCCCCCCCCCCAAAAAAAAAAAAACAAACCAAAAAAAAAAAAAACAAACAAAAATCAAAAAACGGAACAAATTAAAAAAAAAAATTAAAAAACTGTCCAAACTCGAAAATCCTATCCCCGGGGTTGGTAGGGTTGGGGTCCTTACTTTCTGGTACATTTTTTTTCGATCTTGGAATTGCCAGTGCTCGAACTGAACTTACAGCAACAAAAAAGGGGGAACCAGAATCTAAATGAAACTAATACTATAGTCAGAAACCCCCCCCCCCCCCGTTCTACTGGCCTGTTTTAAAACATCAGTCTCGATTCCTGTGCTAAAATATGTTAACCTTGTTCACTTGTTCATGTTGATATCACTTACATCTAGTTACATATGTATAATTAAAAGGATTCATGTGAGAGGAGAGGAGCGGATCATAACCCTTGGCTAGCGAAAATAGATTTTATCAATGGATTTTTTACGGTGTAATATTTATTAGTACATGTATATATTAAAATTTCTGCGTAATTGGCTGTATAAAAAAATAAGTAATTAATTAATACTGAAATCGATAATGCAACCAGTAAATACGTCATGTACTAAAAAATGAATGTACATGTATATTGCAATGACAATTTAAGTGTTACCGTGCATTTGACTTACAATTAATTGTAGTTTCTGCTGTTATTTTCACATAAAGTATACTGATAACATTTGTGAAAATATCAGTTTTATTCAACGGATACATTACGGTATTACACTGTTAAAAATGTAAGAAATATCGATATCTTCACTTGTCAAGATTTGGTGATTGCGTATATATTTCACGAAAACCCTTGATGAAAGTCGACTTTTTTAAAAAGACGAGATAGCACGGAAACTGATTCGCTGATGTAGAGCACAAATATAGACAAACAAGGATATATACTACTGCTTTGAACATTATTTGAATATGATTTTTGAATTATGTTTGTTTTACATAATTTTTCGAACTGGTAGGTTGGATAACATCACAAATGTCTTCTTTTTTTTTATGAAATATGGAGATAACTAATAGTAATCAAGCTCAAAAGTCCATTGAAACAATACAAATTGGTAGCAGATCAAACACGGACCTCTAAAAGCAGAGGTGGGATCAAGTGCTATGGAAGAGTAAGCATCCCCTGTCTGTCGACCGGTCACACCCGCCGTGTTCTCCTTGTCATGATCGAGCAAACGGAAAAATCTGTAGACAATTCAGTGTGTAAATAATGGCCTAACAAGTAGTACATGTATATGAATAAGTCAGTCAGCATAAAGTTTTGTTGTAAGGTTACCATAAACGTCTCTTTCTAGTAAAATCTGTTTCCTTCTTCTCATGTAAAAGTTTTTGAATGAATTCTACTTCATATGAATATAAAAATATTATAAAAAAATTATATTATATATTATATAAAAATAAACGTTGCGCGCCCCTTCTACCCCCCCCCCCCTTTCCCACAATCAAAGTTTTCACAGCCGGCCATACATTGATGAAATAAAGGTAAAATTACAGTCATTTATAAACTAAATACTGAGTTTTAAGAGCTAAGGAGCTAATGGGGGGGGGGGGTAGAAAACAAGACATGTAATGGTCGTAGGAATTGGGGGGGGGGGGGTGTCTTCCAAACTGAAAATGCTTGAACAACCCCCCCCCCCCCCCCCAACTGAAATTACTTCCTAGGAGCTTTGAATTTGAGATAAATTCTTAGTTTACTCAGATATAGTGCAACTTTCATAAGGGACCAAAATATTACATGTTGCTACTTATTACTGCCTTAATATGGTAATTAAATTTCCATCAAATTTTTATAAAACTTCCCACTTGAAGTTGCATGTATATCTTGATACTGGTCGTTGAGGCCGTCGTTACACATTGAGGATGCCCGTATGGATCATTTCCTGCACGCTTCCTGTTTGACTCTAATGTTAAGTGTGTCGTTCACGAAAAAGAAGGATGAATCGTCTCGATTTTTGAATGCATTGCAACATATATACAGATGTGAAGGAAGGTAATGTTAGACTTTTGAATTCGATGCTTCTGTATTTCCGGAACAATTTTAGCTTTATTCTTTGAATTTTATTGACACCGGAAGTCGGTCGTTGAGGATGATAAACAGTGAAAAAGTCAACGAAAATGTAACATTTGTCGATTTGACAAAGTTACCCAATATAAAGTAAGATAAGCAAAATTAGGCTATTTTTCAGACCGTGATCTCTTGGACAGAAAATATTTTTTTCATTACATTTGAACGCGACAGTGACAGCCACTGAATTGTAATAGATCTAATTTATTCTTGTAGATCTACATGCATTCATTACATTGTAAGTAAGAGTGATGAGTTTATTAATTAATTAATAAATTCATCACTCTTACATTAAATATTATAAGGCGTTAAAGTTATAGACTTAAAAATCCCTTTTATTCAACAGGTCCCACACAGTTGCTACTGTTTCCATAGGCGAATAACATTAACTAAAGGATGTTGTGGGACAAAACAATGAATGATTAAAGTGATTAAAGAATGTCTGAGGAGAATCCAACCACAAGTTTAAGACAACTGCCACCAGGCCAGCTGGAGAACATACGAAAGCGATTTGAATCAGTGGGAGAGAGCCCTCAAGCTTCAGAAAATGGTGTAAAACTGAGACCAAAGCCTCATGCACAATCTAGTCCTGTTCATCAAAGGCCCACAACTACAGTACTAGACTCTCCTGTTAGGACAATTATGAACAAAGAAAAACTACGCCCTAAAAGTACTGCAGTGTTACCCAGTTCTTCACCTAGAGTAGCCACAGTATTAAACAAATTTGAGTCGGTAGGGAATGAAGAAAATTTGAATGTTACACCTAAGCCCAAGACAAGAGATATAAGCCCACATAAATTTACTGTGAAACCAACTATATCAAAGAAACCAAGTTTTACAAAAGCAGATGATCAAGAAAAACCTCCAATTTTAAAGAAGCCTAGCTTTTCAGCATCTGATGAAAAGAAAAAACCTGTTGTTGTGAATAGATGTAGCACAGGAGATGTGAGTGAGAATGATAAACATAGTAAACCTGTCAGTGTTGTACAGAGAAGAACACAGATGTTTGAATCAGTGGACAATACAGGGGAACCCAATACTCTTTCAAATGTGAAAAGTGTCCCACCTCCACGACCTGCTCCACCAGTCAAGCCAAGTTCCCGTCCCCCCAGTGTAAGCACTGATGATCAAGAAGTTCCCTTTTACGCTGAGGTTATTAAAAAAAAGAAAAATTCTGATTCTATGGAAGAGGAGGATGGGAGAAGGCAGTATTGTGAGGCTTGGGACACCAAGCCAGTGAGCAAATTGATAAGCTCCCCTGCTAAACAACCAGCTGTCCCACCCCCACCAAAGAAACCCCCAAGAACTGGGGCACATGATGAATACATGCAAATGAAAAAACAAGGAGTTGCTTTTCATCTTTATGATGATGTGCCTGATGAACAACTCTCACCAGTGTATAGGAAAATTGTGAAGTCTTCAGTTACAGATTCTAATAACAAACCTGACATTAAAATGCCCCGCCCCAGCAGACCCCCTCCTCCCAGGGCACGCCCAGTGACAGTTTCAGGACTAGAAAAGGAATCGTCAGAGATGAAAAGCGAGTTACCCCATAAACCCCTGTCCTCACCTAGTCTTAAAGTGTATGAAGAAGTGAATGGGGGTGATTTCAGTATTAGTAACATTAAACATTGGGATTTACCCCTACCAGTACCCCCCTCCGTTACATCTATCCCAAGTCATGGTTCAACCAATCTAAAGCGCAGTCTAAGTATGGACAGTTTGATGGGAAACCCAGTATATTGTGATCCTGCTCTGACTGTGAAGTCTCGAGATGACAGTGAGATATATATGGATAGTGAAGGGTATGCTATGCCCACTGGAACCCCCACACATCGAGGGCTTGGCAACTCTGCTTCTCTTGATACTGACCCATCATCTGGAGGGGTAAGGATGAAAGTTTTAAACATGTTAAAGATTGTTAGCTATATTTAAGAATTTTTGCCTATAGATATTTTTTCTTTGAGAATGTTTGGATATAGTACGTGGCCATGCATACCCAATGTGGGTATATATATACTGTATACAGGGAAATGTTCGCCTCCGTTTTATTTTCACCCCTTTCACCCTAGACACAAGTGGGCGAATTTAAGACGGGGCGAATTTTAAAGAAAACAGTATAATTTCTTAAATAGAACTGTGACTGGGCGAATTTAAAACGGGGCAAAATTCTTTGCAAGTGTGAAAGGGTGAAAATAACCCTGTATACAGTATACAATGTAATATATTTCATGTATATATTATAAATATATGCAGCATTGTTCATAGGTCAAGAACTAAATTAGACATGTATGATAAATGCACTACTGTATGTACTTATGTTGTTCATGTATGCTACATTTTTAATGTGAATAGAATTAAACATGTTAAATGTAGATGTGACATAATACATACACACAAAATTGTTAATGTAATAAAAATAACAAGAGCTAGGTAACTTGATATTAGTCATTTTACTGAAAAAAAGAAATTGTTTTGCTCTATCCTGAATTATGTATTGATAATTAGATCTTAAGTCATATGAAAAGCTAATAGCATTTTACCATGTTTACAATGCTGTTAGCCTCTATAATGATTTGCTTATTTTGTTCCTAAGTTTTCAGTTTGCTATAAAATTTTCCTGGATTTTATCTATTTTTCAATCAGAGCTTCCTGTTACTTACATTCATGTACCGACAGCTTTATTTTCACATGACAAAGCAACAAACCAGGTGTAATTACACTGTGTCTCTTGATTTCCATTAAACATAAGTGAATTTTAAATGCATTCAGACATTTAGAAATACAGGAAGTCCTGTAACAGAATCCTAGGGATTGCTCGTTTGACACATTTTAAGCTGTGTTGTATTACCCAGTGTTAAAATTTAACTAAAAAAAAAGGTTTTCTAAATTTTTTAAGTTCTCCCTCAAGGAATTGATAAGTACTCAATCAGTTTTAGTAATTTGAAAAAAAAAAATAGTAAATAAATTTTTTAAAATAATTATAATAAAAAGTACAGAAGAAAAAAAAGTTACTCCAGTTGAACGTAACGCTAAATTCATTCTTTGTATGAAGTCTCACAATATAATCAGTATGCATCACCTTATGTTTATTTTAGTGATCTTTTCTTTGCTTAAAAAGTTCAGTTAAAAGTACTTATTGATATTATAATGTATGTGAGCATAATATTTTATTCTTTTCCACATTATTTAACAGATTTGTCGTCCACTAAGCCATGCAGTTATGAAGCAGCTAAAGAAACTGAAACCAGCCATAAAACCGAAGCGAGCATCGGCGAGAGAAAACTGGAAAAAACTGCAAAATGTAAGAATAAAACTAAAAATGCAGTTTTACATGCTTGGGGTTTGATAATCATTTGTGACTAGTTTGCATGCTTTTTAATCATGTTAACATTTATAAATAATAGTTAGAATTTATTGTTAAATCATTAATTTTGTGAATGCAGTTTGACTGTGTTTTGCTTGATTTCTTGCTTTTTTGCGCTCACTTTCCCTCCTCTCACAGACATATGAGACTTTGATCCGCTGGGAGGAAACACACTCTCACAAAATACCTGCATATGTTCCAGAGAGCACTTTAGTTATCCTAAATAATAGTAATTCGCCCAGATTCAGTTAAGTTTTGCCAATGACCAAGAGAAAACGTCCATTATATATCATACCTTAGAGTGAAGAGAACATTTTCTGTTGTTTTCTGCATATCAACTCTTCATGAAAATAATATTTGGATGAAAGATGTTATTAAATATTGATCGTTAACAGAAAAATTCAGACCTGGATGCAATATGATATGAATCAAAAAATAAATGTAACGTAAATCACTGCAACATATTTCACAAAAAGGGGATTATTTAGCCCTTTAAAAAATTCAAAAAATTTCTGAAATTTTTATGAGAAATTAATAGCATCATTGATAGTTTTGAGTCAATGATTTGCATTCCATTGAGCTGCAGTATTAAAGTATATAATAATGTAGGTTACAAGAAAGTGGAAATTTGAAATACTATTGTCTATACTGAAATTTTGAATTTTATTCTTTTGTAGAAGACAGAAAATATTAGTTTCTTACAAAACAATATATTTCCAAAAAAAATTATATACTTTAATAAACAATGAAAATAAAGTTGTCAATGTCCCCAGATTTTCCGTATTGGTAGTTTAATGTTAGAATCATAAAAGGGACATAGCTATATTTATGTGGAGTCAGGTGAGCTTTGTGGTCCTATTTGTTAAAATGCACATCTTTAAGGTCAAGGTCTAGTAAATGAGTTTAGTCTGTCTTTTGGTGCTAGATCCATTATGACGTCATAATTGATTTAATCTTATTTTTTCCCGTATTTTACGGCTATAACAGAATTAAGTAGAAAATGACACATTTTCATGGAATTCAATTTGAAATCATTTCTAAAGGAACCCTGATACCTAAATTCAATTTAATATCATTTTAAAGAAGAGGTCAAGAAGATATGAAAAAACCGTTTATTGAGAGACTGTAGGCAATATTGATACATTTTATTTGTCTGAGATTCAGAAAACTCCCATTTTTATACCTGATTTTCTTCATTTTTCATTGAAAAGGGCAGTTTTAAGTATGTTTTTTTCGTTGCTTTTATCTAAAAATTATGCCCCGATACACCTCAATTTTCTTAGCTACAATTGTAAAAGATTATTAAAGGAATTTGTTTCTCAAGTTTGAGAAATCTGTAGGCACTCTTCATTTACTAGATCTTGACCTTAAGTTCACCTTTTAATAAATGAATTTGAAGAATATATGTCATCTTTGTGTACCTATAAATAAGTTTTTCATCCCATGGTGATACATACCATATATAAAACATATCTAAAATTACCAGTAAAATGTTGGTATTTTTTAATAAACCATTAGACTTTACTTTTCTTAAAGTGGCATATTAAATTTGCTATGAAATCATTTGTGCATACAGCTTTCAGTAGATTATTTATGTATGTTAAATATTCAGCTGTAGATTATTTATTTATATATAGTCCAATGCAGAGAAGGTTGGTCACACAATTATATAGATCTGTCCACTTTGTGACATCTACATGTATATTATACCTTTGTTGTATACCCTATAGGTACCTGTACTCATTATTGCACAACACTCAAAATTTGTCTTTTCTTGCACACTTTTATCAGGCCAAGCTTAAAAAAATTCTTTGTTTGCAGTTGCTGACTTGTAATTTTTAGATTGGGTAGGTAGGTAGGCGTTTTTCTTTTGTTTGTTTTTTTAAAATAGGTTTTATTTTTCAGGTTTTGTTGGATAACAAATCATAGAGATTTTCATAGAGTTACTAATATGCTCCACTTCTTTTAAGCTACAAATTGATAAAAACAAAAGTCAAAAATAGAAATGCAACAGCTTCAGTATTCTGAAGACTTGAATCTTACCCCCTAAAAATTATCTCAAGAAATGGCTGAAAAAAAAATTTGGGTCGGGTGCATTTTAAGTGGGTCAGTAGGCAACTGCAAACAATTTTTTTTTTTAATTTAAGGCCTCACATGTAATAGTGTTCATAGCATCTTATACTGTACGTGTATCATTACATATGAATTTCCTCTCAAGTATCCAATACTTCAATCATCTGATTCAGAAAACCATTAGTGGGGATCCCAGAACTTCAGTAGGTTAAAAATGCTTGCAGGGTATGCCAGATGTCCCTGGTTCGAGTCCTGGTCGAAACTTGGTTTTCACAATCTGTGACATTTGAATACCTTAATGCACTCATCTGTTGATAATATTTCTTCCTTTTGTTTTAAATATTCTGCACACAAATGTTGGTGGAAGGGAATGTATTAATCACAATGTCAGTTGGGAATAGTTATATGCATTCTTCCATATTGTAGCGAAATATCAAATTCTAGATCTAAAGTGAAAAATGTTTTGGCATACTTCTTTAATTTTTATTGCTTTGATCTGATAAATAGACTTATTTAAAATCCATGTGTATGCCTGTTATTTACTTGTTTTGCTGTCGTTGATTAACAGGTGAAGATGAAGATCAACATTGCGTTTGCTGTCGTGCGACAGATGAAGGGAGAACAACACAGAACGGAATCTACAAGTGATAATTCTGGTCAGTTACACACGCATGCATCGTCCTCATTGTGTTCCAGTAAAATGGTCGAGAATAAAATTTAAAATATAATGTGCTGAATGGAAGTATTAAAAGGATTTTTGTATTTATTTTTAACAAAAGATGTTGACAGCCTTGTTGATGAAAGCGAAATCAAGAAGAGAATATCTCATTGTGGGACTGTTCGAAAAAATACGGTAAAATTATCGCAAAATATATAGTAATATCATATATTACTCATTACAAAATGATAAAATCAATATCAACTTCATCTTGAAATTTATCAGTATTTAGTACAGACACGTAATAATTAAATTTTTTAAATTTTTTTCCCCCAGAGTAAAAGTATTCGTAAGGCATGGCAGATCCAGACTCAAACCTACAATCAGATGTTTGATTTCTGTCTTATTGTGGGACTAGAACCCATCAATGATTCACAAACAAGTTACAAACCAAAGATCATCTACAAGTTCCCAGATCTGGTAAGCATATTGCATCACTGTCACAAATACTGTGTAATCACTTATTTTCGTGAGGCTTAATTTTCATTGTTTTCATGGTATGACAGGACCCACCAATTTATGTCCACACCAAATGCTAAATTTCATATAACTGTATCATGTGTCTTCTTCAACTACAAAATCAAATCCCCTCCAATCATAATTTTTTCCTCAATCCACAAAAATTTGATCCTCGAAAATACAGTATCCTAGACCTAGTAGGCTATTTTTTCAGACAGAATGACACAATCTTAAAGAAGCTTACCTTTGGAATTCAAAAATTCATTTTCTGAGTTCAAATACTGGCACTATAAGTAAAGGTTCTTACTTGGCTTGACGAGGGCGCTGTGCATGCCCGAGGCAACTAGGTGAACAGTTACCCCTTGTGCATTGATTGGACTAATGATTAATCAATTTAAATGACCTGTACAAGCATCAGTGTTATACCATGGGCAATAAAATGGAAATTTGTAGTCAGTAGAGTAGAACCTTGCAACAAGGATAATTATGCATAAGCAATGGCTGTTGATTAATCGCTATTTGGGTATAAACACTATGTGTGTTCAGTTTTCACACTTTATATAGAATATGTTTAATATGTAATGTTTGTGCTTCCTGTCTTTGTATGGCTATCAGGGGAAGTTACAGATTGACAGAAATGGCCGACTGTCAATCTGTAAACCAAGGGTAAGTCTCAAAACATGCATGTAAGTAAGGCAAAAGCATGTTTGTTTGGTTTTTCCTAGGAGTTGTTACCTGGATTTGTATTTTATTAATGATTTGTAAATGTTCCTGTATATGGAATTAATTGCTGGCATGCAATGTATGTGATTGATTTTAATATTAATCATAGTTTGTAATGAGGTAACTCATTATTTCCATTTATTTTGTGTGTACTGAAATTTCTATTGAAAATAAACCTGTAACTTAATTATTAGATTTATCTAGTGGTCTTTTCGTTTCCCATTTGTATACATGTATTAGTTATTACATGTATTACACTTGTTTACTTTGCTAGTATTTGTTAGTATGAAGAATTTTGTTTTCACCGAGGCGTGATGTACATGAATTCAACAGAGTTGAATAAGAAAAAAATTATTCTTGTATTCTACATGTACTAGTATTATCAGAACTGTAAAAATTAAAAATGTCATACTGGTGTTAAGCTTGGCTGTACTGTTGTACTTAACAATACCTAATGACTACCTGGTATATATCCCCCTTCCTCTCCCTCCCCCCAACAATTTTTATTATCAGATGCTCTGTTCAGACCATGTTTATGTTAAAGCTATTTACCCTGAGTTAGTCAAATCAAAAGGAAGGGATATGTTACTGGTGAACTGATTTAGCATTGGAGGTCACACATATATCTATGTTTAGCATTTCAAGCATATTGGTAGTACACGTAAAACTTCCCTATGCATCAAAGTTATGGGCATTGTTCATTTTTAAAAAAGAAGTAATGTGAGGTTTTTTTTCATATCTAAATGTTTATACATAAGATATGCAATATTCTATACATATATATAATCATTGTAATGTGCAATAGATACACACTTATTAAATGTATTAGATTTATTCTGTTGAAACAAACAAATTTCAGTAACTATCTTAAATTAATTTAAAAAAGATTTTCAGAAATCTGAAAGTTATAAAAGTAAAGTTTCATTTGATTATCAGGTGGAGAGCAACGCTACTATCCCAGAATTCTGTTTCCCTGATGCGGAGGAGTTTGATGCCAAGTCTGCTTCTGCTGCTGCTCCAAGGTGAGGTGAAGGTCAGGCTTGATAATGTCAAGGTCACTTGAGGAGGTCTTATCATATGACATAACATATTATGAAATTCTTATCACTGAATAACACTGTACATATAGACATGAGAATTGTTCAGCTATAATAAGTAGTAAAGTCTCTACAAATAGTTCAATCTTCTTATTGTAGTGAGTCCTATTCATTTGTGTTGACAAATGTAGAGGGAGAAAGAGTCTATGGTTACTGCAGAAGAATGGTGGTAAGTTGAGACTCGTATATTTTCTCCTTCAACAATCACCATGTAATAAAGATATACAAAATATGCATGGTTCAAACGTGAGCTAATCCCTGATATGTTTGCCTTGTGTTCATTATAGCCCTTCAGCAGTAAAAGCGGCCTACCAGAGGTTATCTGTATTGTCAGCCCAGTGGATGCCTTCAGTATGTATAATGAGGTCAGTGGATGTTTACTATGAAACACACTTATAGCGAGATGTCAGGGATGACTGATTTTGATTTGTTATATATGTAATTCTTTATATCTGTTCAGTTTTGAAACTACAGGGAATGAAAAGCACTTTGCTGTAAGAAGGAATTAATGATAAGTGTGTTCACTGTAACAGTGTTTTACTGTTCATGTTTATTTTACCATCCGTAATCTGGTGTACAAAACCAAAAGCCAAATTTATTTTTGTCAGATGTGATATTACCGGTACCTGATATTTGTCATTTGAAGCCGTAATAAATATATATATTGCATTACATAGTTGTTGGATGCTGCTGAGAATTGCCGACACAAGTCATTAGATCTGGCTCGGGAATTACTGTCCGCAGCGTTTGGCAGACCTTTACCAGAGCCAGGGAAACTCGTACAAGTTAGAACACTGGTATGTAGTAATATAGAAGTTCCTGTGGCAACAAAGTAGTTAAACTACTAGAAGTCTGGAGGTCATTAAGAAATTTCTACTTATGTAAAGGTGGTTGACCTCTATATATTTGGGTGGGTGGGGTTGTCGGAGAAGTGAATCATCTAACTAATGCAGGACTTATTACTGTAGTGTAATTATCGAAATTTTGCTAGAATTAAATCTTAGTTTAATGAGAACAGTTTTTATAAGACTTCTTCACACCACAGAAGCTCTTTGGACAAAACTGTCACAAATCTTGCCAATAGTTGCATGTTATGGTTACGTATAAGAAACAGATGAGGTAATTTTTACTACTCACTTGGAAACATATTTAGAATGTTTGAATCAGGTTTTTTTAGAGAAAAACTGATGAGGATAATGTTTCTGCATGACTCTCATCTGACTATAAAAGCTAGTGGGTCTTTCATTTGGATTATAAATATGGATAATTCTTGCTTCCTTTCAGGATGAGAATTGGGATACTGGGACTATTCTGTTATCCAGACCAGAGGACTTCAGAGTAGACAATGTAAGACTTTGCAAATATATCTGTGAAATGTTTAGTACAGCAATGCGCACAGAATATCAATATACAATGTACATGCATCTATATGTGCATTGCTAGAATTATACATGTATCAAGAGGTTTAAGTGATGTTTTAGTGATTAAACAGCTTTAAAATATGTTTTGAAATCCACATATACATTGTACATATGCAGGTGAATCGAGAATACCTGTTATCTAAGCTGGGAGTAGACAAGCTTCTGAAACTGTTCTCATGTATGCTGCTAGAGAGAAGTGTTCTGTTTTGTGCCAAAAATCTCAGGTATACCGGTTAGGTGCCATTTTTCAAATTACGGGGCACTTTGTACTGATCTTGCAAAGAATTATCACATTAGGTGTACTTATATCACAAAAAGAAACACAGATTGAATTCAAAATTCTTATTGTTTTTGATTCACAAATATCCCTTTTCTTTCAGTATCTTGTCTCAGACAATCCATGCTTTGGTGGCTTTGCTGTACCCCTTTCGGTGGCAGCACACATACATTCCAGTTCTACCAGAGTCCATGTTAGATGTCACGTGTTCACCTACCCCTTACATTATTGGCATCTTGTCTTCCCACCTTCCATATGTACTTAAACTTCCTATCAGTGAGGTATGTCATGTAGACTGAGCATGGTCATATTCAGATTGTGTGAACATTTCCAAGCATTACATGCATAAATATGTGTGTATAATCAGTACCGATAAATATAATAAGTTTTTTTTTGCAATCAGAATTCACAATACATTTACATGTATATGTGCATTTATAGTAATAGTTACTCATCTTTTGATATGCTTGATAAAATGGTTAATAAATACACAATTGGCAAAATTTGGACATGAATTCTTTAGACTTGCCAATATTTCATTCCTGCACACACATGCACTTGTATGTAAAATATCTCTTAATACTTTCACTTCTTTCAGAAATTGTCTAGTAAAGAGGTAAATTAAAAACCATCATGATAAGTACCATACCTTACAGATATTTCTACATGTTTACCCAACTCTGGTGTCTCATTATCCATAATATTACCTATATGTACATGTATTTTAAGTATTGTGCATTTGTTATTATCCAAGATTGCCGACATTCCCTCAGCTACATATACAACAGTTATGCTTTGGCCATTCTAGAACTTAGTTTTATTTTGAGATTGGATTTGTAATAATTTTGAAATGTGAATAATCAATGCCAATGATTTTCTGGCTGTAATTTACTTAAAAGTGTAATTTTAAGAGGAAGTATTCATCTGTCAGTGATTTATTATGCCCCAATATTGAAGATTGTCCAAAACTTAAAACTTGAGCACAACATTTGAACAACCTGTATTTGAGAGAGAGGGTCAAAGGTCACATCAGATCAAGATAAAGAACTATGACTTGAGAAGTCAGAGCTTTCAAAATCTTCCGGTACCCCAGAATTGTACCGGCCAAAATATTCATTGAAGAAAACTTCCATAACATTTATATTAAATTGCTTCTGCCAGGTTCTTGCTATTGTTGTAAAAGTACCACCTGTTTCAAATCTCTGAAAGCCCTGAGAAGTCAAGAGTCAAACATTCAGAAGTTTGTGCTAGGAAGCATTTAGCAACAGTTATCTGCTTTCATTTATATTTACAGCAGCAAAAGAAGTTATTAGTATTACTTACTAGTACATGTTCCTGTAAATAAATCAAAATGGCATTCAGATATCTACCAATAATTTAAAATAATTTAAAACAACTTTTTGTACTTTCAGATTGTAATATTTGACCTCAACAAGAAACAAATGTTAAAATGTCAGGGAGACGAGGGGATAATCCTACCAAAAGATATCCACAAAGCTCTAAAAACAGCACTCAATATGTGTAAAGTAGATGCAGGTAACCATGTGACATTTTCTTCTGGGTTGGTTGGATTTGCACAGTGGGAACATAGTCATTTGTTTTCTAAGTAAAAAAAAAAAAAAATTACCCTTTGATATATATATTTGTTCATTTTCAAGTTATATCTTTAGAGATTTTTTTGTTCGAGGCATAATGTGAGAATCATACATGTTGGGTACTAAGTAATTTATCTGTATCTTACTGAAAATCATCAATTAACAATAAACGTTTACTTATCAGATGTAAAGATGGCCTCCAATCTCATGATGTCCGAGGCCTTTCTGCGCATGTTTGTGGAGGCAGTGGGCCATTACGCAGAGCACATCATCACACAACAAGATGGCGAAAAAGTCTTCCAGGTAAAATACACTAGATTCTGTAAATCATTTTCCTACTTTTGTACCCCAAAACAATGTTTTATTCCTTGTGTAAATTAGTATAGTGGAGTCAATTTTATGGATTTTGTTAGATGACTTGTATTTTCTAAAAGACTACGGGTATATAAAGCTGTTTGTTTTGTAGAAGGAGCACTTTATTCAGGATTCCCCCACGGAGAGCATGGCTCAGTTTCTACAGTGGTTCTGTGAAACACAGATGTTTGAAGTCTTCATCACAGAGCAAACAGAGAGAAATAAATCAGCCAAAAAGAAATCTAAAACTATAGGTACACATATACTGACAGAAGTATAATATACGCAAATAAAATATTCAATTGCTTTAATAGTGTCTTGTGATTATATGGGACAGATTAATCCATTTGTTTCCATATAAAGTCATTAGACCAGAATAAAGTATTCTTTATCATGTGAAATTTATGAAAAAGTGCAGAATAAAGATTTCTTAAATTTCTAATTCATTGAATACATGTATTAAATATACACAGTTAAAAACCAAATGGTAATGCATGTATTTACCAAAGCCTTTGTATTCCATGTCCATGCAAGAACCTAGTTAACACATTGAGCAATATACCCTTTACATAAAGTATACTTGTACAAGTAGATGAATAGGATATTTCACATACTGTGTAATGAATGTACTGTACATTTGCTCTTCATAATTATCAAAATCCAAAATGCTATAGGATAAGAGAAAGTTCGTGTTTTTTTTTTGTTTTGGTTTTAATGAACATGCTTATATATATTGTAGAACTGTTTAACCAAAGAATAGTGGAAGCAAGAACAGAAAATGTAGATAAAAAGGGCAAGAAAAATAAAGGACTGCTGAAAATGCTGATGACATGAGATGTCTACAGGGCATGTCAAAATTTGTGATAAAAAATTACAGGGTTAGACAAAAGTTTACAGCTAATAGAAAGGTGTTAGTAGTGTGATAGTTTTTAAGTCTATACATTCCTAGAATGTGATATATACATGTATGTAGTAATATAATTACATAGTACTTGCATCCTTAGCCAGTATATGAAGGAAATCTTCCCTGACCATGATTATTTGTTTTGACATGCTTAAGTAACAAGATTATCCTTGTTGGGATAATGTAAGTTCAGAAAAGTCAGCTAAGTGTCTCCCTATAGTGTCTTATCTGTATGTGGCCAATGTTCATTGTTTTATATCTTGACAGTTTTGTTTATCTGTTAGTTAGGGTTGTGTTGTTGTAAATTTTATACCTTGTCAAACTTACAAAGTTCCATTATTAGATCCATATTTTTATTATTTTATCACGTTTTCTTCTGGTTATCATATTTTACTTGTACATGTAATACATGTATACTGTAATAGGTAAGTGCAATTTGAATGTTACAAGTACATGTACAGTGTATATTCTGTAATGTGTGTAATTCAAAGAGAAATACATGCAATTGTTGCATCAAATAGCAGGCATTAGATTCAAATTAATTTTAATATAATTAAATTCAACCCAGTGTCTAATGTGTAATATTTCCTTTTCTTCCCCAAGAAAAGTTTTAATGTATTGCATGTATTCTTTTAAAAATATTTTTTAAATGGACAGAGTCTGAATATTTTTACTGAACTGATTCAGATAAAAGTGAACTTATCATGTCAGTGTCTTAATGAAATATCCATACTTAAGGTACTGATTATTAGAAGTGGATAAGTCCAAAATGACAACATGATTACATATATATACAGCTTTATCTGTTATTTCATGAGAAATCAGTTCTGCAGGATTGTGTAACAGTTTTATAGATGGAAAAAGTCCAGTCTGATGGTTGACAATTTTGAGATTTTAAATGGTATAGCCAGGAGTAGGCAGCTATTCATTATCATGGAATGTGAATTTATGAAGTTGTTGTTGAATAGCTCAGGCATTTTAATTCCAGCCATAATTCAGAGAATGCATGATAGGCAAGCAATGTAAATTTTAATGATTTGATTCAGATTTGCTCTAATGGGATACTGTTACTTAGATTTTATTTTTTTTTTAATTTTTTAATTTTTTTTTTTTTTGGTCATAGACAATCAGTTTTTATTGTTTTTTTAATTTTCTTTTTAGTTTTAGATGCTTAATATTAGGAAATCCGGGAGACATAAACAATACTTACAGTTCTAGTTCTGCTTTATTCAAAACTGCTTTTAATACACATGTACACATAATAAATTTGGAGTAGTCCCTCGATTGAGAACTACTTAAAGCATCTTACATTAATTAGCTTTGTTAATAGCATTAATGAGGGAAGATTTCAGATGTTTGATCTGTGATATTTTGCTTATTGTCCAGTATGTAACAATTAATTATACTGTAGAAAATAATTAGAATTGACTTTATGATGAATCTCAATTAGGCCACATATCACTCTTACTTGACTATCTGGAAAAACAGACCCCAGACCCTCAAACCAGAATTCAGAGCAATGTCTTACCTACATAGCGCCAGTCATATCAATTCCTGAAACAATCTTAAGACCTTTGTTTATGCTACCACATCAGTGTAATATTTATCTTTATTTCTATCGATCATTACTACAGCAAATTTAGTGCTATCTGGTGCATTTGTGTTCCTGTATACTGAGTATCTCTCTACTGTTAAACTTACAGTTTGTAAATACTTACTAAATTAATAGAGGGTGGGGGGGGGTTCACCTGTTCATACAGTGTAGTACAGTTGAACTTCGGTATCCCGAACACGGATATCTCGAATACCATGGATATGTGACGAACTGATTTTAAAGTCCCAACTGCTTATTCCTTAAGTATCTCGAATCTTTGGTTATCTAGAAATATTTTCTTGGTCCCTTCGAGTTCGAGATAACGAGGTTTGACTGTGTATTAAAGTGATGGTCAATATACACTGGATATTGATGAGGGTCTCAGCTTTATTTCTATGTACATGCACTGATATTTCCAAGTTACATGTAGAATTAAAAAAAAGGTAAACGTTTCAGAATAATTATCAACATCTTTCTTATACAATATCGGAAATTTGTAAATTGGCAAAGATTACATACTGTTTACATGCATGTCTATTTGAATTGCATATTTTCGTATGAAATAATTACTTACAAGTGTTCATTCATGTATAGGAGAAAAGCTTAATAAAATGCATATAGCTTTTACCAAAACACAAAATCTTACTTCAATATTGCTTACGTAATTCAATAACTGTTGATAATGTATTGAAACATTGTATATATCACTATTACTGTTATAATCATGTTCCATTATCATGCATTCCACTGTGTAGCCTCAAAGTAAATTCCTTTACATTCTGCAGTAGACTGTGATTTGTGGTTCTGTGCTCAATAGTCATTCATGATCTGCTATTGACAAATTTTTTTATAAATTAGTAATTATGTGCAATGTTGTAATAATATACATGTATATATATTTAATGCAATTTTGTTACATTATATTAAATTTCTTACTGCCAGAAACTTTTTTTTGTGTGCGTTTCGTAGTTATATGGCAGGGTTACACAAAGGGAACAAATTTTTTTCATGGGGATGTATAGAAAAATTCTTCAAAATCTTCTTTGCAAGAACTAGTCAATTATATGTTAACATGATGTCAGATAGTTTAAGTTCAGATTTGTTTAAATGATGGCCCTTTGGGATAAGGTGAGGCCACATTAGAGGAACAAATTGATATGGGGGGGGGGGGGAATCTTAAGAACAGCAAGGCTTTGATTACCCTTATTTTAGAACTTCATATTGATGCTTTAAATAGGTCAAAACTTATTTTTAGCCCAAATTTTCAAAGAATCCTTCGGGCGAATTTGGAAGATTGGACGAGGCGTTTAAAAATTCTCTAGAAATTCCTACGTAAGGTATTATGTACTGGAACATGTAAACATAGTATTCCCCATGAAATTACTGTATCAAGATAATGATGTATGTGTTTAACATTTAATTTTATTTCTACAAATAATTCATAATTTGAAGCTTCCTTTAATTTGTGCTACACAAGGTATGCAAAAATTGAGTCACATTTTAATTAAATGGATAAATTTGATTTCTTTTGCAAAATCACTAGGTTAGATTGATGAAATTTTTTTGCGTGAGCAGATGGATCGTTAACCTTTGGGTGAAAACCTGATAAATATAGAAAGGAAAATCAGTTACAGATCTCTTTGTTAAAATTAAGACTCTAAGAATTCAGTTTTTGTCCTTTTTTTATGTCTTCCCCATTCCTTCCTAAAACAGATCTTTTATATCTTTATAAAAATAAAAGAAGCTGGTAAATAACACAGATTTTGGCAGGGGTTTGACAGAAATCTGAATTATAATTATTATAGATATATGAAATAATTCATAAAATTCAGGTACACGTATAAGTAAAACTCTTACAAAGAATTAAAAGTTTTCCAGTCCCTGCCCTATACAGTAAAACTTGTTTAGACTGAACATATATATAATAAAATTCACAGTCCCCAGGACTTCACTGTAACTGAGTTTAACTGTCAAGAAGACAAACCATTTTCTACTATTTTTTTATTTCATTTTGTAATATAATGAAAAAATAATAATTATAATATAGAATTTATAAAATATTATAAAGTATCAATCTATCATTGCAACAACGAAAACAATATCATGATGTAAATAAGATGAAAATGTACAATGTTACATGCTTTCTCACAACTCATTTTTAGTGCTGCTGCACTCTCAATAGATCAACTAAAAGAGACACAACTGGCCTTGTTAAATGTTACACAGACACTGTACATGTAGATCATGTTCTGTAAATTAATGGTTCATATTTATACTGAGCTAGTGAATTTCTGTTTAATACTAGTGCATCATCGTTCACAATGAGCTGGTGATTTTTAATGGAAATGGCAATGTATTCTATCAATCATTATACCTGGTAAAACACCTGCAATTTTTTTTCCTTGACTTGATAAAAAGCAAGAAAATACATACACAGTAATAAAGATATGGAAGCAGACAAAGAGTATGCATTGTAAACAAATGTACATAAAGAGGCAGCGTAACAATATCATGGTCACTCAATGAATTAACGGAATGAATTAAACAGGAAATAATCGATGTATAACGACTTTAAATCAAAGCTCACAACCATATCTGTATACACAGGGAGTATACATTGAATGAAGAAGTTAGAAACTAGTTATTAGTATTAGTAAATTTTAATACATGAATATACTAACATTAACAAACAAATATCTTATATAGAGTAAATATCATTCCAATGGAATGTAATTGTATATATTGAGAAAAGCAGTCCTATGGTAGACAAGTTTCAAAGATGATCACGTGGCAAAACCATTAAAAAAATGATGGAATGTAGTCACACAACCACTGTTTTCTAATTTGCAGAAAAGAATTTGTATCTTCTCAAAGTATATTTTGAATTACGATGGAATTGGGCAACACAACCTCAGTTTGCAAAATGTGCAAGACAAAAACAAAAACATTCAGTATAAACAAACAGCACCAATGCTATAACAAGAAATCATAAACCTACAAATGAACAGTATCTTAATACATCTGTAAATTACAAACAAATCCCAAAGATATTTTTGAAACAAATTGGGTAGAAATTGAATAAATTTCTTTGAAACATAATCTCCAATAAAAATAGCTGCTAATGAGGTAGTATATATGTCACACCAAGCAGAAGCTACAGTAAGCAAAATTACAGATGCATACTTAACAATATACATTGATAAAACTACAGTGAAATCATGAGTTTTCCTGGGGATTTAATTTTCCTGTTTCCCTGGTATGAAGAAACCTAGGAATTCACGTCCTTGAAATGTTAAAATATCAAATATGTGACAACTGAACCTTCTTTAACCAAGAAATCAAATTCCCACGACCAATATTTTTTTTTTCTCAAACTCAAACCATGAAAATTTAACCCCATGAAAATAAATGATTTTACAGTAGTTTCCAAACATTTCTTTGGCTCTGTTAAAATCTGTCTTTTTTGAGATTATTGCTTATTCTGACCATCTGCTCCAAATTTTCCTTTGAAATTATAAACATGAACACTTTGTTTCAGAAAAAGGACTATAGCATCTTGGATTCCATTACAATTAGTCCTGAACCTTAAGCCAGTTTTTCTGATTAGGAATTATACTATGTGCCCTGTGCTTGCTAATACTGGTCAACCAAAAACTTGGTTTAAATCTACATTTACAAAAATACTCACTCCATTTTTGAATTTTAGTAGCACTGTTAGTCTAGGAATATACTATTAAAAACAATGTCTAGTGAACATGTATACATGTACCTCAAATAGGAGTTAACTTGTACATACATTGAATTCTATCAGAAAGCAGATATAAATCCACTACAATTTATAAATTATTGCTGCAAACATGACATTTAAATCACAACATCATTGTTATTAGCCTCTATCTTTTAAAAAAAGTCCAATCAAATCTTTAAAAAAAATCTTGCATAAATATATTTTTTTTAATATCACACTGAATGGGTCTTCCAAATCTGCCATTTATATCAGTTTGAAAAATCTTCTAAAATTCTTCTGTAACATCAGACAAATTGTTCAAGAGTTCAGACATCACTGAATGTTAAATATATTCCGCTTTAAAATTTTTCCAGGCATTGGTCACTTTTTATCACATGTACATGTTCTCCTGTCTGCGGTGGTGTGGTGCTATGAATTCCGAGCTCCCCTGTCTTCTGTGATACATTGACAAATTCTCAGAACTCCCAAGGGTCTGCCCCACCTCTAGGTCTTCTGGGTCCAGAACTGGACCAGTGACTTTACTTGGGGACCCAGACCATGTCTTTCTTCTTTTGGCTCTCTCAACTACAAGAACAAACCATTGTGAAATAATTTAATTCACAAGAGTACTATAGAATGCAAATTAATTTTTGAAATATTTCAGTACTTACTTTCCCAGAAAATTAGGTTTTTTGCTTTTTTTTCTAATAAGAAATATCTTCAGATCTTCATAAGAAGCACTGATTTTTTTTTTTTTTTTTTTTTTTTTTTTGAATATACAGATATGTAGTTTAAGCAATAAGTATTGTAATGTGGGTATAATTGAAACTTCAATGATACAGAGTAATAAAATTACTGCAATCTCTATTGTCAAGATAGAAATATATACTGTATCATATCCTAGTCATAATACATGTATATCATTTGATTGATATTTAATATGTATATCAGTTAGAATCATGCTTTAATCTATAATACTTGGATTAAATTTCATGCTTTTTTAGAGACAAACTTAATAGAAACCACAACAGATTTAACAGGCAAACATTGTTAAAAATTCATGCTATTCCAATTGATTTTCAAACATATATCTTACTTTAACATTTACATCAACATTTCAAATCAATTAACTTAAAATATTAGTTTCCACAGCTAAACTTTGCATTTTTGTATTAAAAGACATATTATTCTGAAATCACTTTGCATGGGATATGGAAAATTAGGTACATATACAATTCATCAGACACATATCAGAAATTCAAAACTACATAGCTGCAAACATAGATTACAAAGTAAAGGAATGTGGTAACACCAGTGTAATTATCAACACTGCAGTGTCAAATGATAATCTTTAGAAATGATGATGAAATTTAATTAATCAATTCCATTTTTCAATTTTATTCCCCAAATAAAATGATGAAGGAAGTACAAACTATAGATTTTAATTCAGAAAACCTTTGATAAAGTACCAATGAAAACTACAGAGGTGCGCAAATTTCTAGAGAGATAAAATTATAACAGAGAAAAATTTTTAAATCCTTTTATCCAGTTGAGAACGATTCTTTTTGCATTTCAGGCAGGATAAATCAGTTGTGCTGTCAATAGGCAACAACCAGTGTTAATTAACCAATCAAATTCACAGTTCTATCACCATGGCAACCTTACCTGTTGTAAAAATACCAATCATCATGTGATTTATTTGCAGATGCTATAAGAAATTTTATAAATTATCAAAATTTAATGCTAAAAATTCTTAGTATTGAACATGCACCATAAAATTACCCATAAAAATAAACCTAAAAGTAAATGGTGTAACAAAGAAATTTTTTCTTCTTTCCTCTTAAAACAATACACTGCTGTATAGCTATTACAGTTAGCAATAAGAGCATTTGATAAATACAAACATGGAAAAAAAATGTGTATAGTATTTAAAAATGGTAAATTCTAGCCCTATTTCTGTTATATACCTTGGATTCAGGGGAACATCTAATGTACACATAAGATATTATGTAAAATAAATTAATATATGAAATAGAAAAAGAAAAAAATGCAGATTATGTATTTTGGCAAAATATCATGCAATTTGCTTCCAAGTACAGAGAATCAAGCCATGGGTTTGGGATAGGGACACATACCAGCTGCCTGTCGAGATTTGAGGGTGACCTGTTTGGCGAGTTCCTGGCTGACGGCTAGGAGATGAGCAGTTTTGATCTTTTGCTCCTTGGCTTGCTGGTGGATCTCCCCCACTTGACTAACGTCTGGCTGGGAAAGTGAGTGCTGGACACTGAAAAAATGGGAAAATATCAGGTATCTTGCAGGTTGTCTATGAAAATCATCATTACTCACTGTAACAGTAAAAATAAATTTTCAAAATGATTCACATGATTTTAGTTGTTTAAAGGAAACAGAGAAGAATTCTACAGAACAGACGTCTACTGTTTTGTCTTCATAAAAAGGAATAAAAATAATTTATAAATTTTAAAATACAAATTTGGATTCTACCTCAGTTGTGTTTGCCTTACCTGGACTTGGTCAGCAGTCGTTTGATTTTCTCGGCCTTTTCTTCCCTCTTGATCTTCTCCTCCTCTGTAATGCTTTCGTCGTCAGAGTCTGGTATGTATCTTTCTGGGATTTCCACTTTATTGGGGACGTACAACTAACACAAAAACAAGCAGTGTCCACAGCTCAAGTCACATGCAACAGACTTATGTTTTCATAACTCGCTGTGATTCTATCCATACACAGTTAAGTACAAGACACCTTGATAATTTTCTCCATGTAAATACCAGGGGCTTAGGGTAGAGATAAAGACCCCCATCTCCTTCTTATTTCAATGTACTTTAATACTATCTTTATTTAATGACATTTAATTTTAAAATATTCAAGTTAAGTTTGGCTATAATGAATAAATGCATATATGATACACGTATAACAAATCACAGGCATGCATAGTTAAAGTTATGAAAACATAATGTTTACATATTTACATGTATATGATGTATAAATGCTCATGATATAATTTTTACAATAGATGTTTACGATAAAGATGTTGACAATATGTATTTAGATGATACACACTCATTACCTGCATGCTTTATCTGTGTCAAGGTGTGCAAACAAGAACAGACAGTATAATGCTAAGATCTGAAGTCTGTGACAAAATTTTGTTTCAAAAGTTCTTATAGCCATAGCATTGTTTCTTAACATCAAGACTGTCTGTTCCCCTCTATTTATTAATATTAAACTTTCTCCACTCAAAGGTTCAAACACCCATACACCCCACACGATCCACCCCACTTACAATTTCTCGTTCTATGGCTGCCTCGTCTAGCTGATGTGGAGCTTTCTGGGAACTCTTCACAATGTCCGGAACCATGTCCATCTACAATCACACCAACTCAGTAATTTCCAAATCATCATAAAGCCATTTCAATGAGTTAATAAATCATCTCATATGCATCTTCAATAAAGCAGTTTCATAATCAAAAGCAAAAGAGTTAAGCTTATACAATAAAAGCTCATTAACTCTAAGAGGCATATACAAAAACATGCGAGATTTTAATAATTGAAGCAGAGACATGCAGTGATGGACTGAGCTGATTTGAAAATAAAGTGGATGTACATGTACTAGCATTCTAACGTTAATATGTTGGAGCCATTCATTGTATCATATATCCAATTTAACCAGCCCATCAGTTTTGTCCTTTGTTTAGTACCACTCAGTGTTTTGTGCCGATCAGCACACTTACTCTGTTGGTCATGAGATCCCCAGCTGCAGTGTTAGGAGAGGTGGGCTGAATGAAGGATGTTTCCAGTTTGACTGGTTCACTGCTAGAGATGGTCATGTAACGCCCTTTAGGGGTACGCTTCACATTAAACATTCCCGTACTGCTGTGGGTGCTGACAGGAGCGGTTCCATTATCACTGTTTGTTTCGTTGTCATTAAATGGTGGCTGTACAATGATCCTGGTGGCTTTGACAACACCGTCAGTTTGGGGCTGATGGAATGAGCTGCTATTGGTGGTGACAGTGACAGGGGATTCCACATGGGTGACAGGGGAGGGTGTATTTGATTGCAAGTGGAAAGGTACAAAAGGTCGCGGCCCCATGAGATGGAGGCTTGAGGAGCGGCGAGAGGACGGAGCAGAGGAGGGGTTGCTAGGCAACACAGAGGACCAGGGTTTACTGGAATTTACCGGAGGCAGGTTCTCGTACACTGGGTGGTTACCATGGCTACCAGAAGTGGGTTGTTCTTCACTCTAAAATATGATGTACCAATGATTCTGAATAGTGTAATATATTTATAAATAAATGCAGACAAGCATAATATCATTTGAATTAGTACCAGCAACTGATTTTTTGCAGCTTTTATATTGATGTACACTTACCTGAACTCCCTGTCCATCATAAGTCCAAGATGGATCTGTCAAAATTAAAATAATATATATGATGTAGAATAACTCTCTTTATTTATTCTCTACATTTTAAACCTATATTGTATAAATGTTATAATGGATGTAATACATTTTCAACAGAACAATTTAAGACCAGATCTGATCAGCATAAGAACATATGTGATATTTAAATTTTCTGTTAATAATTCTTCAAAATGATTTACGCCACACATTTTGCTGACATTTTTTCATGTTTGTTTATATCACAAATGGAGAGAATTAAAACATACAAGGAAATAAAATTAAATTGCATAAATTATGTTAATTGGTGGAATGAAGAAAAACTTGAAGTGAATGTTAAAAAATTAGTTATTAAAAGGAATACATAGACATTCCGTGTATCAGTGCTCTTTTCAGAATTCAGTATAAATAATATTTATAGATAATATTAACTGATCTGATATGACTATATTACTGAAATATACACAATGTGATGCAATCAAATTTTTCACTCTGCAAAGCTAGCATTTCACTGCAAATATCACACATGTATCAGTCAAAATCTGGAGAGAAAATCATAATAGTATTGTCAACCCCCCTGTGACCTCGATAAAAAGACAGTGCCATCACCATGGAAGGTGACCATGGCGACAGCGGAACTGACCAGGACTAACATCCTCCCGTCGTGTTTTGTGATTTTCTTTGCGGAGCTCTGATTGGCGCTTCACATCTCTAACAGTTAACACTTTGGGTTTCTCTTTGGGTATAATACCTGAAAATTCAAAGTGTCAAGGATATTCAAGGATTGATGCCCACCTTAAATCTACAAGCTGATGAAGCAGAAATGCTTTCCCTGTTTTCAGATTATGGTTGTGCTAAATGCTGTTTAAAGTTATGGAGATTATACATATAAATTTAAAAAAATTCATAAAAATCAATAAAAGTGAAACAATCTGCCCTTTTCAGTAGAATTGTTCCCATTCAGTGAGCATCTCTGAACACATTATGGAGTGAGAAAGGGCAGACTGTTTATTTGAAATCTGATTACATCAAAGCCAACAATTGTCAAAGCTTTTTATATCAAAGATGCATTAACTTTTTTGCCAAAAAATGTGAAAAAGAACAAAAAACTTCATGCCATTAATATTTGAAAAAGATCAAACAACCTGCTAATCATAAAATCTGCCAAGCTTACAATTTTCTATAAAGCTCTCTGGATACACATTTCTAATTCTGCTTTGCTTTTTTACTTGTATATAGATCATTCTAATATCACACATGCATTCTCTATACATGTATATTTGTACTAAACATTCAACCATTTCATTTTAATGATGAGGGTACATATAATATTTCTTCTGAATATGTATGTATTGGCTTGGCAGATAAATATGTTAATGAATGCATTCAAATATAAAGTTTAAATGAGTAAACAAAATAATTTTCTGGTTAAAAATTTTTTGAAAGTTATTTCACCCACAATGCACTGTATTTCCCATGGTGCAGCTGTGTGCAGTGTACTACCCTACAAACTAGCTATCACCAACAATGGCTTTCACCCCCACTACCACATACCAAAGAAGCGTTTGGTATTATCGTCAGCCTCTGAAATGTCCCATTGTCCATCTGAATTTTCCATTGGACCTCCTCCAGGAGACAGAGAGGAGCTCTCTAAGGACACATTCTGTAAATCAAAATTAGCATGACTGAGGAAAAAAGCTCTTTGATTAAACTTCAATGTTAAAGGTTGTATCTTTTGCTTCATTTAACAACAAGAAATACAAGTATATACAATATAGATTTAAAATCATTGTCATCAAAAGTCATCATAGAAAGCCTAAATAAATCTCTACGCAACAGTCTCAGGTAATATCATCATTTTGAAAGATAAAAAATTGTAAAATTTTAAAGTGATGAGAAAAACATGAGGAAATGCTCTAAAGAAATATTCAGGATACATTGCATATAATTATATTCATCTTTAAAAAACTAAATCATATCTTACATTCTGGCTGACCAGAGTTTCGTATCTGCCTACATCTGTGGGTGATGTATTCTGTGAGTATCCTCCCCTGGGGAGTGAGTTATAACTGTGGAGCACCTGCTGGACCTGTGACAGATCCTTGGAGTCCCCAGTATCCAGATCTGTCTCCATGTAAGTGCTGGGTAACTTCTCCACTGATTTGTTCTTATTTGTTTTAGGTGATTCTGAAATATATGTAAATATTACTGTAAACCTTTTTCCCTCCTTTTCTGACTTGTTCTCTGAAAGCAAAAAACACTCACCTTTTGCAAATGTAAATAAATGTTTCCATATTTTTTACTTTTCTTGCAATATTCATTATTTTTGTTCAATTTCAACTGACCAATAATTTCCCTAACATTGTGATGGTTTTGCCGTTACATTGTTATGATTTTCCTGTGATACCGTGATGATTTTGTCATGACACAGAGATATCCGCTGACCTTTTTCAGGTTTTTCCAGCATGTTTTCCATCCCTCCACCAGAGGATAACCTCCGGAATCGCTTCATGGCCTCTGACAACTCAGCCTGCTGTTCTGTCAGTCCAACCATCATGTCCTGAACTCGTGCCAAGTCCTTCTCCATCTTCACTTTGTTCTTGTAATTTTCTTCTGACTGTAATTTTAAAATAGTATTTCAGAAATTTTTTTCATTTCAAGGTCACTTACATTCTACATTTACGGTAGAATATATATATACTTCAGACAAGTATTTCACCCTCCCCCAAAAAATTGATCTTGACCTCTGACCCAGAAATTTGGTTAAAGGTCACTGCACCCCCTTTACTTAAAGACATAAAGAGGATTAATGTACAAACTTTACCCAAGAGTGATTTTTGTTCTTAATAATATTTTGCTAAGGGGAGAGAAAATAGACAAGGATTTTATAGAGACTGTTTTAACTTTGACTTAATACTTAGAAACTTAGATTAACATCACAGCACAGAGCTCTAATATTGGTGACTAATTAAGTTGCCATGGCGCCTAAAATTTTTGATTGGCGCCTAAAATTTTTCCATAAGTCGCAAAATTGGCGACCAGTTTAAATTGACTTGGCTATCGTCGAATTCCGGAAATTTTCACATTTTAAACAATTTTTCTGAAAAAGCAAAAGGAAATTTAAAAGATGGGAAATTATTTTTAGCAATGGACATGTCTTGTTTTCTAAGGCATGTCATGGGTCCCTATATTTTATTAACTTTTAAAGTTGGCATCTTAGAAAAAATTGCCTGGCAACCAAAAATTAGCATTGGCGACTAAATTTTTTTTGATAAGGCGCCAGCTGGCGCCTAAATTTTAGAGGCCTGCAGCAAATGCTCTACCCATTGGCTCTTTGTGATAATGAACCAGACTGGGTTAAGGGGAGAAAAAATATACTCCAGACGAGTAATATTTGATAGATAGACAGAATGAATGAGAGGCAGACAGACTGACCACTACAGGCAAGCTGCACCCTAATAAGCACATATACATGTACTCATCATTTTTCCTTTGAAAATATAAGTACTCCCTGCTAAATTGAATTTTTTTTTTCAAAAAATGCAACTTTGCATACTTTCTCTTTATAGTATCAGCTTGCAGGAAAGTTATGCATAATCTAATTTATTAATTCTTTTTAATAATTTCCTTTTTATTTCAAACTCCCATGAGTCCTACATATAGGTGCTTATTAGAATATCTTTTGCCAGATGTTGAAAGATAAAACACACCAGTGAAGGGGCACTCTTGCTGCGATTGAGGTCACCATGAACTTTTGACCTCAACAGGGCCACCTCATGCTCCACTTTGTTATTCTCTGCTGTAGTTTCCTCCAATTCCTGCCATGACAAAACATTAATCTCAGTATAGACTAATTAATTGTTAACAAATATGGGGGAAAAATTACTTAGCATTCAGATTTGGGAGATTGTCACTGCATTCCTGGTAGGATATGAGACAACTGACCTTGGAGGCCTCTGCCAGATAGTGCATGACCCTGGAAAGTTCCTTTTCTATTGTCCTCTGCTGATGTAGAAGATTATCAAGGTCACGGGGGTTATCACGACTCATGTCCTGCTGTCTAAGGATTCCATGTAGGGCTTTCTCTAGTAATTCCTGTGAGATTCATGTACATGTGTAATGTATCAATATATGCTAACAAATCAGTAAGTCACACTGACAGTAAAAACCAAAACACTGACCTTATCCTCTTGGTAACTGATGACCTTGTACGACTGCTCCTGCAGCAGGCGATCAAGCTCGTACAATCTTTCCAATTTCTCCTGAAACAGAAACAAAGTTTCAAAGCTGACTAAAAATCTGTCGTATGTGTAACTTTATCAAAAATACACACAAATTATGGATAAAAAATTCCATTTGATGAAATCAAATTTGATGAGTTCATAGACACATGAAAGTATCAGCTTCAAAGTTGATTATTTTATAATATCAGGTGCTCTTGTTAGTTCATGAAATTTCAAAATAGCAGGTGCTCTTGAAAGTTAATACTAACAGTAGTTTGACAAGAAGACTGGTATGACTGCTTACCTCTAAGTCTGCCTCGTCCTGATTCAGCTGTCGAATCTCCTCCTTCATGCTTTGTACCATCTCCTCTTCCTGGTGTTTACGAGAAAATTCAATCATTTTCTTGGGAGGTGTGTACTCCTCAGGAGATAGTAAATGCTGAAACAAAAAAAACCCAAAACTTCAAATCACTCCTAAAATGAGTTACATTTTACAACTTTTTAAAATTTCATTTGAACTGGAGTAGAACATATTTCTGCTGTACTTCCAAAGACTAATAAAATTGTTGACAACAAAGAAGATCCACTCCTCTCTACCCTGAATGTACATGTATATCTCTTGTCAATGTCATCATTCAAATTCCCACACTCATGGATATTTTTTTTGTGGTCATATATATGTACTAATTCACTGACATTTACTTGACCTATTTAAAACTGACCTTTCTGTACTGGGTGGCCATCATATAATTGTCTCCTCCATACAGACTGCCCATGTTCACCATGTTATGGACCAAATTTACAAGTGGTCTGTACACCTCCAGCTGAAAAGAAAACCAAAAGAAAAAATAATGAATCAATTCTCATGACAGAAATCATATCTCTCTTTGGTCTTTTGACAGAAGTCATATCTCTCTTTGGTCTTTATACAAGTAATGTGTGAGATACGAGTTACCTACCACTTTCTCCACTCCAACGAGTTGATATTTTATTCCTAAAGAAGTAATGTATGAGTTACCTACCCCTTCTCCACTTCTATGAGTTGATATTTTAATCTTTCAGAAATGATGTACAAGTTACCTACCCCTTTCTCCACATCTACGAGTTGAAATTTAAAATCTTACAGAAGTAATGTATGAGTTACCTACCCCTTTCTCCACATGTATGAGTCGATATTTTAATCTTACAGAAGTAATGTATGAGTTACCAACCCTTTTCTCCACCTCTCTGAGTCAATATTTTAATCTTACAGAAGTAATGTTTGAGTTACCTACCCCTTTTGCTGATATTTTAATCTTACAGTAATGTGAGTTACCTACCCCTTTTGCTGATATTTTAATCTTACAGTAATGTGAGTTACCTACCCCTTTCTCCACCTCTATGAGTTGATATTTTAGTCTCGTATATTCATTGTGTTCCTCCTCTAAATGAGCATCCACTGGACCCCCTGACTGTTGAACTCTACAAAAAAATTAAGAAATAAGATGCAAATTACTGCAGCTGTAAAACTACACAAACAAGCAAAATTGCACTAGTATACCCATAGTCAGTACACCTTAACTACCAGTACATTACTTCCAATACCTGGGCTGCATTCAAGATCATAGTGGTTACATAGGTCTGCATACAGCTATACTCTTGAATCATATGCTAGTCTAGCCGCTACATAGCGATAACAGGCATTAATTCTTATAGTGTGGCCAAAAGACCTGGATATCTAGCCTACCAGCTAAGCTAACCGCTATGATCTTGAACCCATAGTCCATGGTCCCAACAATATTTGGGATAAAGTTTCAATTTTATTCATATCTTGAAGACTAGGATGTACTTCTTGAAAAATTACAGACATATTTCTACATGCACTGTTGTTCCCAGTTAATAGGCTTTTCTTGTATATTTTTGTATAATGTAAAGTGTTTGAAGGAGAGTTTGATACAAACACTTCTTGGTATGCTAAATTTCTAGAAAAGTAATACATTGTTGTTTGTAGAAGTTTCTGGAAGGCTTACATTTGTCTGTATCTGTGTTCTGCATGTCGTTTCTCCTCCAATCTTTGTCGGAGGAAATGTCGGACATTTTCTTCAGCTGCCTGGTCTCTCCTTAACTGTATTAGCATCAGAACCAACTCATCATGCTACAAAAAGCCATAAAACATACCTCAGATATCTCAGCAACATGCAAACAAAAAAAAATTAACCACCAGTAGACATATTCTCCTTTTTATTAATTTCAACCTGATAATTAGTCCCTTACTGATACATGTATTTGTTAATTATTTTACAGACAGACTTTTATTTAGATATCGATATTTTATTGGTATATTCTGTATACTAAAAAGAAAACATAATAAATAGTACATACAGTTTTCCCTAGGAGATCCCCAGCCGAAATGCTCATTCTGATTCGACTACCTCCAATTGGATACTTCTTGTTCAGACCAGGGAGTCCTGCAGTCGCCTGCGAGGAATAAACAAAAGGACCATTAGCTCTACCTGGCAAGTAGTTTAACAATTCAGAAATGAATACACTGTGAAGACTTTCTTATGTTGACCTGGAGACATTCTTATACATGCAACAAATACTGACACCAATTTATCATCAAATTTTTATGGAACAGATTTAAAATCTTTTCAATTTAAACCAATGGCATAAACATTAGTTATGGTAACAAAGGATGTAGACACAATGTAGACAGGAGTGAAAAGCGAAAGTATTGCATACATTTACATATTTTCACACCTACATGTAGTTCCTCTTAAAAACTAAATTTCTTTTAACAAATACAACAGGACACTCAGTGTTAGAATATTTATAGTTCATTATGAATGCACTTTTTAAGCAATATGTTAAGGTGTTGGGGAGATTTTAAAAGATTTTATGCACACTTCAAATTCGTAATCTGTGGCAGTCATACAGATTCAAGTGGTGGTGGCCAGATAGTTCAATTGGTTGAGTACATTATGGTCCATGAAATGAATATTGGTCTGGTCTACTCCATTTTCTCCCTTCCTGTTATAAATATATTTTATAAACCCTACTCATATCTTAATAATGGTTAAAAGTTGGATTCCAGCTGTGGGGAGATTTTAAAAGATTTTTAAACACACTTTCAACTTCTCATCTATCTAGTCTGACCCAATACAGTCAAACCTGTATTAAGCAGTCACCTGCGGGAACCATTAAAAGTGACCTTTATAGAGAGGTGACCTTTGAAAAGAGGTTCATCTTTTTTCAAGAAAAATTCTTTTTCAATTTATGCAAGTTCTGTGTTTTAAAATACTACATCATAGAATATTAAAGAAGGATGTGTTTTGGACATCAATGGTCTCAGTTAGATATTTTAAATATAGTCTCAAGATTAAGTTCAATTTGATGACTCCAACAAAAATATATTGAGTCTAATAGGGCATTGCATTATCCTCCCTCCAAACAACAAGACTTTCTTTTATCATAAGATAACATTATTATGTTGTGCCATGAATAAAAAATAATGTATTTTTTATCTAAACTGCCTCTAAAGAAACAAGTTTAGTTAGTCCTGATAATTTTATGTTACTTCTGATCTAGCCTGACCCAGTACTTCTGATCTACTTAGCTAGACACAGTACTTCTGATCTTATTAGCCAGACACAGTACTTCTGATCTACTTAACCTGACCCAGTACTTCTGATCTACTTAACCTGACCCAGTACTTCTGATCTACTTAACTTGACCCAGTACTTACAATGACTTGAGAGTCTGGCATATCAGGATCCTCCTTCACTGTATGGATCATACCAGGTTTCTTGCCTCCCTTTCTTCCACCGAAATCTAAAACACATCATCATAATGAAATACAATTACCACTACAATGATCTTGTTCTGCACATGAGGAAGGAGATTAGATATACAATGTATGAATATCTGGTTAAACTATACTAAATATATAGGATTACATGGATAACTTCTAACGGGAAATGCTTACAACATCAAAAGCATGCATATAAATATATGGTTATTATAAATTAATGATATTCTTTTACAATTAATATTTTCTATACCATAATACCTAGAAAATATCATGCATTCACAACACCTCACTGCCTCACATGAACTATTTAGTTTTCAGACTGACAACACAATGCATTACAACAAAATCATGCATGTTTCCAAACACCCTACCCCTGAATCCAAAATGAGGAAGCTTTGCAATTAAGTATACTAGTAAACAATCAAGTGACCTGTAATGACTCTTATGTGAATGGTTGTTGTGAATGTATGTACATGACTACTATAATAGGTATGTTCCCCTGTCAAAAAAAGTTGTGCATGTCACACCTGTACCTGGTCTTTGATTGACAGATTGTGGGTGGGGCCTCTGTGTCTCTGACTCCTCCCTTCTGGATACCTGAGAACTTGCTGTTGACAGCCTCTTTTTGACATCTGTCTCACTCTCAGTTTCGTCATCTGCTGTGTACCTATAATCATTCATGGTGGGTCTTTCAGCTGCTTTGCTGGTTTGGGGCAAAGTTCCATCAAAACTCCTGTTGGTAATTTTATCATTCATGGGAGCATTCTGTATGAACAGATTATTGACTCTGCTAAGGTTGGACCCATTGAGGGAATTTCTTTGACCACCTGGCCTTCTGGAATTCTCCACAAACTGAGGTCCACTGAGGGAGTTTGTGCTGGTGTCTAGTTCTTGTCTTTCCCCTGGATATCTTGAGAAACTAACATCCTGGTCTCTACTCTCATTCATCACAGAGTGACTGTCATTCATTCTTTGTTCTACCATATGTTGATGCATTATATTATTTTTCTCCAGCAAGTCCCTTTCTGAGATCTGTTCCTTTAAGAAAGTCTCTTCATCCCCAGACTCATTTTTACTCTGCTGCCGAGTCACTGAGTTATCAGGACTGCTCATTCGCCTACGAGCAAGATCACTAGCATCAAGACTTTGGAGTACCTCTCTTGACCCTGATCTTAACATTGTTGATTTCTGAAACTTCTTAATAATCCTAGGTTCCTCTGAATTATCAATATCTTGGAGATTGTTGGCATCTATAATGTACCATACACATTTACATACACAATATCAAGCACTTACTAAATCATGCATCGAAGGATAGAAAAAGCCCCAACCCCATGCATCACATGTAAGCCAGTACATGTAGATATTACATTATAACAACCATGCCATTTTTTTTTCAAATGTGCTACTCCTTAGAAACAGATAATTGCATGCGAAAAAAAGGAAAGTTTTTAAAAATCAGATGTGAAAAGATCCCTCCTTAAAAATCAAAATTAATGCAAATTACCATACTATCTTAAAATTTAAGCATCTGTAAATACCACTGATGATGACATATTTGATATATTTTATATAATTATCTTTTTTTAAGCACAGCTATCTAATAAAAATACTTTTTGGTACGTTATTTATACAATGTAGCATTATTTTTCTAAATAGTGAAGCAGTCATTAAAAGGCTATTTAATGAAAAAGAAAGAGCAATACACATGTAGTAGAGAAAAAGAAGGAAAGTTTTCATGTGCAGAATAGAGAAAATGCCAATGTATTCTATATTTCTATAAACAATTCTTTTTTTAAAAAAAAAACATTTTTAAAAATTGTACATGAATATTTTTTCTAAATTAAATATCATTTCAATCAAACTAATAAAAAATTACTGGTTAAAACATTTCTCTATTATCTAGAATATTTAAATGTTATCTATACATCTACAGGTATACAGGGGCATGCTTACTTGACTTGTACCCATTTTGGTTCCCATGCCCAGCCTCATTTTGGTGAGGATAACCTACATATCCTGGATGTAGGTGATTCCCCTGGTAATTATTTCCTCCTCTCTACAAAGGAAAAAAACAAATTTCTGAATATGCATTGAAAAAAAAATTAATTTACATGCCAAAAGTTCAAAAGAGTTTTGAAAAGTGGAGAATTCTTACGGGAAAATGTGGTGCATTTTCACTGGTGGGAGTAGGATAATTGAAGTAAGCAGGCTGCTGCATTCTTATCTCTAGAGCTCTCTCAGCATCAAGTAACTCCTGGGAAGTCTTGGGAGTTTTGGCTTGTGCCAATTCCTCCACATACTGAGACCGCACAGCTGAAGGAAGGGGTGGGCGGTGGGGGGCCGGACTGATCTGGTCCCCATTTCTGTGTGATAAGGCATCCCCAATATTGACATACGTATGAGGAATGTCTACATATAGATCATTTTGACTAACGGGTAGACTGAGATTCTCTCTGTTTGCTTGCTGTAATGGTTGGCTGGACTGATTGACTGGCGGTTGATCCTGAGTGAGGTACAGTCTGGGGGGTTCCTTAGGGTGTTGACTGTTGGAACGGCCGGGGTAATTTTCATCATGTTCTGGTTTGATCCTTCCATGCCTCAGAATCTGAGGATCCTGTGGATAACCTCTTTCGTCTCCATAGAGACGATCCATCTGTTGAGCCTCCGCCCTCTGTGGAGAATAGTAACCATAGTTACTGGTTTCGCTGGTTTCTCGAGAATGATTTGAGTGAGGAATAATATCTGGTCTATCCACAGACCTGCAATCCAGATTAATATTGATAACAATTTACTCAGCAAGCCTTTGTCTTTTGAAAATTAAAAAAATTATGAATCTTGAGTTTGAGAAAAAGACATTTACTCATACTGGTTATGAGACCTGTTTAGCCCACTATACAAACATAAACTTGTACGATTTAGATTCACTTTGAAATGTGCAGAATAAAGCAGCAGATCACATAACATGTCATGAACACAGAAAAAGAACAACTTGACAGAAGTGATGAAACACAGCTGATAATGGGAAAAATTAAAATAAATCAATATCAAGAAAAATATCAAACTGCTACCTTGGATCATGCTGTGACATATGAACATAAGGGTTGTCATCAGCCTTGTGCCTCGGTGAACTCGGTTGAATTCTGTATTCTTTTGTTCGATTATGCCCACCTCTTTCCTCAAACCTTTCATGAGGAGAAAGATCTCTATTGAGTTTTTTCACAGGTTTGCTGTACACATTGTCTTGATTGTGTGAATTCTCCCTGTCTTTTTCCTGATCATAAGCTGCTCTACTGTAATCAGGAATTCTGTTTGGATAACCTAACCTCGCATCAACCTCATCCCTGTAAGTGGGATGACGATTGTCCTGAGTATTTCTTCTTGGATCCACATTTCTTGGATCATATTCGTTGTAAGATCTTTCTTGAGGATGTGGTTCATTGTATGACCTTCGATTCTGGGGATCATCAGGTCTTAGTGAATTGTCTCTAGGATAATTTCTAGAGGGTTGAATTTCCTCACTTAGTGGTCTTGCCCTATCTGTCTGTCTGTTCTGGGGCCTATGATTCACTTGTGCCCTTGGATCAGTAGGAAAATGTTCATATCTTCTATGAGGTGGGTCACGATTCTCAGGATATTGATTTGTATTCCTCTTCTCTGGTGAAAGCCTTGGTTGTCCTTGATCTTGATAAGGTCCGAAAGCTGATTGTGAATTAGACTTGTTGGATGGAGGAAATTCTGGTGGCCCACTGAATCTCTTCTTTACATCCTCATCTTCATCTTCATCCCACTCCATAAATGCTGATTTAGGGATTAACTTTGGAGTGTTGTTATTTGGTTCAGGAGATTTCCTACAAGAGATACAAACAGTTTACTGTTAATAACTTCTAAAACATCTGAAAAGCATGAACAAGATATTCTGTCTTCCCTTGCTCATAATTTACTTTTTTTCAAAATCAAAAAAAAAAAACCCACCTCAAAATATACCTCTATTGAAAATAAAATTCAGTTTATTGTAGTGTATTACATCAACAGAAAATGTCTCAGAAATATTTTCACCCCCTACCCCCCTCCCCGCAAAAATTGCATATCACCATGTATTTAAGGAAGAAGTGTTTATATTTGTAACATACTTGGGGACCCCCTTGAGGGCTGCTGCTAATTTGAGTGACTTGATCCACCTCTCCATATCAATCTGACTATCTGAGGCAAAAAAATAAGTCTTCATGTTGTTGTGTTCTGCTTTAAATGAAAATTTTTTGTTGCTTTCTCCTGGAGCACTCTGGGAAATCTGGTAGCTAGGCAACAAAATGGAGCCCACAGAATGATGCTCTTTATCATCTGAAAATAAAACATACATGTAGACATTATGGACACGGGTACATGTATCTGTCACCAAATAGTTTTAAATGCTCTTTATCATATTTCCTTTACTCTTAACAACAATTTTTTTCACTATGACCTTCTAAAGGTTCAATATGATGTGCATTATTCCTGAAGTTTTCTTTAATTATTATCCACTTGAATATAATATCAACCTTTGTAGAAGAAGAGTCCAAAATCTGCAAGGACACACCAGCGTTTCTTCCAAGATTTCAGGCCACCACTCTCCTGTGTAATGAAACAAAATGTCAAATTCTTCAATCAAAAAACATCCTTAACGGCTTTTGTAGTTTGACTCTTCCCCTAAATGTATCTCATAAGAACTAATGACTCTAGTGAAACCAATACTTCAGGCATCTCAGCAAAGTACTAAGCAAGATTTTACTTTCTGAGCTAATAGACCAATACCAAACAGACACCTCAGAAAAATACTAAGCAAGATTATTTCTTCTGAGCTACAATACCAACAACCTTGCCCTTGGCAGGCTTCCTAGCCAAGAATAATTTTTGTGCAAAGTCTGATTTTCTAAAATTCAAAATTATGGCTTACATAGGAAATTTACATTTCTGAACTTGTGACCTTGACCTAGTTCATATGACCTTGGTTTAGGCACATAAGCCCTTGGGACAAATGCAATTTTTGTACATGTACCATGAATAACCTTGTTTCTCCACTTTTTAGCCATATTTCATGCAGGAATTTAACATTTCTTTACCCAGTCACTGAAACACTGTACAGTGAAACCTTTGAAAAACCTTAATATTTAAATTTTGAGAAATTAATTTGGCAATAGCATATGCACATGCAGGTTAATAACATTTCTACAAATTTGAAAGAAAATTGAATAGTTCTTGAAATAGTCTTCCGACAAAAAAAATTGTCCATGAACAGATTGGGTGATTTCAGTACAACAAAAAGCTTCATTTGTTTGGGGGGGGGGGGGGGGCATGATAACATTTTTTTCATTGAAAACATACCTGACGATAAAGCCAGCCCTTTATGGTTACCATGGCGGTTTCTTCTCGTTTTGCAGCTGGTGCCTTCAGAGCTCTACAAAATTTACATTTGTTGCTTATTGTATATAAATGTTTATTGAATAACCATGATAACAGAAAATCTCTTTTGATAATAAAACAATGTAGTTTAATAACCAACCTACCTTAGTTTTGTAGGAGATCTTATTGGTGACTTCTGGGGGAAAAATAATAATTAAACTTTAGAATATTAAATACACCAGAATAAATCAAACCTGGAATGATTCCAGTCTAATTGGATGATCTAAAATTATAGTATTTATTTGCAGAGAAGTTCTACAGTCTATAAATAGTACTTACTGGGGGTCCTCCACCAGGGCTGTTAGGGGGAGAGGCTGCAGAGGTGGAGGATCTGAAAAAAATAATGTCCACAATTCAATAAGTAGAGAAAACTATATACAAAAGTGATTTTGTAGTATAACTCAATCCTCTGATCATCTTTATGATGGTTACCACTGGGTAAATTTAATCTTAATGAATATATAACCAAGATTAAATTATACATGTATTGACCCACATCTTTAAATCCACTTTGTATCCCCAATGCCTTTTTAATTGTGGAATAACTAAACTTAAAATATGACACCACATATACTGGAAAATCATGTCACCATCCATTTCTGGTGTTAGTTACATGTAACCTACAATATGGTTGTCATACATGTACGTGTTTCAATAATCCAACATGCCATGTGGATCCAGTTATACCACATATTCCAGAGTCAAACATGAACTCCTGACAAAGACAGACAGACAGAGGGACTCTGTAATTACTATGAGGCATTATAGCTTAATGCATGGCCCTGAAAATGGCAAGTGTGCAATGGCCCCTTGCACAAAAGTTTATGTGTTAGAATAAGCATTAATTAAGTCAAATGATTGGTTGTCTGTTAAATGCATCACAATATGACATACAGATGCATCTTTTCTTACTTTATGGGCATATGCAACAGTTTTGAACTTTTTATATTGAAGAGTTCCAATGATTGAAAGATTTTTGAAGGACCTTTTTACAACTTTTACTATAATGCCTACTGATGCTATAAACCTATTTTAAAATAAATTTTGAGGAAATAACAGCCAAATCTATATACATGTATTTGGTTAATGTTTCTTTGAATTATAGCACAACTTGAAGGATTTTCATCTTTTAATATCTATTCAAACCCCCTGGTAATGTATGCTGAATTTTTGTCTATTGAGATCATTTAAATGGTTTAATATGATTATAAATTAAAAATATCTTGAACAATTATAAATGGGTAAGACATGTTGTACAGCTATTGTAAGGTACATTGTGTATGACCTTAAAATAGATGGAACAAAATTACATTTATTCGGTTGCTGTTTTCCAAAATGAAAAAAAAAATTAATCTGCCCCACTGATTGGATGCATATTATATCCAACAAATAAGCTTTATCAATAAGTTTTCACTGCATCTCATATTGCATGTGTTCAGATATTTCAACTTACAGTAATTTTTAAGAATTTCCCGGGCAAATTCACTAATTTAAGCCCAAACTCTCTGCAAAAACTTGAATTCACTCTCCAGGCTTCAACATGATGTTCCTGAATATAAAGCTACATGCAACCCCATATTCTAATAATTTTACTTACTGACAAGTAAATAATTTTACAACTTCCCTCTTAGTGTAAAGGATTCAAATTCACATGACTGAATGGGCTTCATATACAAATACAGTTCTAAAAGCATAAGCCCCAGGAATAGATTTAATCCCATTAAATTTTGAATGTAATCCTAATACATTTTCTCAGCATGACAGAAGTTTTCAGATAATCCCAAACAATGCAACCTGGACAGAAATCAAAATGTTCTGCATTATAAATTCACCACAATTATAGTAAACTTTTTTTCTCACAATATGAGCAAATGCTTTATTAATGCAGGGATGACCTTATACGCAAGTCTGTATAATTAGCTTCCGAAGAACCCAAAGACTAATTTGATTTGTTACAAAATAATCTTATTAACCAGTGTTCATCGTCACCTAAATAATCTGTTAATCTACACCGTCAGTCAACTTTGCTGACAATGGAAACCAGTGACACTTACATTGGAAAGTGTCCAATAAACACACAACCAAAGTACATGACAGAACTAATGCAACAACCAGCTCATTTGCTAATTAATATGAACAAAGTATACAATGATCACATGTACATATTAATTGAGTGCAACTTCCAAGACACTTGTCATTGAAATGCAGCTATCTATCATATCTATCATATTATACTTACTTAATATTGAATTTTGTACCTCAAACCAGTGTTATTTCAAATAACTATGTAGTAATACTTTATCAACAACATATTAAACAGTGAAAAAATAAATATCAACAATGGAATTCATGTGTATCTTGAATCCAAATCTTTTCAATATAGCTACTCATTTTTTTAAATGTTAAAGACAGTCAACTCAACATTATAATGACAGGATCAATTTGAAGGTTTAACTCAGTGTAATTGATTTAAAATACTTCAATTTTCAGTAAACATCTGGGGAATACGTTCTATTTCCACTATGGAAGAGTTATACTTCTTAGTGCGCTCTTTTGTGAAAAAGTCGGCAAATGTACAAATCTCGCGGGATTTCAGGGACAAACGTAACGTAAACATGTAAACAATATGTTGAATGTCGATGAACAAATCCTAAGAAAATGCAAATGAAATATTTTATTGTTGTGGACTTTATATACATCAAGAGTAGGAATGACAATGATATTAATTTATATCTATTGTTGATTGTATGTATCTATTTATCGTATGGTACATCTAAATACAATACACATGCCTCGGAAATGTCGTATTTTTTATTAATGGATGATAAATTTAGGGTTCTCGCTCTCTTACATATGTCTTTAAATTCTTCTATTCTTTAACTGGAATGACAAATACATTTAACATTAAAAATTGGATTGAGATTGGCATGTTTTGTATTATCCGCAAAGCCATGCCATCCCTGTCAGACGACCAAACGCGCCTCTAATTTTGAAGAGTTCACTAATGGAAATAGAACGTATTATAGTGTATATATATATACAAACAAAATATCACATGTCATTTAATGAGAAACAGCATTTGCAATTTTTAAGAAATTATTCGTAACTTACTTACTACTCACATGGTACTGACACTTCATGGTACATGTAGTAACTTTATTAAAATCTTAAGAATCCCATTTTCAGTCTTTTGTTAAACTCTTAAAATAAGCTTCAACAGAACGACCCTCAAATTTCTATGAGCTTTGTCATTTCTATTGACTGAATAAGATTCAATGACTTTTGACAGAATTAGACAGAACAGCTTACTGTTTGGGACTCCCATGGCTTACTGTTCTGCCAGTCACTGGGTGCTCAAAGGTCGTAGTCTGTGTATTGTGACTGAAAAAAAGGAAGGAAAAAAATAAGTTCTCACATTTAACAATCCCCAGCTAAAATGCACCTTTCATGAACTGTCTAGCAAACACAGGTTATCAGACTGTAAAGTTGTCTATTTTTTTCCAAAAAGCACACAATTAGAAGTTCATCAGGTTTACTCCAGATTACTTTCACATTGTAGTTAACTAAAAAGAATCACGCTCATATCCAACAAAAGACTCAAATGATCAGAACTTAACAACCCAGTCAAGTTTATCAGACTAGGTGTAAAATTATCAAAATCTACAACGAACACACATAAACATGTATATTAATATTACCTGGGCATGTTCAAGTTCAATAACTTTTAGTTCCCATTAAAATAAGGCACGTACATCAAAGAGTGAATGTCCTTATACATAAAAGAATCACTAGTTGTCAAAATCTCAAAAAGAAAAAATTCAATGACATTTCTCAAGGCCTCTGAGCCAATCACTTCCAGAGAACCGGTCTTTGTGCCTGCAAATTAGCGTACCATCCTGCATACTTTGTTTTTGTCCCAGGTATGTCACCGTTATAACAGCTTAAATGTCCAAACTTTATCAGGAACAAAAAATTCTCTAAAAGCCTGTGTTTTTCAGGATATGCAATGTTACACACGTAAACCTCTTAAAGAGACCTCAACCGTTCTTCAGTACCACCTACTCAATGTAAACATGACTCAGGCCGTCTGCAACTCAAAATCTACCTGTTACACCTGTGTCTGACCTACCCAAAATATATACACAAAATACAATGTCCTACACTCAAAAGATAAATGGTCAATCAATATTGAACAGAAACTCTGTTTTATTGATGCCTAGTGAAAGGTCTTAATCATTTAATTCCCAAACAAGAGCTGTGTCAACAAGATTTTTTAGCCACACTTTGTGAAATCAATATTGTTTAAAAGGAATTCTTGACCAATGTTCAGGAATTTCCTATTATTTCTGCACAACTGAAGTTTAAAAGGTACACAAATGAGATTTTTAAACAAAGAAATTGTGAAGCACTTGACATTTGTTAACAATTATAGAAAATGATGATTTTGCTCTTTTTTTAAAAAATAAATGTTCCTTGATGCCTGAAGAGAGTACTAAATGTATAAGAAATTTTTTAATTTAAAAATTAAAGTTGCTGAAGATTTCACAGCATATCCTGTTAAATTTTAACTTAGGAATATAAATATAACTTAAAGGGTTAAGCTTAAGGTGCACTGGTCTTAAGGACTTATCATTCATCTGGAAAATGCAGGTCATGTGCAGGATTTCAGCATATACTGATCAATGTAGGTTTTATAATTCTAATCAGATATAAACTTAATCCAACCACTTTTAACTAATTGGCCTGACTCATTCTGAAATTAAAGGTTAAGAATTGATTGATTCATCCAAAACATGACTGCTTTCAAGAGAAGGTAATGTAGAATGCATGCATGGTTTGCCCAGTGTTGATCAGTTTAGATTTATTTGGAAAACAATTTGACCTGAATGGATTCTGGTAAATAAAACAACCTGACCTGAATGGACTCTGGTAAATAAAACAATCTGACCTGAATGGATTCGGGTAAATAAAACAATCTGACCTGAATGGATTCGGGTAAATAAAACAATCTGACCTGAATGGATTCAGGAAAATCAGGTTCCTTGCAGCATATGGAGCATCATGCATTCAGGCAGTATACATCTCGAGATCATCATGACTTAATGACTGGTTGCATTACTAACTGCTTACAAATATTTGGAAAATGTTTTTAATAGTTCAAGGCCAGCAATAAAAAAATCTATGTTTTATAAACCAAACCCTTTATCTCTGAGCTAGGTCTATTCCTTACATATACACAGTAATCCAAGGTGCAAAATTCAGAAGCATGAAACATGAAATTATCACAATTTTTAATCACTATGCATAATTGCATAAATCTCTGCCATACAATTTTACTGCTTAGAGCAAATGCATGCATAGAATATCCCATCATGCTGACATTTGTAATTAAATTTGATGACTGATTGTTATTAGTTTTCTAAATCATAGTCACATATCAACAACCTAATTAAAATGAAATAAATCAGAAAATTTATATATTCTTAAGCACTTGGTGGGGGTAATATGGTAAATTAAATGTAGGACAAGGTATATTAATGCTGGATGGCAGGAACTGGCAAAATATTATTGTACCTTGGTCCTTGGATAAATTCACAAAAAACTTAGAAAGTTTTGCCCCCTGTCACTAAATGTAGCAAAATACACCCACAGTCCATATGAGATATATATGCATAGTACACATTCTTCCTAGTTAGGGTAACTGCAAACTTCATTATAAACTGGATCTTTCAAGTACATAATCAAAGTACTCAGGAGTACAGAGAGTCGGGCTTATTTATAGAGCAGTGACCAGTACCGTTTTAGATGAAGCATACATGAAATAACTGCTACACAAGTTCAGAAATATTATTTTGCGATAAATTATTAAATGCATTAAAAAGTTTGTTTGTTTTTTTTAACACAGGAAAAGTTTTAAAAATCATCTCTGTATAACAATGTATAACCTCAGTGTCAGGATATCGCATTATATTATATGGGAACTGATCTAATTTGAAAAGCGTAATGGTAGAGACAGGTAATATTTATGTTGGCTGTTGTTGAGTTACCATCCGGTGTATTCCTCCGCGCAGATCGGCGATCCCAAGAGCCTGGTCATAGCTTATGCTCTGGAGCTCAGCTAAAAATGGTTGGTTATAATGTTTTAATTAAATGTTACAAAAGATAACAAACAAAACTAATGCACTTTCAAAAAGGAACCAGAATCCTAATCCATTGCTCATCTCCTTTCCAGTGCAATTCCTTGATATATTTATCCTTAAATAAACATTTAGGTATCTGCATGAGCCTAAAATGCAATTACAAAGTTAAATTTGAAAGCTTAAAGTTATATCTATATTAGCATTTCAAATTCTTTCTAATCAGGCCTCAATTCTTTCACTTTTTACAGAGTCCATTTTGACTTCTAAATATACTGTAATATTCACTTATTTTCATAGGATCAAATTTTCGTGGATTGAGGAAAAATTACTGGTTCAAGAGGATTTAATTTCATGGTAAAAGGTGAAACATCATAGTGCAGTATTAACATTTAATAGGGGATATGAATTCATGGGTCTCTTCACAGCACGAAAACAACGAAAATTAAACCTCCACGAAAATCAGTGATATCACAATATTTACAAATCCATGTTTAATTTGATATATACACTAGGACTGTCTTGATCAATGGCTAGGTCTGGTCAGCCTGGCTGTATGGGGTCAGTTGTGGTCTCACACTTTTACTATTTTTACTGGTCAGTCTACAAGTGTTTTGTTACTTGTTGACACGTTGATTGATGAAATCTGACACTCTGCTATGTCCAGAATATCTGACATCAATCTGGCCAGAAATGTCCAAATAGCAAAATTATTGGTACATAAATAGAAATGGTTGAGATGATGATCGTCTCAAAGATCGCTACTTTAATGGTAAATGTTAAGGATTAGGAAGGGCTACTAAAAAATTGGAATTGGAGAGAACTTTTTAACTCTGAAAGGTTATTATCTTGGTGTTACATTAAATTAACTACTTGTACATGTATTTTTTTTATATTAATCACAAAAAAGAAAAAAAGAACCCCCCCCCCAAGATTTCAATTAGTTACTACCAAAATTATTTTACTGAAAACTTAGATTATAGTCATTAAGGAATATAAGCAAAACTGGTCCAAGTGAAGAAAAATAAATCAATCCCATGAACTCCAAACAAAGAAATGCCCCAACCTTGATCTTTGACATAGAAAGAACGAGGGCGCTTTTGATTGGCATTCGGCAGGAATCTGGGCGCACTTGAAAAGGGAAAATTTCATTGATCTATCACATGAAATTTTAGCATTCTTTTGATGTATCGGGTTCCTGTGAAATAGGAAAGGGAAATATTTTCCCGATATTGTATTTATATTTGCTAAAAAAGAAATTGGAAATTGGCTAGATGAGTCATTTGGTACAAAATGTTATATTTTCAAACATGTTTTTCTAAAAATTTGCTACCTCTGGGTCATCTCTCCTTGATTTTGAAATGTTATTTTTGTGTATTTTAATTCAAAGAAACCAACAAACTTTTGTAAAAAATGGAGAGAAGACCCAGTGACGATAAAAAATGAACTTTTTCCAAAAAAAATTCCAATGTATAAATGCGGTGCTTCATTGTCGCTTTAAAAACCATAAAATGTGTGTAGCGGTGATAGCTCAATAGTATGCGTTACTCATCCAGTGCAGTGAAAAAGGAATATTTTTGGTTCGATCCTCGCATGGAGTGTCAATATTTTTTTTTTACTACAAACAATCAATTCTTTTGTCAGTTTAATATTATGTACTGATTTATTTTCAGATAGATAAATTCTGGTTCTGTTGCACTGAAAGCGAAAGCAATTCTTCAACCTACTGATACTTTAATATATACATGTACTTGTAATTGCATTTAACTAAACCCTATAGGTGTTTATTATTTATGTGACGCGTGACTAAGTTTTACATGTAGTAATTAATAAGATAAGTGGACTGATATATTAAATATGACAAAGTATTTCAAACTAAATGTAACATTTTCCCATGTACGTAACTTTGTAATGTATGTCCAGCTGTGGTTACCGACAAAATCGTAGACATTTAAACTATGAATGTTTCGTACGCCTTATTCCTGCAGATCACACACCAAACACGCCCATCTTCTTTGGTACAGGGTCACTGCACACCCTTTACCCAAGGGTACTTGTTTGGTTACATATAAGTCAAATTGGTTCAATGGAAGAGAAAACACACCCAAGACAATGAAAACCTGTTATGGAACAATATTACTGCAATATTTTTACTGAAGAGCACACTGGTAGATGAAGTAAGAGACAAAATGGGCCATTTAGGTAAGAGAAAATATATGCAAGACACATAATATCAAACCAACTAACAGATTACCAAACTGACCTATATAGAGCACAAGAATCAATTCTATTATCATTCCATTTTCATACTTTTTAAAATCACTTTGTCATAGGAAGAATTCATAACTACATATTGTACATTTGACTTCTTCCTATGACAAAGTGCTTTTCACTGAACAATATACAACTACATATGGTACATGTATGTTGTTCAGTGAAAACTGATATTGTCAGTCTGTTATATAAGAAGTATACAGATAGGAATGATCCATTGTTAGTATCACTTCATGAAATTTTAAGTATGGACTCTGTACTCCATGGTCTCTGCTATTCAATGTCCATGTTGAAAACAGAATCTCTGCAACCTTGAACGTGTTTGATCATAATTAAATTTGATATCAATATGGATTGAATAATTAACATCAAATTTTCAGAATCTATTGCTCTTCCATTTGTTACCACTACACATATCCATCTCTCTCTCTCTCTCTGTGGTAAAAATACCGATTAAACACTGCACCAATCCGTATTTTGTAGTACATGCTGATATCTATCATTTCAGGAGACAGTACAATAAGACGACGCAACAACCAAGCTGTTTAAATTGTTCATCAATTTAAACCCAATTCAGGATAAATGTTCTGCTTTAGAGATTTATTGACTAGACGTGCTAAAGGAGTATTGTTAATGAAGTCCTACCAAACAAGAGGTCAATGTTCACATCTATATCATCACACTATTATTATAAGATTCTTGATAGACTATTTTAAACCCGATATGATTGTTAAGTGTTATAAACCAAATTGATATATCTAGTCTATGGGAAAATATAAATAAATAAAAAATATAGAATTAATCTCATCAGAGCATCAAAATGATATTTATAATTAAATCTATATATTAACAAAAACAAGTAAAGCTATGATTCAAGTAACATTCCTGGTCCTATGTTACTTCCAATGGTGTCGACGAGGGAAACATATTAAGCTTTTATGAGCTGCACAGAAAATATCAAGTTCATCTAAACTTGCATGGTGCTAAATTACTTTAAAAAAAATAATCTGTCAAACTTTTTTCATACCTTTCTTCTGGTTCTTCAACTATAGTCTCCATTACTAATGTTTCCATATTATGCAACACAATTAAAACAATAAGCTATAAGACTGGAATTCAGTCCAGAGCACTATGACTGGAGTTACCTGCCCCTATACTCTATGAAGAAGTTCTGACCGTAGTTATCTACCCCTAAGGTACTTACTCTATGAAGTAAATAGCTCCCTCTGGTGTCACAGCTTGTTCCCAGCCATCTGGTAGTCCTGAAATTTTAAAATCACAGAGTCAACTATCATGTCTACATTTTCCACTCATTAAGTATTGATAGCTCAATTAAAAGTCAAGAGTTGAATTACCTGAGCAAGTTAAACTATATACCAAAGAATCAATAAGGAAATTCAATAGGTCAACTATTTTAAATGTTCTACCATTATTTATTCTCATTCAATTATTTTCTACAGTTTACTATAGAATTCTCTTTGATTGAACCATTTCCATCAAATACATGAAGTAGTACCTTTCATAAAAACTCACACATTTGCACAATGTTAGTGTACACTGGCTATTGGACAGTTATTAACTATATATTCACAATTTCTTTCTGTTCAGAATGTTCACCCTGGTTTGAAAGAGGATGAAAGATGGGAGGGGATATAGAAGTTCCATTTTTATAAATATACAAATTGTTCAGATTACTATTTTATCTTTATACACATAAAAAAAAAAACACACCTTGAAATTCATACCCATAATTGTGATCATTCTTACTCAGATAAACAACTGAAGTTTTTACATACAGGTTCCTCTCAGGCTGTGTCAATGTAACTGAATACATGTATAGCCATATCAATTTCTGAACACTCCCTGTATATTATGAAATTTTCCACCAATAGTAAAAAAGAGAAATAGCACAGCTAGTATATCAAATTCCTGCTTGTATCTGCATCCCATAATACCATCATTGCATTGATATTTTTTTTTAACATAAGTATACATGTGAACAGTAGCATAATTAGATGCATGACTGCATGTATAACTGTATAAATGGTATGCATGTTTTTCTTCAAGAACACACAGCCCAATACATTTTCACACACTTCATAAGGAAAATAGCTTGCAATAGCATGCAGTAACAGATTCTTTTCAAAGAAGATCAATTAGTCAGAAGGAATATTAAGGAATATTCAGTTAGTGTTGAAGACCTGACAATTTACACACTGTATCAAATTCACTTTTTTATATGAAAAGTGGTAGGGACACACATTCATGGTATTTGAGATGATCGATGTTTGAGGTACCGAAGTTCAACTCTACTTTATGATAGGTAAAAATTTTAATATGGAACAAAAAAAGGTGGTCATTAATTTGCAAAGATTTAAAAAGTAAAGCACAACCAAAATAATTTATTATTACCATGTCATAAATAATGATTAACACACAATTTCTATGTACATGTATAATTATACATTAAAAGTCCACTATGAAGTAAAGATGTGCATCCAATAAGTTTACAACTGAGAGAAATAAAACTACATGTATACATGTATGTAGTCATTCTAAATGAAGACCTGAGAATTTTTAACACAGACACGTGACCATGAGACAAAAGATTCTCTTACTCTGGTACAGTCTCCAACCTCTAGAGGACCAGATAATCACAGCTGGTTTTCGGCTCTTCTTCATTGCACAATACTTTATACAGACCTTCAAGGCCCAGAATGTCTCCAAGAAATCACCGGAAAACAAGTAGAAATTCAATCATTTCCTCCATTATAATGTTTTTTCTGCTCATTACAGACATTTGTGGAACAGAAACATAAGGCTTGTTCCTTTGATCATTCACAACGAAAAATATGTTAATGAAAACTTTTTCACATTGATAAGATAAAACTTTAAAGTTTGCTTTATCAATCTATATTACACACACCACAGCATAAACAGGACACTTCCAAAAATCAAGTTCAGTTAATAAAAAAAAAAACGACAGGACCTGCCCCACTCAAAACCCATAACCATCAAACCCTTCAGACATGGACTAAAAACAAATTAACATGGACTTGGTACGACATTTCGCACCTTATGTAACACCGACACCAACACAAATGTCTTTTTTCTGTCTCCTGTGAAGTATGGTGCCTTCGGGCCAAAGAAACGAAATACATTTCCAACTGATTGTGCCGGCTCGAACATTTGTAATACACATTTTATCAACTTAACCACCATGTCTATGCCATTTACGTACTTGGATTACGTTGGTCAATTTTGAGCGTATTAACACAATTAAGAAGATACATGCATGTGCTTTATAAGGTCATTAAATAAAATGGAATTTTCGTGTCTTAATTGACCACACTTTCTGTCACACAAAGACACTAATTTACATGTACATGTAGCTTTATACATCTTGTACCGTTAATATCAATATTTACCTCAAATGTAGGTTTTGTTCTATTCAAATCTTACTCAGTTAAGATATTGCAACAAAAATTAAATTCATATTAAAGATTCTTTTCAATTATATGCATAATTGAGAAAAGAATTATAACTGCCCTACTCAATGACCTCTAATGTATTTTAGTATTGTCAGTGATGTGATGCATATGACTGTATCACATTCCTCATACACAGTGTGTGAATAAACTCAGAGACAATAAAACTCACCTGAGCAAATACCTGCTAAAATCTCTCCACAGTAAAATTATCCTATGAAACTTAAAAATGATTTACAGGTATCTATCCTGTGAGTGAACCTTGTGTATTCCCTGACACAGAGGAAATATTGGACGCACAATTGTGAAATTCATCTGCATAAATGTCACCTTTCCTTCAACACGTGAGATGTATTTTATGCAAAATACACAGGAATGTAGACGGCCATCGAGAATGAATACATAACTTCCTCCCTAAGCCAATAGTCTTCTTAACTCTGTTGTTTTTTACTGTTGAAATCCTCTCCTGAGGTATTGCTTTGTTTTTGTTTTCAACAATAGGTGTGACAGAGGAAAGAGATAAGAACTGATCGGACTAAGGCGATTAGTCAGGACTTTTAAATGACTGTCCACCTATAAAACTGGAACAGACCAGGCCATAAAATATAAAGTAAACAAAACAAACAAATGTCACTCCAGATTCTGTTAAGTGATCCCCAATACCTGGCTAAGTATGTTAGCTCAGACCAAACCCCAGATCTATTGGAGTTCACTGGCTTATTACAACCATGAAATCTCAAATTATCTGTCCAGCCCAAAAGCAATTAATCAGCTTTGAACATCTCTTTTTTTACCTGTTCAATGTAATGTGTCTGAAATCTGTCAACTTCACCTGAGGTGTCTAATGACGGGAAACTGTCTTGTAGATTCCCTCTTACTCATGAGAAATTTATCTATTAATATGAGGATTTTAATGAGAAACGTCTAGCTTTTGCAGTAATAAATCTCACTATAATTATTTCTTTTAAAACCATTATTATCCTATCATGCTTTTTTTTTTATCTCACACAATTTTGATAAGAACTGCAATGCTAAAATGTGAAACTAAAAAATACTGATTAAAGCAAATGAAATTGTATGCATAATTTATCAAATCTTTTAAGTATTTTTTTTTCAGAAGTCTTTACTATTATAAAAGCAGTTTAAATTTCTGTATTGGTTTAGAAACTTTATTTTTTTGCTGCAGGTGCTACCTGAGACAGGTAAAACAAACTGCAACAGCAACCTGATATTTTCATATAAAAGGACATTTATGATGAAAAAAAAATCAAGTTGTTGCTTTCATTCATATTTTTTCACATCAATTCAATTGAAATTATCATTCTTCAACAATATACTAAGGACCATTTGCAGTGTAATAAAAGTTTTTTGACACACCTGTGTAAATTGGGTCAGGGCCTTTAAGTGAAACAAACCATCATTTCAATTCTTTATCGTACAGGTAAATCTCAGTTAGAATTCTTCCCATACAGTATGGTTGATCAGCAGAGTGTTTTTAAGACTTGTTGGGTAAATGTTTCACAGGTAAATACACAGCGAATTATGTCACCTTGATTCATATTACATCACAACTGATACAGAACTTATGTTTACCAACAAATCAGGACACTGTCTTATGTTTACATGATTGACATGATACATGTCATGAAAAAAGAAAGGAAAATGTGCCTTGATTTTGTGGGTTTTGTCTTTATTCTCCTCAATAATATTTCTTCTTATGTCACAACAAATGATACGTAAAGAAGTTAATCTTGCCATCAATGCAAGCATAGGTCACTCAAGGAACAATTACATATCACATGAAAAAGTAAGAACCCGTGGTTGAAATAAAATTTTGATTTCAGTTAATTATTGGCCAGTTCCTGCTAAGGGAGAGGAACTTAATTATACAATAATAAATTAAAAATATCTTCATATCATACCACATGTGTATTAATTACCTCTCTTAACACTCAACATACACTATGCTACACATTGATAAGGTACATATACTTCAAACTGTGCATGTATGCACTAATCTTGCACAACCCATTTTGCTATTGAATAAAAGAAGTAATAATGTCCCATTTGAAGAAGGGTATAAGCATATCATAAACATATGATAAAGGCTACACTGATTTTCAAGTTCCAACTTGGGAAACAATGGCTAATAGAACATAAAACCACATTTATGTGGTGTTAACTTTTGTTGAAAGATAAAAATAAATCTGACACATGCTAAGTATTTCAGAAATGCATCCTAAAATGTGCTGCATGGGCTGTGTTGGTGCAGATGTATATAAGGATGGCATACCATGTTTTGTGACCAGAGTATATAAAATTGTTCATGATTTTCAAAAGTACAATGGATAGAACGCCTGTAACTTTATCTGGCGTCGATAATAATCACAAAACAAGCTAAAAATGTGTAGATTTTATCTAACACGACAGGTGTTTTGGTCTAATTAATCTGAGGTTGGTACGAGTTGCGCCCCTTTGTAAACAATGTCATTTCTCACCTGACACTCTTCTGTGGCCTGTTTGCACGGGATTTCTTTTTAATGGATGTAGCCAAGATGTCGTCCGTGATTTTTCGCTTAAAAAGAGATAAAAACTAAAATCAACAAACGTCCCAGAACATTTTAATATAAGTATACCTGTCCCCCCTGTTCAGGTGTAAAAAGTTTCTCCAGCAATTTTTGATGTGTTCCTGTCTGTACATATACACATATAATTTTTTGCAGCAAGGCGAACGTTAGCTGATCATTATAAATTACTCACTCAATAAAGAAGATTCGCCCGTCTCTTGTTACTCCGAAATTTACGTGGGGATGCCTCTCCCGCAAAACATCAACCGCCATGTTTGAAAAACTTTTTGAGATTTACCTTTGGCTCTTCCGGTATACCATTACGTCACAAGGTACCTAGAGGCTCGCCACGGGGACTTAGGGCAATAAGCCTTACTTGATTAGAAGCACTTGACTCTTTTTTTTTTTCAAATGACATATACATATGATTGTGCAAAATTTAAGGAACATAGCGAGTATACATCGTCGCAAGCCACATGTTTTGGTTCCATTATGTTCTATTTCCACAAACAGATAAACAGAATGGACAAAACCCGTGGCTTGTGACGATGGGCCTTAGTATATGTAGTATGAAATGTATTAATTTAAATTATTGAACCGTTTTCATCGAGTTCTGTGAAAATAATATTATAAGATATTTCTTCATAGTAAATATCAATATATTACTATTATTATTTTAAAAAAGAAAAACAGAAAACATTATATCATACCATCAAATTTTAAATTCATTTACCAACATATAATACTTTTCTCCATATATCATGTATCTGTTTATTGCACATAAGACAGCAGTGGATTTCTGTTTAATACATTTCTTTAGCATCAGCTCTTGTTGATGTATCGGGCATATGTTATGTGCTCAGAATGTATATATTGAATTATTAAGAAGAATAATGCACATGTTTAACATTAAGTATTAATTAAATGTGCAGAAATAGTCATATTAAACACCAAATTATATATTTTAATAAAAAAAAAAAATGTGGGAAGGCAATGCCACCAATGTTCTTAAAATCTAACTGGAAGAATTACGCTTCACTATCTTGTCTATTACTGTATCATTAATAATATAGGCTATATGCTATAAATTTATGCTTATTTGTATATTTGGGCCCTGATTTGGAAAATGCTTTTCTATTCTATTCCACATCTAACTTGGATTGTTACATGCGGATATTTGTTCTCTAGCAAAGAACCAAGACAACCGAGATCACCTACATATTCAGACATTATACTGTACAATTTCGTGCTAAATAAGCTTTACTAACTCAGAATTAAATAACAATTTCCATAGATTTCAAATTAATCTACATCAAATAATAAACAGGATCCCATTTTATAAAAGAAGCATCGACGAAGCCCAAGTATTAGTTTGTTTTTAATCTGACATACAGAACGTACGCCAGATTGGACATTACCAGAGACGCAATGTTTCTGGACATACTGACTTACTTAATGGTGATAACTCTGAAAATGCACATGGTTGCGTATGTCTAAAAATATTGTTTTCTAAATCTGCACTGAATACAAATTCATTTAAAGAAGACAAAAAATTGGCCGCATATTTTATGTCTTAGTCGTAAGTACTTTTGTAAAACAGACCCAGAGTATTCAGATATCTAGAAAATTTTGAGATGATATCATCACTGCTAGAAATCATACTATATCGTTATGTTTTTAATAATACAAGAAAAAGAATTCCACATAATGAATCCATCTCTCTGGTTTAAATGCACAGTTTTGCACTTTAAATAAAACCATGTCTATAGTTCATCATCCGTTTTCTTTACAAGACTGGAGTCGGGTTCAATCCATCGACATGACTCGTCAGTGGAGCAACAGCACTGGTCCCCGTAATAAAGGGTGGGGACCATGTAACATTCCCCCGCCGCCGCCTTACACTTCCCATCAATGTCCGCACAGCCGTATGGCGTGGAATAATCCGTCACACATGTCTTAGAATGCATAGGGAACAGCAAAACAAGAAAAACCATCAGAAGAAGATTTGGTAATGTTTGACTCCTCATTGTCATCCCAGGATATTGATCTATATAAGGGTAAATTTATACATAGGCCTATCATTTTATGCAATGGCTTTCCACTTCAATTTTCAAAATAATTTCATAGTATACTGTGAACAGAGCTACCAAACTGGCAAAATAAATCTATCTACTGTTTAAATGATACTGAACCGTCAACGATAGTTTAGAATTATTTTTAAATACTGACCTGAGCTGAATATTGAAAATCAAGTTTTTGGCGCCATCAACAAATTGCTTTTTTATCTGTTTTCCGAACCCGATGCATGCAATACATGCTGATTATACGTGTATCTGTTTATTCTGCAGTTTATTTTTTCAAATATGGAAATACTGCATTAAAATTTTCTACTTGCTTTTAGTACTTTAGAGATACCACCTTTCAATAATTAAAGGTTAAAAAAAACACAGACACGCTTTTGTCATCGTCTGTAGATTCATCTAGATCATCTATATGCTTGTTACAATTATATTTTTGTTCACTTTTAAAATAAATTTTATTTACAGCGACGTAAGAAGTTTGAGAGCAACAGATATTTTAAACTTTAAAAGTAAGTTTCAAGAAAATTATGGATTGAAATAACATCCACTTCGTGTTTTTCAATGACAGTTTTACTTCACCTAGGCACGTGTGAAAAATGTACAGACATAGCCTATCTTACAGTTCTCTGTTTAAATATTTAGTATTGTTTGGTGCCCAATGTCAGGATGCACAATGCACAACACGTTCATTTGTATGACATCATCAAACTTACTTATGTTTGATTTGTTGTATTAAATTCATATATTTGGCAGCACAAAGAAGAAAACCATAATGTAGGATTCCTATGATTGAAACTGGAAACGGAAATAATGAAACTGTATTTATAATTTATACTAACCTCTTTTCCCTCAAATCAAGAAATGTTTTACAGTCCTGTTCCTACGTAAATACGGATTGCATACATGTAACTGTGGTGGTAACTTTTTTTTTTGGAGGGATTGGGGTAAATCACTTTTCAGTTTAACGAATTCCAATTATTCCAAGCCTACTAATTTACAAAAGAATACTTGTGCAGTTGTTTGACTCTGACCTCCTAAAGACGAAGTAGAAAATGAGAAAAGTTTGTAGAAGATGACTACAGGCCTGTAGAACTCGGGGGGGGGGGGACCCACTTTTTTCTGAGAATAGTTTTTGCTATAGTAAATTATATTCTTTAGATGCTGGTCCCCCCCCTCACTATTTGATGTTGTAATGTCGAGCACAGGCAAATTCCAGGATTTGGACAATAAATTAATTTTTTTTTTTGCTTCTCAGATAATTTTGGGAATGCCCCCCCCCCCGCCGGCCCCACTTTTGGTCAGTGTAGGTTTTAGGTTTTTTTTTTAAAGTACCCCCCCCCCTTCTAAAACCGTTGCTACGGGCCTGGACTGACAAATTTTGATCAAAAAAAGTTTGCTCGAGTGAGCTGAAATGAATACAAGGCGTTGAATCTGACATAAAGAAAGAATCGATGAAAATGAAATGTTCCACCTTTTATATTGTTAATTAATTACGCAAGGAGAGATTGATATTTACTCTGATTTATTACTGTGGCATAAACCACTTCCGTCGTAAAGTTGCTGTTCGAAACGTTCACGCAATTCTGGATAAGATTTTACACTCGTATATTTGTGTCAAGCATTCTTCATTGAATGTTTGGAATAGTGATATTTCATTAATTATAGTTCATGTACAGTGAAACTCGGTTATGAAGTACTCGCTTTATATATAAGGAGCTTTTGAAGACTTTTCACTATGTTTTTGTACGGATTTAAAGAATCTCGGTTATAAGGAAGCAAAATTGGAGGTCCTAGTGACTTCCTTTTTTAACCAAGTTTAACTGTACATGTATAATTGTATACATATAAGTATATAACATGTATAATTTTATATATAAGTACATTACTTGATATAAGTTTTTAATAAAATGCAATTAAATGGGTATTTTTAAATGAAAAATTAATTTTGATGCATTTGCAGTCAAATTTCCATGAAAATATTCTTGTATTTGAGAAATTCTTGTTCAGCTAATCATATCTCTTTGATTGTCATCGAAGCTAATAGAGAGCTCTATAATGTGAGCTTTGGTCGGAGAAACACCATTGCTCTCATAAAATTTTCAAGGGAATCTCTATTTCTTTTGTGTATTCTTCTCTTAAATCCTGATGCGACATTTGTGAACCAAGAGATTACATTAATCATTAATCAATGAAAGTTACTTTTATTAGGTTTTGATTTGTCTCAATGTAATTACTCTGGTGCTTATTCCCAAGTCAACACGTTGCCATTAAACTGCACATGAACTGTTGGTTTAACGAGGAACTCTTGAGACTTAAGTGGTACTACAGAGACCATCAAACAAATCAATCTCAGTTTGCTTGATAATGTAGCTTCCTTTTTACCATGGAAACCGAATAAGCAAATTTCTACTCAAGAATCAATATAGACTATAGTGGTCCGCGAGGACGGAATGATACACTTACTGTGCATGACATAGGATTTTGTTACTGACAATATATTATTTATACACACGTTAGCAGGTTGACAATATGATGACGGGGAGGGATTTAGGAGCGAAGGTCTCCAGTCTTTTCGATGTGGCCGCTCAGCACAGACCCCTGAAAAACGCTGGTTCCAGTGTCATCTCTTTTGCTTGCGATCCTCGTCATGATGATGATAATATGCACAAAGCCAAAAAGGTATGTTCAGGTGTACATATAGAAAATTTAGTGAATCAAGTTGTACAAATGTGTCACAGCAAAATGACTTCGGTTTTTGCTAGGAATTCGCAGCATATAAAAATCAGCGTAACATCGTTTTGCATTCGACAGGATATGTTAGCTATATGCAAGTATTAATATAATCTTTGTTGTTTATATTTTTAAAGGTTTATTATGAAAATACCTATCGACTAGATCCTCCCGCGAGGTTCAGAGCAGACAAAGTCAAACCCATTATAGAGAAGGTCCTGGAAACTCATCTTGAAGGTATGGTAATTTAGATCCCTTTCATAATCGTTTTCTCTTTGTAGAACAAAATATTATGCTCAATTTGAATTTAATGTGTTAACTTTCATAATATTTACATTTCCAAATAATTTTCCTTGAGATTCTTTGCAAATTAGAAAAAGTTCATGTACTCATGAACTACCGTGGTATGAGTAAGAATATTTCCATGGTGACGTAATTGAAGTAAAAAAATAGTGAAAACTTTTTTTTCAAAAATGATTGTTTCATGACAAAAATATGAGGCATGTCATCAGAAAAATAATGTAAATATAAGAAATGAATTTAATTTTTGAGAATTCATGAGGTACGTGAACTACAATGCTTCGCGCCTGCATATGCTCCATGAAATATGCCGGCGTGAAGCGTCGTAGTTCATGTCCTCATGAATTCTCAAAAAATTAAATTCATTTCTTAAAATAACTCCCCACCCTTCCAAGTAGAGTTTTAAAAAAATTAAATAATAACTTGCACTGAATGAAAAGGCAATGGATCAAAAAATGTCTTTTACATATATTGGGGTTTCTAGTCAGGTAAGCGAAAATTCTAAATGAAAACTTATTGTCATCTTCAAGACATGGGTTCAGTTTTTATGTCCGATGCTAAATTTGTAAATGAAAGAAGACTGCATCTTTTGTGCCAGGAATTGTTTGAAGTGAACATCAATTATTACCACAGACAGCAAATTACTGGATTCCGTGACCATTGTGTTTACCGGAAGTAGAGCAGCAGTATCTCTCAAAGACACATTTCATCAGTTTTCTATTGGTCTATATCGTATAGATTTTATAATATGGCTAGCTCTATCGTTAATTGTTTGAAGGTTACAGACATATTCAATTTCTTGTGCCCCCACATGCATAGACAAGTTCACAACAGTTTAGTACAAAACGTCAACGTATTTTATACTTCTTCATGAAGGAGTAGCTCTGTCGGTAGAGCGTGATCGGAAGGTCGTGTGTTCGAATCACGGCCGCGACTGACCTATCGATAAAAGGTAGCAACTGTTTCTTCGTCAAGCACTCGGTACTTTGAAGTGAAAGTTGCGGGTCTTTCGGATGAGACCTTAAAAACCGAGGTCCCGTGTCACGGTAGGCGTTGGCACGTTAAAGAACCCTCACTGCTCAATGGCCCTGAGTGCCGAGTAAAGGTCTAAATTTGAAGCTCTTCACCGGTATATGGTGATATCTCTATATGAGTGAAAAATTCTCGAATGGGACGTAAAACAACATACAATCAATCTTCATGAAGGACAAGCCGCTCCTCAAGTTGCATCCTCGTAATTGGTTCAGAGAATGTATGGTAACTGTAACAAGTTCGTTCCATTGACATATCACACAAATTACGACTTGTTATATTGACTCGAATACGATATTTGTTCGTGCGACGACAAATATACCAGATATAATTAACCTTCTTAGAAGCTTCTCTGTTACATGCTGGCTTAAATGTCTTATTAGCAAATAAAAGATCCTTGTTGAAGTTGCTAGCTACTCAGATGTTAGCACACAACAATCTTCGTTACAAATTGTATTTTCTTGTAACTGGGATACATCATTCCATGACAATGAATTTCTAGCGACTCGCCTTCCTGTATGTTTTTCCTATATATATATATATATATATATATATATATATATATATATATATATATATATATATATATATGGACTTGTTTGCTGTAGGGAAGAAATATGATCCTGTAGAGTGTTCCATTCTTTCCAAGAAACTCTCTGACGAAATCAAACAGAAAGTTAAGGAACTGGATTTCAAGAGGTCGGTTTTATCAAAACCACGCTGTGTTACTCCATATCAATCTTTGATGAAAATCATGACAAAGTTAAGAATTTCTTAAATACTGTTACATCGTGGAGTTTGAAAATGTATGGTTTCAAAACTTCACATAAAGGGGTTTTCTTTTTCTCAAAGTTTTACAGAAAGTCGCACATTTCTAATCATTACATATTTGATGTTTTACAATGTCGTGTTAAAAGATTCCGTGGCTTTCTGTCTATCTTAGGTATAAATTGGTGTGTACAGTTACTATTGGACAGAAGCACAACCAGGGGGTACAGATCGGCTCACGGTATCTCTGGGACGCAGATAGAGACAACTTCGCTGCCGCTTCATTCCATAACCGCCATATCTTTGCCGACGGCTCGGTTTACGCCCTCTACTACGAGTGATGCAATGTTTTCCGTCATCCATTTGGTCTTTCTGACATTTTCCACAGTTCTAGTCATTATCAGATCTATTTGTACACTTGTGATTCAAAAAATCAAAATTACTGAATCGTTTTATTATGACGTTATTTATTGTACGATTTGAATAAACACGTTGTTTTCAATGATTCTGTGTAATAACGATTTAAAAAAAATTGGCACGATTCTCTGTAGTCATCATTTTTTTCATTTAGATGATACAATCGGTGAAATACATTTGCGAATGACGAATTTTGCATTGATAGTTCTTTACAAATATGCAATTATGTATTGGTAAATCTACGCGTATGCAAAAACTTTAATGCAAAATTTGCAATGCATAATATCTTTACTCTATTACTACACCATTACATGCATAAGTGGAGCATCATCTTAACCACCAGCCATATTGTTTGTCATACTGGTAAGGTCTACATGAATTTTATTTTTAAATCAACCTCGTGAGGTGGGAAAAATAAACGAGCTACATCAATATAGAAAATTACAGTTCTAAATACATGAATTGATCAAATATTATAATGCAACGGATGAAGAGTATCATAGTTGTTTATAGAAAGGCACAAAGCCTTGACTAACTCTGTAAAGTCAGTATTTCGGCCGTCATATTTTGAACAGCAATATCGTGGTATAGTTTATGAAATTCGTCTGAAGCATAAATTCTCTGTCGCTGAGAAAATCCTTTTAAGACCTAAAAAAAAATAAAGAGCAGAATTTTAAAATGTCAGAAGTTCTTGCACTGTAAGATGGTAAGGTAAACATATTATCGCTGCTTTAGAAGGAGATAGTTTAATATAACAGAGTTATTTAGTTGCGTTCTTACGGCTGATCTCCCTTTTCTATAATCCTGATCAGGATAATGACTGTATTCATCACGGATCTGTGCGGCATATTTCCTATAATCTGAAGCAGATAACACAAGTATACAATGAGATTCATTGCTGACGTGTATTTTGATGAAAAATCTTAAAAATGTGGTCCATAGCCTAATAGGACTTGGTCTAAATTCGTACCAAGACAGTTTATGCAGCTGGTCTATTCCATGTTACGTATTAGTATAAGTTTCAACCAAAAAAAAAATATAAAAAATTACGCAGTTGCAAATATACATGTATTTTCATTACTTATATAATGTTACTCAGAAAACTAAGCAAGTGCCTTCAGGGGTTCTACCAAGCACCGCCATGTCCATATCAAGAAAATACTGCAAGTCAGCTTCTGCTCTTTCCTGAACACTGTGAGATTTTGTGAGCAAAATCCAATGTCTTACTTTATCCCTCTCGTCTTCTTTCTATAAAGTGAAATCAACGTTAGAATATGTTCCAGAATTGAAGACCCATTTGAGCCTTCCCCTCTATCTTATCAGAAAAACAAATTTAAAAAAAAAATGACGGTCCCCTCTTTCTGCAGTAATCCTGCTCCCCCCTGAAATACACAATTTTATTTTAATCCTCACCAGGTTAGCACTGGATTCTTTCACAAACTGCGTAAACACGTCCGCACTTCTTTCCTCGTTGTCTGAGGCTTTTGGATCATAAATGATACTAATAAGAAAATATTACATGTATTTAAAACATTTGAAAATATATTACAGCTTCCGCGAATGTATTTTATATATTTTTTACACGGTGTATGTGTTCTACAATAAGCCATATCGTTAATTAGACATTGTAATAATTATTTTTTTTTTCAAATGGAATTTTATAGCTGAAGACCTTTCAAAATTCTTCTAGAAAAGAAGTGTTCGAATCTTACTCGTGAAAATATATAGCTAGTGATACAAGTTCTGGTTTGTCCAATTTCTCATGATACTGGTCAAAATGTTGAAACATTTCCTCCAAGTGGCTTAAGGTGTGGTAGTGTCTCTGACTCTCGCTGTATTTTTGTTCAATGTACCCCCACCACTTTTGACAGACATCCTCCTGAATTCTCAGGATGTCCCTCGCTAATGTCAGCCATCTTTGTCGTAGATCCATGAAGTCCAGTAGGATCCTTGTTACTAGCGAGTCATAGCTGATATGTAGCTGCAAGGTAATTCAAATGATACTAATAGTTCATCAGATTTTTAAAAGCTTGGCAAATATGTACCGATACAATAAACTATGGTATACCGAGGAGATCACTTACTCCCTCGCAAATGTCGCCCTCTAATTTTTGCTACCTCCCCATAGGGTCGAGAAAGTTATATGTAGAAACTGATTGGTACAGTACGGCACGTCACATATTTTCAGCAGAAAAGATATAAACCAACCTCATAAATCGAATGATACTCACCTCCTTCTTTGATTTTTTGTTTAGCACACTGTGCACATGTATTCAAATGCCGAAATTTTAAAAAATAGAACTCGGTGATAATAAATTCCCTGCCACAGTATTCATTCTGTTGTCAGCTATTTGGGATACTTAACTGATGAATGGTGCAACCAAAATGCAATTGTATAAAGTCTATCCACTGCTTCAGAAATCGCTAGACTTTGAAACAGCTAGACATGCACATGTATAACACCTACATGCCGCCGTATTTGGGGAAAACGATTTTCCAACACACTAGACTTTTTCGACAATTTTGTACAAAATCGACAATGGCAGAGGACATGTTTTTATTCTGGGGGTCTGGAAGCGTTCCCTGCTGGAAAGCAATGCTTGCTCTCGAAGAAAAAGGCTTCAATGGATACAAAAACAAGATGATCTCCTTTGACAAAAACGAGCAGAAGGGACCAGACGTCCTCAAATTTAACCCGAGAGGAGAGGTGATTATATTTTGATGTTTAATTACAATTCTATTTTAATTAGTTAACATGATCAACGGTAACTAACCTTGACAACACTGACTGACCCGCATTGACCACTTATTTCACGGCGCTTGAATCTATTGACCTTTCACATGTATGGAGTACTTATATCGTCATATTTAAAATTAAAAATTTAATCACGCATCGGTACAGTCGAAGAATGTCCGTGCATTATTAAGAGTTTTCGAGTTAAATTTAACGTGTATGGGTAAAATAATCAGTGTGCAATAGATTTTAAAAATTACAGATTATATCCAGTTGATAAAATTTCAAACAGTTATAATTTATAATATTAAGATAGGGAGTGGCTATGCTTATAATGTACTTCATAGTCTTGGCATTTTCTCACTGATTGTGTCAGACAAGTCTTATTCCAAGGGGAGAAAAGTCAAGAAAAGGAAAAAATAGGGTGGAGTCATTAAAAAATCTTCTTCTCAAGATCCACTGGGCCAGAAGAAATGAAAGTTATGTGGAGGCTTTCTAGGGTAGTGTAGATTTTTTTTAAATTGTTCAAATCATGGCTATGGGTTAGTATGGGGCTACAATAGGGGATTTAAGCTTTACATCGAAATAGATAGTAAAGAATTCTTTAAAAATCTTCTTCTCAAGAACCACTGAGCCAAAAGAGATGACAACAGCTTAAGTGGACGCTTCCCATTGCAATGTAGATTCTAAATTGTTCAAATCATGTCCCGGGGGGTAAAGTGGGGCCACAACAGGGGATCAAAGTTTTACATTTTACACCAAAGTCATTTTGAGTGTGTGTATGTGTGTTTGGGGTGGGTGGGTTAAAAAAGTCCCAACATTAAGTATGCAACCTTTTTTGAACTTGCGAATGAAAGAAATAAATTGGTTATGTCATCATTCATCAATCAACTCTGAATTTTTCGAATTCTTTAAAAGTTTAGGTAACATAGCTTTGAAATAAATTGTCATTTTCTAAATTTAGAATTACTGGATGGGAGTAAAAGTTTTAACAAAATTTAGAACTTCTAAATTTTGTACTTAAATTACTTCCATCTAGAAAATTCAAAATTTAGAACATGACAGTATCAAAAGATTGTATAGACGCGTTAAATATTAATAGCGATTCTCTGTGTGTATTAAACTTCTTTACCACGCATGGTCACCGATTTTGATGAAACTTTGCCCATTATTACAACTTGACACCAGAAACATATATCAAATTAAATTTCGTTTCTATGTGTCTTGGTTGCCGTGGTAACAGCCAGAAAAGTTGGAAAAATTGAGATTTATAGCTACTTTGAATCTTTATTAAGCCTTAATGAAGACTAAGAAAAACAAACAAACCATTCTCACAAAAACATGACACCTTGTTGCCACTTACGCTATACAGAAACTATTTAGAATTTATCTCTAAGTAAGTGGTAACCATGGGTACATTTGGAATACATTTTAGATACTAAAAAATGCTGAAAAACACTCAATATTCACAAATGATTGATGTTACATGATCAAACTCAATCAACAACCTAAGAAAAACAATAAAAAATATTAATTTTGACCTTAAGTAATTAGGTATTGGCAATATTATTCTAAAAATAACTTTCGTGGTTGCCATGGTAACACAGTGTTGCTATGCAAAATCTGTTGCTGTGATTGGGTTAATGCTACTATCTTGAAGAAAAACAATAAAATTCATGACTAGCACATATGCATACTTAGGACCTTGCAACACCGACAACATAAGAAAAACTGGGATTAATTGTTACTTTGCAGTGTAACCATGGAAACAACATACTAGTTGTTTAAAGTGATATTTTTTTGCTGCTTTAGGAATTTACTAACCTTTTAATCAAGAAACATATTATTTGACTCACCTTGAATAGTACTTATCTGGTAGAACTAAAGTTGAATATCATATATTGATAAAGTTTGTTGAAAAATACAACACTGTTGCTATGGTTACCAAGAAGAGAAAATGTTCGATTTTGTTAATTTTAAGTCAATATAAAACCCTTTGTGCCAGCTTTTTGCATCCAGTTAGAGATTGGGTGGTAGTAAAAATTGAAAGTCAGATTAGTTGTTCATATATATCAATCTTTAAAGTTTTGGGAATCTACATATAAGGGTATGTATCCAAGGAAACAGAATATTTTTCATTTTTTCAGGCATGTTTTTTGCCTTATTTCCATAGCAACGCTCTATATAAAGAATTGAATTTGAATTTTTTGAAATGTGAAAATTAGGGTCACACCAACGCCTTTAAAAATTGATCATCAGTTATACAGAAATATGTATTTTAAAAAGATAGGATAAGATTAAAACACTAAGAGAGTAAATTTAAAATCCCTTTCAGGCTTTGTGGTATTAAAACCATGGCAACCATTTCCAACCTATAAGAAATATCATATTTCGTCCTTGGTATATGTTACAAGGATCTTTTGTCTATTATTTGCTTGCATTTCAACCTATAATTGTTTTAATTCTTAACTGTATGTCTTTATAAAATTAAATGAACAAAATTATTATTTTTGAATACTTTGTTTCCATAGTATTGTTTGTAATAATTGATTAACCAAACATTTTTATCATGCATTTAAGACACCAGGCCTTCAACTTTTAGAAACACTCATTGCCACTTGTTTGCTTTGCTGCAAACGTTAACTGTGGGACTCTGAACATGTTAAAGTCTTGAGGTTCTTTACTAATATTTATTAACCATATATACAAACACATATACAGATCCGTAGGTTCTGGCCCGGGCCGACTCCCCACTCCGCTGCTGTCCCTGACACGTCCTGTCAGCTCGGCATCCACGTGTAGAATAGGTCCGTGCGACTGTCCCGCCGTCTGACGTAATACAGACAGTAAGTTGTACCACGGGACAGTCGCACAGATACTACAATGTTGAAAATGCCAGTTTGGAGAAATTCTGAGACTATGCGTGCCACAGCTCCTATATAAAAGTTCAAGTCATTACAGAGAATGTCTCTTAAAATTCAAAATTTTATTTACAAAAGTTTACAACATAAGTCTCCCAATGAAAGTCATGTACGGCCCTTTAGTTGAACAATTCAAAACAGGATGCTTTGAGCCAAATTTGATTAAAACTAGCCTAGTTGTTCTTGAGAATTATATAAAAAGTTTACAGAAGGACGGACAGCTAGACAGACGGACGGACAATGAGTGATCAGAAAAGCTCACTTTCTGGTGAACAAAAAATTAAAAAAAAAATTATTCTAAACGACAAAAAGAAGGAGGAAATGGTGTTGGTTTAGTGAACGTTTACAGTTCTCCTGGTATCTCTTAGTGTCTACATATAAATAGTAATAGCTATCACCCGTAACACTGATAGTCAAAGATTGGAATCGAATTTACAGCCAGTCATAATCTCTTAGTGTCTACATATAAATAGTAATAGCTATCACCCGTAACACTGCTAATCAACGATTGGAATCGAGTTTACAGCCAGTCATAATGAAAAATACATAGAGTTATGCATTACCATACTAGGTCTTTCCCAGGCGAAAGGTGTAAAAATATAAAGTGAATTTAACACTTTATATATATATCAACATAAGGATCAACATATAATTTATAATACATAATTGTATGATACAGGTACCAGCTTTTACACATGGTACAATCGTAGTGAACGAGTCCAATGCCATCTGCGAATATCTGGAGGTAAGCACACAAACATACATGCTTTCTCGTTGATTTTATTCTGCCTTTTAAGTTTTGAAACATTGCAACGACACATTTAAATGCGTCCTTTTTTCAGAGTACTTTTAAGGATAATGGTACTCAACTCATTCCATCTGATCCAAAACAGAGGGCACTTGTTCTTCAAAGAATGCATGAGGTGAACACAAAACTCTGAAAACCCGTGAAAACTACCATTTGTAGAATTACTGTAAACAAGAAAAGTTTTATGTAAAAAATGTTTTTCCCCTAGGCGGTTGCTAACCTAATGCAGAAGATGCTGCTTGATTTTTTGTATGAATTTTTTGAGACCAAAGAAGAAGACATGGACCCGGTATGAAATGTCATTTCTATGCGTGGACTAAAAATTCACAAAAGGGGGGGGGGGTAGTATTGGGGAAATCTGCCATGAAAGTGATTTATTTTGTTAGTCGTTTTTTAAGTTACTCTGTAGTGATGAATTACTTGTATGTTTTGCAGAATATTTGATTCCTGTAACTAGGCTTATTTGTTTTATTTTATTTTAAAATAGGAAGCACTGGCCAAAAAGACAAAGACTTTGAAAGAAGAGCTAGAAATATGGGACGGTTATCTAGAGAAGGTATGTAAATAAGCTGGCTCTCGCAAGATTGTGATATAGCAATAGTATGTTACATTTACGTGCAATTTTTCAAAGTCTCAAAAAGAGAAATCTGGTTGTTGAAATTAATTTATAAATATGTTGCATGCAGAGAGAGACGGAAATATTCAAATTTTTAGCTTTTACTCGCTGACGCACATTTGTTTCCAGTCCAGTGTTAATGTAACATTCCCAGCAAAAAAATTAAGCAAACTTTACCCATTTTTTTTTTATTTAATGGACAATTTGTCATAAGCATAGCTAGATTTAAAACGCTCATATTCTTTGAACTCTGTTGTAGACAGGCGCCTTTTTAGCTGGATCCGACTTTTCTATGGCGGACGTATACTTCTTCCCTTTCATTGCATTTGGTGTACGTTTGGGTTTGAATCTGGAAAAATTTCCAAATATTAAAGCATACTATGAGAGAGCATGCGCAAGACCAAGCATCAAAACCACGTGGCCCCCTCACTGGAAGGAAAGCAAACCCTCTATGACACCTTTGGCAGGTCGCTTATAGAGACATTTTTTAGAGACTCTTGAGAGAAAAAATACAGTACAGTTTTTTTATATGATTTAATGGTGCCATATTAATAAGAATTTGTCTTATTCAACAATGTGTTCATTCAAGCCAAACGGTGCGATTTCATTTTTCTTTTATAATAAGCATACGTCTATTAGTATTGAAATATTTTTTTCATTGATACATAACTGTAAATAAGAATTACGTGCAAACAGTGACAGGAAAAAATTCATCAATTTGTTTTATTATTTTGTTATTCTTTTGTGTAAAATGACGATCTAAGTGATTATTGAGTAGATGGACTTGTGTTTTTTCTTATTAATTACCACACATTTGCACTTTTTATAGCTTTCGAGAGTGATATCAATATGGAATGTGCTAATTAAGTGGTTTGTTAGTTATAAAAGATTAATCTTTCTTGTAGTACTCTGTATTTTCATTTAACTCGGTCGTTATCAGAATTCTTTGATTTCAATACGCAATCATGCAAGACTGGAGAAATGCTCTGGAATTTAAACTAACACTCCTTGTAGCACCTTTCTCATATATTTTTTCATCATGTATAATTTTCAAATTATCAAAACTTTATTATATACAATGTATTCGCTTGAAAATTGAAATGAATTGGGTAATTCTTAAAACATATTTATAAAATTATTGCCTTGTGATATATTGAAATTTTCCGCTGGCCTCTAAGTTTACATGAAATTTGTAACTTGGATAAACCATGTATATTTTTTTTAAAAAAAAAACTTTCAATCATCATAAGCATAGTAGGGGGAAACCTAAGCTGTAATTAACTATCAGGGTGATACTCATAGTCTAGGAGATGGACTTAGCTATGGGAAAAAAATTAAGTAGATTGAAAAATTTTACGAAACTTCTATATTCTAGTGCGAAATAGCAGAACACAAGATAACATATACTGACTAAATGTCCCATCCCTTGATAGCAAGGGAGAAGGTTATGTGCGATTTCCTGTATAAATATATAAGTAGAGAGTTGTTGAAGGATTTACAGTTTTTCCTCATTTCAGCATCAATACAACTTTTCCCTACTAAAAATTCATTGATGGGTACTTCGTTTTATTTTTCTCTTATGAAAATAAATCCATTGGGTCGCTATTTCAAAACACTACTTAATCCAAAGTTTGAAGTTATCAGTAATAATTATCTAACGTGGTTCATTGGTCTGAACATAAGCGAAGTGCACCCACCGCCTTCCTGATGGACTCCCTCATTTCACTGTATGGATCTCAACATTTTCACAGAATTGAAACGTTGGATTTCAAAATTTTCTGAACAAAATTGCTCAAACTGCTAAGAAAAAGAAAAAAAAACATATAATAACATTATTTTGTGTAACAAAATGTCTCATAAAATATGTCATATGCGTATGGTGCATGCTTATTCATATTTTTTTCTCTGTTTTATGTGAAAAACTCACTTTCCCTTTATTCTGGGGTTTTTTTTTTTCGTTTTTTTGTTTTTTTTTTTTTTTACTAAAGCATGTAATGTCATGCTGTAATTTCTACTTTTACTCCTTTCATTAAGTTCAGAAATTAGAACATGACAGTAGAAACTGAATATGTCCACTCATCTTACTGCTAATTTGTGGGGGAAATAATGAGATGAAAAATTGAGAAATAGAAGCCAACAGTATCACTTTAAACTAGTTTGTTTGCTCTATATTTCATTCACGGATGCTTCACAGTACTCGGGGGTGTAAGTGGAGTATTTTGAAATATTCGATATATTGACGATTTCGAGGTGGCAGCTTTGCTCTACAATTTAAACTCTTTCCTCAAGGTTAACCATTAAACCTCTATATAAACACTGCTGAACTTTGGTTTCTCCACACGGACACATCAGGAACCCTGCAGTAGACGCTTGTAAAAGATGGCCGAGAACATGTTTCTGTACTGGGGGTCGGGGAGCATCCCCTGCTGGAAGGCCATGATCGTTCTGGAGGAGAAGGGATTTGGGGGATACAAGAACAAACTGATTCAATTCAGTAAGCAGGAAAATAAGGGACCAGATGTTCTAAAACTTAATCCCCGGGGTCAGGTAAGATTTAGAAAATAGTTTGGCAGAAATTATTTTTCACTCTTTTTCGAATGGGATATATTTCTTGCAAAGCAAAATTCCGCCTTAATCACACTCCCTAATTTTTAAAAAAAAATCTATCTCTAGATAGTACAAACAATTTAACTTAATGTATTTTGCAATCAGCATTTTTTTTAAATATTGTTACTTAAAAAAATACCTTTAACGAAAATCAAAGGTCAAATTCAAGGACATGAGATTAGTAACAATGTAAAATTTTTTACAAAAGGTCTTTGGTCGAGGAAAACTAATATTTCAAAATTTCCTCATGCTAAATTTGTAATATTTGGCCTTGACAGACGGACAGATAGATGTCGAGCAAATCATAGGGGCTTGTTTCCGGATTGCTAAAATTAATGTAAAATAAATTAATAAAATTTTGAATCTACTTTAAATACATTTAAAAGTTGTTAAAATAAAGATTCTGAAGCTTTCAGTCAAGGAAACCCACGTTTAAAAAAGACGTACCACACCTATATACATAAACTCTACACTGAAGGGACGAAAGCTCTCATCTTGGAAAAAATACCCCCGGAAGACAAGCCCCTATGGAGCAATTGTCGTACAGCTCTGCAGGCTATATGAAAAACAAAGGCAAAGTCTTGCATCAAAATCCCTGTCTCGCTGCAGAACTGTAGCTCTCCGAAATAAAATATTGACAGGTCGTCCATCCCAATTTTTTCAGACCAGCGAACTTGAGTTCGTAGATAGGTTTAAGTATGTGAGTTTCACCGTTTATCTTTAAATGAAGCCAGGATGTTGATGAATTAAGTAATTAAGCCTATTAGACACTCAGAAACAAAATTATGGTACTAGTATACGGGTGATGTATATATATCATCCTTATAGTCAGCTTTGAGGATTGAATTTCGCCAGTTGATATTGGACTGCTTTTCGCCCTTTTTTAAAGAAAATTTTTAATCAACTTTTACATATGACATGTATTGGTAAAATTACCACTGTCTATCTTCGTTACAGGTGCCCGTATTCAAAGATGGCGACATAGTGGTGAACGAATCTAGTGCCGTATGTGATTACTTAGAGGTTAGTGTACAGTGCACTATCCTTTACTTCATACTATTAGTTCTTGCAAATTTCAGCGATTTGGCAATATAAAAGTGCACACATAAATGCAACTGAGCATTTGTTTTTACTATAAATAATTCATTTGTAAGTATAACTATCTGCTTTGCCTCCGACAGAATCCGTAGTATGTTGTAATGTTCGATTACTGCATTCACCAGACGCATGGCCGTAGGAACCGGGAGGCACGGGAGAGGGGGTGCCCCCTCCAATAATTTTGCCGATATATAGAATGCTATAGAAAACATAGCTACTAAATGCCCCCTCAATAAAAACGTCTGATGACCTTTTTTTTTTTTTTTTTTTTTTTTTTTGCTTGTCAAGGAATTTTTGGTAGTTGATAGTGCCCCCAACTGAAAATGTATGGCTGTGCCCCCTAAAACTGAAATTGCTTCCTACGGGCCTGAGACGAAGTTAACCGCTTTACCCACGGAAATCATTTCAAGTCAGGACATTTAAATAATCTGAAATGTGATAGATCATCCAAAAACCGGAGTGCAAATATTGTCCCGTAAGAATACAAATGTTTTGACAAATAAACGTATTTTTCATGTTTACCGGGTCCTTGCTTCATGTTTCCTTAACCTCCAAAACGCCAATATTTTAGTACATTTACGATGCTTGACATGGGCCGCTGCAAAGAGTAGCCGTGGGTAATTCTTTCCTGTATATGCCAATGTCACCATGAATTGTGTTTCACCTGCCGACATTTCTTAATATTGTTACTATGTCTTTTTATGCAGTCATGTCCTGGACACATCATGACCTTGCATTCATAATCAAGAAATTTGGTTCATTTGGTTACATTTAGACAAAATAAATGTTCGGTTTGGGTACGACTCTTACCATTTTCCATTATCACATATTTTAAGACAATCCGATCTATTGGCAGAGTTTAATGCACAATACGTGTATTTTTAAATCCTTTTTTATCCCCCATTTCCATCGTATACATATTGAACAATTGCGTTGAAAAGAACTTTGTTACAACAGCAAATATATATATGGACACTTCATGTCATCTTCGCTAGCCAAGAGTTTTTTGGTCCGCTCATGGGGAGCAGAGCGGACCGAAAATCCTTGGCTAGCGAAGATGACTTCATGTATTGATGCTTCGCACAGTTTCGAGTTTACGGTGTAAGATATATTTCACACGCCCTGCTGTTCCTAAAATATGGATAGCATTGCAATATGCTTTGGAATAATTCAGGGACATTTACCAACCTACATTGATTGAATTTTATAGACTTCCATACATAATATATTTTGCTCTACTTTATTTTCTCAAGACGTGTCGGTGAACATCGTATTTACATTGTACATAATGCATCGTATTTAGAAATGTATCTGTTAAGTCAGTAATATATATTTTATAAATTTTCTGCTAGCTGTTTTATGTAAAACGTTCCTTTTTTGAGGGGGGGGGGGGGTTACTTTATTTTATATTTTAAAGTAAAATTAATTTCTATACAGAGTACCTACAAAGATAAGGGAACTCAACTTATTCCGTCCGACAAAGCCAAGAGAGCCATGGTTCTTCAGCGCATGCACGAGGTATTCACCAAAATATGTTTATATCAATTTTACTGATACATTCCCACCCCTACATATTATTATATGGAATCTACATAATATTATATGGAATTTCTAGTATCTAACTAGGTATTTGCATCATTTTCATCTATTAAAATTTTAAACCAATATCTAATACCAAAAACGACCATAAAGCCAAATAATTTGAGGGGAAAAAATTTGCAAAGGATGACATATGCATGTAGCCCAGGGACGTAGCATCGCATATATATATATATATATATATATATATATATATATATATATATATATATATATATATATATATATATATATATATATATATATCCCTCTTAAACATTTTTTAAAGGCCTCTAACAACATGCAGCAGAAATTGATGATGGATCTACTGTTTTATTTCTTTCAAACCAAAGAAGAAGATCGAAAGCCGGTAATTTTACTTTATAGTAGCTGTAGTAAGAGTTAAGGTAGATTGATCCTCTGCTATAATTTTCCTTTATAATAAGCTTTTTAGTAACAGTTAAGGTAGAGTGACCCTCTGGTATAAAAGTGCTAGCTCTAGAATGTTTATGTTCTGTTTCCTGTATACAACTGCTGCCTTCAGCAATGATTATAGAAAAATGATATACAGGACCATAGTTAGGAGGTTTGATTTTAAAATCTGTTTTATTTACATTTAGAGTATGATATACGATGAGCTGATGTGACAAATTAATTGTCTCTGCGCGCATTCGATCATTGTTTTTTACAAAATTCCTTGTTTAATGATTTTTTTTTTAAATCATTACAATACAGGAAGACTTGAAAAAGAAGGGAGAAGCTCTGAAAGAGGAACTACAGAGATGGGAAGGCTACTTAGAGAAGGTAGAACATCTCAAAGTAAAACTACTAAATCACTACTTACAGTTTGTTTAATGCGATTGCTTCATTTACCACCGTTTTGTCAATAATTACCAGATGAGTTATATATGTAGTAACTGGTCATACCTTCATCGGATTTCATATAGCCTCTTGACTAGTCTCTCTCTCTCTCTCTCTCTCTCTCTCTGGTAAATGAGTTAGTGTTTTATCCTTTTGCAATCTGTTTTTTTTTTTTCAGACTAAAGCTTTCGTGGCTGATTCCAATTTTACAATGGCTGATGTCAACTTTTACCCATTCCTCGCCTTCGGTAAACGCTGGGGACTGGAACTTGACAAATTCCCTAATTTGAAGACCTATTATGACAAAATGTCAGCTCGTCCTAGTGTCAAGTCTACCGAACCACCTCATTGGAAGGAAGATCCACCAAAGGCCACCCCTCTTAAAGGCATCTTCTGAACTCGTAGTTTACCTCCTTAAAAATAACAAAATATTACGTAAAAAATTTCTATGTTACATGACATAGTTTCATGGATGTGATATGGATATGCTTTATATCCTGAATTCTAAAATTGCTTCATCACCATTTAAAAGATATAAGTACTTGTCGTTACAGGATTAAATGTGATAGTAAATGAACAAAGAGTTTTTCTCTTCTTTCTTTCTAATTTATTTGAAAAACAAAAGTAATGTCGAAAAAAGAGATTAACCAGTACAAAAATATGATTGAATTAAGTATGAATACTCACTGAGACCATAAATCGAAGAAATTGAACTATATGGCTTGATAATAGCGAACAATCTGACTAGTGTTGACTAGTGTTGGGTATTTCATTTCAAGATTTCAAATATCAAACAATATTTTGTTTATAAAACAGTATGTACAACACGATATTTCTCATGCCATGATTTGGTTGATACTTGTTTCACAACATTGTCATTTTCATGATATAAAGATCGTTATTCTTTGTAGAGATGAAATATGTACGTATATGCCTGATAAATACTTTATTACGAGAAGACCTTTTTTCTGGCCACTGTAGCGATTCAAAATATTTAGAAGTTCCTGTATTTTTTTTTTTTTTTTTTTTTTTTTGCCATCGAAATATTGCTGATATACTGCAGACTATGCATAAAAGTTTATATCAGTTAATTAGCAAAGACCATAGATTTGACACAGATTAAACCAAAATTCTTTATACGAGGGAAAGAAATGTTGCTACCACTTTGACTTATAAAATCCTTAATAATGGGAAGTCATCAAATAAATTTTAAACATGTGCATGTGTAATGATGCCTCTATCCATTTCGACCGTTGCCTAAAAATTATTTAAAATATCTAATACTTTTTAAAACATAAAGATAAACACAAAGTTAGGTTTTATCTATATCTACACGACAAAATACGTTATACTGACCGTCTTTATGGCTTTACGTTTCATCAAATGCATTGTTCTTATCAACACTGTCAACTTGTTTTAAAGTGTCTTTTTGTTGTTTTATTAAAACTTTTGTCACATTTACATGCAATCGTGCACTCAGGGCTATGTAAAATTGAAGGTGAATGCAAATTAACTATCTGTAATGATTCCATAAAAAGCGAGTCTGAACTATCTGAGACAAGTGAGGTTCTAGCTTCTAAAATCTCATGACATCCAACTTCCTTAAAAAGACAATTGTCTTAGACTTGACACACTCGTTTAAATGTTAAACATCTCTGGTCATGAGCAACCTTGGTGTTGAGTACGAAAAATTTGAATGATCCCTGTCCAAGAACTAAGTATTAAAATGTTATAGCCCAAAGAAATATAACTTCTGAGCTTGATTTATAAAGTATATAGGCCTATATATGAACTTGATTTTATAAAATTAAATTTTCCTGGGATAGGGTTAGAATCAGGCTATACAATCGAGTAACATTACAAGCAATCTAAATTCAAGTTATAATGTCAATGTGGGGTGATTTTATACCGCTGCATTATATATACACTTTGTAAGAAACAGAGTAAGTGTTACTTATATAAATGTATATTATACTTGTACAAGCTTAATTTTGGAATGTGGAATTTATAGTGTACAAAAATAGTCCATCGTAACGTCTGTTGTCTGCATATGTTGTCTTTAGTACAATTCTGATCAAAAAGTGTGCAATGCCATGCATATACATTTAGTTTACTGTGTAACTATGTAAAATTCCACAGTACTCGGGCGTCTAAACAATTACGTAAAAATTCTGCAGGTCTATATTCTATTATGAAATTTGACGACCTTGCTGTGTCATCTAAACTGTTGACCCAGTTAAATTCTATTTAAAAACTTCCCGCTCGAGATACCATACACAAATCCATTTCTGTGAGGGGGCTGCACGCAGAATTATGGCTGACAAGATGTTTCTGTACTGGGGGTCGGGAAGCATCCCCTGTTGGAAGCCCATGATCGTTCTGGAGGAGAAAGGATTTGGGAGATACAAGAACAAACTGATAACATTCAGCAAAAACGAGCAAAAAGGAGAGGATATCATGAAGCTCAATCCCCGGGGTCAGGTAAGTGGGTCCTCATCTGCATACAGCAGCGGGACTAGTAAGTTGGTAAAATGGCGTGGTGGGGGATGCCGATAAATATGTCAATTCACATAATTGATAATAAAATATCATGCAATGCACATTTCATTGTCTAAATGACAGAAGTAGTGGTTAAATCTAAGGACATGAAACGGAGTATACGCTTAATAATAGATTGCATGCATTATTGCATAAACAATGCAATTTGCATTTAAGGACTTCTAAACAAGAAAATGTGAATAAAAATTTGAAATCTGCAATTAATTAAAAAACTCAGTAAATAAAGAGGCACCGGACATTCGGTGTGCATTTTATCATAGTAACGTGCTATATGTATGAATTTATATACAATGGGGCCTATAATAGTATGTCAAAGGTTAGACAATATGAAATATTAAACACATGACATATGGGTCTATTTTTAAGTTTGTAAACATGGAACTTTTATATAAACAATAATGTAAATAAGCACCTATATATTATGAACACATTACAATTCTTTACATCTGAATGGTTAATAAATAAACTTTGCATATTTTCTTGTGAGTACATTCAATAGATATAACAGAGTGCTTTGGTAGGTAATATTTTCACTGTACAAAACACCATAGCTGACATTTTTCTATGCTCCACATTTAAGATGATAATTTTGTTCACCTTTAATAGTGTTACAAAGTTACATAAGATTTCAAAATGGTCCTCAATCAATGTTGCGGTATCCAATCGGAGTTGTAAGCAGGACTCTTCTGTCGCAGCTAGGATCCTTCGACTTGACAAAAAAAAAGTCTTGTACCCTGAAATGACATGTTTGCCGAAATGCGCATCTGGTGCATCAAAATTGGTACCGCATAAGAATTAAATGAAATCAGTTAGAATAATTTCTATTTGGTTCCCTTTATTGGATAATTCTTCTATACAACATAAGACATTTAACACTGTGATATCCACTAGGAGGTTGGTATTTTGACGAGAACCACCTTTGTAACTCTCCCTATAGACATGTCTCTGCATGTTTAGTTGTTTGTTTGTTTGGTTCTGTGGGTTAAACATACTCATTTCAAAAAGTTTCTGGATTTCCAGATCGTTGAACTCTTTGTCAGGAGGCATGTTGTATAGGATCTGCAAGTTCTTCTTTTAAATTTGATATACGCCTTGTTTCCGGTGATAATTTCATCTCCATCAACAATTTCTAGTGTTTTCTTTTATAGAAGTCCATTGGACATAACTTCAATTTCTTTAGTTTTTACCGATTTCATGTCCTCTCTATTCTCTTTAACCGTTTAATGTCCAGACAAGCTGTTAAATATATCCAAAGGAGATGGGCGAACATAGCGTGCAGAAAGCCTATAGCTTCAGATATATAAAAATCATGTTCAGTTTGTGCATTTAGTATTTAGAGTAAAGTTCTCATTATTGAAATTTATGAAATTATGATAATCAAAACTTTTCTAAGGAAAACTTTCTCGGCAAAATTTATTCTTTTATTAAAAAAAATTAATGTGGTATTCGTGGGGTTCGAACCCTAGCAATAAAAATCCTGAGTATGATTTTCTTTCGAGACTAGCACGCTAACCACTAGACTACACAAGTACTGATTAAGGGTGGCATTTAAATCATGTTTGTGATATGATCCTTGACTTAATGGACTTCGAGTATTTCTCGAAAAGATGCGAATGTTATGTCATAAAAGTATATTTTTAAGGTATAGTGGGTCATTGCTCCATATTTTTGGTAACCAAAAAATATATATTTTTATGCAAACTTTGAGGATTAACTTTCAAAAAGGTGGAGCGAAGACCCACTCATATCGAAAAATAGTGTTATAGTATTAGAAAACGACTCTTTTTGTTCGCTTTAGTGTGTGTCTAATATTTCACAGGCAAATAATTTCAATCTTTGAGGGATTTTTGCAAATTGTAGAGATTTCACATAAAGTAGATTTTAATGTTAGACGAAATATCAAGGAAAATTTTGATATAATTGAAATTTAATTTTTCATCTTCATGTTTGTCACAATATAGGCTTATCGCTCGTAATGTTCACCCGTCTCCTTATCAAATATGTGCAGACAAGCTGTTCAAATTATGAGCAACTTTTATTGTCAACATTAATTAGATGAACAAAAACCATAAACAAGGCAATCTCCATGACTTCATTTTGACTGATACTTTTTTAAAAAAAAGTTTTCAAAAACAATTCAAAGATTTCAAATATGTGTTAAAAAAAAAAAAACAAACAAACAAACAAAACAAAACTGTTTGATAATTGTTCAAATGAATATTCATACAACCATCCATGGGAGAGCATTTTTATTGAGTCAAACAACAAAAGTTTCTTCTCTGGAATAACAATAAGTTATTATGCAGATAACTTCCTGAAATAGAAGTTTTTGTCCACTTATTGACATGTACTATGTTCTAATTGGTACCAAGCCATAGTAACGCTATATACAGTTTAAAAAAAAAGAATATTAAGGATATTAAACAATACAAAGAAATATATAATACTAAATAGTCGCCTGTGTAGCACAGTGGTTGGAGCGTTTGCTCTATAGTCGCAAGAGTCGGAGTAAGGAATTACAAGTAATCGTTCGAATCCACTGCGGGACATGGAGACGGTCCTTCGGATGAGACCGAGGTCGCAGTAAGTGCTGGCATATGAAAGATCCCTCTGCTCAATGGCCCTAAGTACTGAGTATAGGTCTAAAATTTGCAGCCCCTCCACCGGCAAGTGGTGGCGTCTCAATATAAGTGAAAAATTCCCGAAAGGGACGTTAAATATACAAACAATAATACTAAATACAGTACATGAATTAAACACCCATAAAAAAGTTTCTGAAAATAATTTATTTTCAAGCCGCCTTTTGGAGTATATTTTCTGGTCAAATTTCAATGAAATATCTACTTAGGATCTCAACATTTTTGTGATGGATCCACAGCTAGATAATAAATTTAACTATTAGACACATTTTCTATCTGTTCACAAAAACATACAGGGAAGTCCTGTTAACAGCAAGATTAATCAACTTGTACGTATATGTTGTATATTTTTTTCTGTTTTTCTAAAAGGTCCCAACATTCAAAGATGGCGACATAGTGGTGAATGAATCCAATGCCATATGTGATTACTTAGAGGTAACGATTTGAGAATTTTAAGACATCCTTCTATTCAGTTTCACATTTTTAGTAAGGAATCTATAAAAAGAAATAGTTTACATATATTCAAGAATAATTTCAAGAAATGAAATAATAGCTTGATTTAATATGATTTTATTTGCTTTGTTATAGAGTACTTACAAAGGCAGTGGTACAAAGCTCATACCTGATGACAAAGCCAAAAGAGCAAAGGTTCTACAGCGTATGCATGAGGTAAGTAGCAGTGTTTTATTGGTTAATTTTATAATAACCCTCTCCACCTCCCATAAATGTGATGAGGTTTGTTTGGTCAAATTTCAGTGCTTGATAGAAAAATGGTTTTAAATAGCTGATTTCAAGATTTCAATCTTAAGTACAATTTTAATATTGTAAACTTATCCAAGCATTTAACTGTTGATCCCTCAGAATTAGGTATTCATGGATGTTTTGTTATATACAGTTTAAGCTGCATCATAGCATTGTAGTCTCAGTATACAGACAAACGTGATTTGTATTCTCTTTATTTCACAAAAGGCTGCTAGTAATCTGCAGCAGAAGATGATAATGGACGTAATTTACTACATGTGGCAAACAAAAGAGGAAGACCAAAAGAAGGTAACACCTTTCATTTTGATTCCTCTATACGCCGATGTGTGTGTCCATTTTGTAGGTATTTATAAAATTGTTTTGGGAATGACCATAGCTTTTAGAATTAAAAAAAAAAACAAATACAGAAAACACAAAATTTCAAAAAGGGGGGGGGGGGGGTAACGAATGTATTATCCCTTTTAAGTAAAATTAATATCATTCTGCGTTGTGTACCCTCTTCGTTAATTCGTACTATTTTTATTTTTCTCACCCTGACCCATGAGATTTATATTGGGGATCTCCAAACCACCATTCCGCCGAAAAAAAATTAAAAAAAAAATACAACCTGTAGAACATAATTGTAACATTGTTTCTGGAAAGATATTGTTTTACACAAACTTATAATTTTACCTTTTGATATTAACTACCGCCATCATGTTCATTCATTCCAAGTGTAGTGCTTCGGGCTATCTGGACTATAGATTTGAGCATAGAAAACTCAATAATTACAGCTCCTAAACAGTAGTGCAGGAGTCGCAGGGTCGATTCTCCGTCCAGCCATAAATGTTCTCCTTTCCTGTTACATGTTACATTCGGTGCTGTTGATCATCCCTAGACTAGCAGATGAAAGTCCCGCCAGGGGAAAAAGAAAATGGGTTGTGTGTCCTATAGAGGTCTTCAGCAATTTAAGGGGGGGGGGGCTATATATGGACCGTAGATATCAGCCTGGATAGCTCAATGTTTAGATCACCTGACCAGTAATGCAGGGGTCCCAGGTTCGATTCCTGGATCATCCATAAATTTTCTCCTTTCCTGTTACATAAGGTTTCGATCATTTCGTCCTCAATTTCCTTTTTAAATTACAATAAATGACTTTCTCTGAATTCACCAATAAGTATCGGGCGTACGCATACATGCAGTATAATTCCGAAATATTTTTTACAATCGTATTGGATACTCGTGAAATTTATATCATTCTGAGGGGAGATCAGTTTTATTTTGGAAACATTCTCAATGGGAATCTCCTAAAAATATATTTGTTTTACTCATGGATTTGAGCATATTGATTACTTTTCTAACATTTATTTGAGTTATGTGCTGCTAAATAATTTGTTTACACAGCACTTTTGAAATTATGTGCAATTGTACTTTTTATTTACTGCATCGTCATTTTGCTGTGATTTTAATAATTACATCTCTGATCAGTATGTATTTCACTCATTCATTAATAATGGTTTACTGAATTGACAGAATACAATTAAAATTTTTGTAAATTATATGTACATTATAGGAAGAGGTGAAAAAGAAGTTTGATGCACTGAAAGAGGAGTTACAACGGTGGGAGGGCTACCTAGGGGAGGTAATTATCAGTCTAGTATTCTTTGTTTGTAACACTATTTAGATAGTCAGAAGTTCACTGGGTAAGATACATTCTTCATGTATGAAATTCTTAGAATTCAAAGTCACTGATATTCCTCGTGTGTCACTTAAGACCTGTGCTATCACATTTTACACATCTTGACATGTATTTTACAGACAAAAGCCTTCCTGGCAGGACCAGACTTCAGCATGGCCGATGTCTACTTTTACCCGTACATTTTCTTTGCTGTTCGTGTTGGACTGGAGCTGGAAAAACTCCCAAATCTGAAGGCATATTTTGACAGGTTGTCAACTCGTCCAAGCCTCAAAAATACACAACCCCCTCATTGGAAGGAGGAGCCACCCAAAAGTACCCCGCTAAAGGGACTTCTGTGAACAATACTTCTCTTTCAATATTACTTATTTTGTTGAAAAGAGTCGTTCGTTTTTGCCATTATTGTGTAATATATTTATAAAACTGAGTCCTGAACATTTTTTTTCTATATCAATTTTGAACGAGTGTATTTGTACATACACTATATACTGTAATACCGGTAATTGAGATTAAAGCTATGTGTGTGTGAGGGTGTGTGTTGTATTTCTCATTCTCATTAATTATATAAGAGGATTGTCGCAAAAAGTCATAGACAATGTTTATAACTTAGACATTCAACAAATACTAACCAAATTTTGAATGACTATCATTTTATTAAATGTTTCTTAAAATAGTGAATTTTTAAATGAAAATCTTTCCTGGTAATAATATTATGAAGATTTTTAAGAAGGCCCATATAGTCTATCGCCCGGAGAATTTACTATTGCAGTATTGCATGTTTCTCTGATAATATGTATAATATCAAATTCAAATTTTTATCAAAGCAATCAGAAAAAAGTGAATTAATTTCTATATCAAATTTTTACGTAAAAGGCATCAGAGATAGAGTAATGGAGACACAAATTTCAAAGCGACACTAAACCGAAATTGCTGCAGATAACGTTGTTAAACGCCAAGGGAAAAGAAAAGACTACGCACTCCAGAAGTCTAAGAGAGGGACGTTCGGCAACTCTGCAGGGAAATAGGCAGGGGATTTTTGAAATAAATGAATAAATTATTCTATTTAATAAATTCAATTCCGTTGAATTTTTTTTTCATTGTATTGCATGAATACGAGGCAAAGCATGATAATCGTGGTACATGTATAATTACTTTTAAACCTGTGTCGATAATGAGATTTATGTCTCTCCACTAAAAAACTGGATAAAATTCAGTCATAGATTATCCTTAAATTTAACATTGAGGGGGATATGACAGCAGTGAATACAAAAATGTAGTTCAGACTGGGTGAATAGTCCCCGGTGTTATCTAATTATAGATATACCTGCGGTTTATCTTGTTAGTCGCGCATCCCTTTCATCATCCGTCTGAATATATACATTTTCAACTCATATCTAAATCCGATGGAAAATGTTAACCAAACGGCACAAAACAAAATTAATTGAGGCCACGGTCAACAATCGAGAGCTGGATCCCTTACAATTTTTAGGAAATGGATAAAGAAAAAAATGTGTATTGATGGAGTGATGGAGTCATTCCACAGCTTTCAAGAGTACTTAAATTTGGCCAAATTTGATCATACTTGGAAGCCATTGTAGTGTTCCAATAATGTTGCCATAACTTTGGTAATATCACTGAAGGTATTCGAATAAAGTCCTTTCTCGGCCGCCGCAGCGATTCAAAAATTCATGCAGCCGAAATACGTCTGACAAAACGCAGGCTAGGCATAATAATCAGCTATATTACGGGCTTGAGACAGATGTGGCCACAATATCGGTTTAGATTTGATAGGAACTAGATGATAACACAGTAATATACCTGTACATGTACGTGTTTGCCGTAAAATGCCTTTACCTGGGTAGCAAGGAAGCCACAAAAGTTATTCTATAATTTACATAAAGTATGTATGCATGTATCAAATTGAGCATAAAATGCAGGTGAGCATATCACCATGGGCTTCTTGTAAGTATTACGATTAATAAATTCATTACTGGTCTGGAATAAGAAAGTGTGATGAAGTATATATTCAGATTTTAAAAAAGGAAGGTTTAGATAAACGTTTTTCTGCAAAGAAAAAAATCGGACAAGATTGGAACTTGAAAACGTCATATTTTTTTTTTACCCCCATTTGGCCCCAACGGTGAAAATGAAAATTCCGAAACCTTATTGCACGTTTGCAAGATATCCAATCGAGAGGCTACTGCGTAAAATGTATTAGTTCTGGGCACCAGGTTTTTGACCCCAAAGGTGAAAATGAAAATTTCTCACCTTATTGCACAACCATGCATAAAACACCACCAATTAACTTCTAAAAGATGGAATGCCTACTATGTAAAATGTACGAGGAGTTCTGGGGACCAGCTTTTTGTAAAATGAAAAACACCGTTTTTCGACCCTCATTTGGCCCCAAGGGTGAAAATGAAAATTCCGAGAAAACAAGCAAGGTTTAATTAGCTTGTCACATTTTTTATTTCATCATGCAACCATACGTAAAATCTTTCAAACACGGAGGCAAGCTTATAATACAAAATTCGTATGTGATACAAATTCAGCATCTGTTGAGAATCCACGAAGAGTGAATCTAAACATTGTTAAGAAATGTGTTTTTTCTCAAAAATAGTAATCAGTTTCATCTTATCGCAGATACCTACCTACCTAGCTAGTCCTTGTTGCACCCGGAGGCACATATAGGGCAAGGACTAGGGATTTCCATTCTTCTCTGTTCTTAGCTGTCCTCTCCACTTCTCCCCAGGTAAGATTCATGTCCTTCAGTTCTTTTTCAGCTGTTCGCCTCCATGTTGTTTTTGGTCGGCCTTTCCTCCTTTTCCCTTCTTAGCGCCACTCTTGTGATATCGTTTGTTGGTTTTCTTAAGACATGGCCAATCCATCTCCATCTGTAATTTCTTAGTAATGCCCTTACATCGCTTGTTTTCGTTGTTTCGTATAGATTTTTATTGGTAATTTTTACCATAGGCACCCCCCAGCTTAATTGTTAAAAAATATATATCTACTATACTATAAACATAACAAGGCATGAAACTAGCCTCCATGTTGGATTCCGCTTAGGGGCACTTTCTGACTAATAGCGAGAATTTCTCGCCAAAGTCGGACTTTTCTCAGACATCGGAAGCTGTCATTTATTGAAATAAAATCAAATCAGGTTGAATCTTGCCATACGTTCGCCGCATTCACGCGTTTTCTAACATTTCTGTGCAAACCAGGTCTCCTCGGCCGGAACTTGAAGGTTTATGGGGGTATAGATAATTCGATCGTCGTTTACCTTCAAAGTGTGTTTCATAGAATGCTAACGTTGTTTTTCTTAACGAACAAATGCACAGTGAAATAAATATAATTTTATATCAGTAGGACCTTGCAAGATTTTATATACATTATCAGGCCCATAAAAAGCTGTTTCAGTTTGTGTGTACATGTATGTGTGTGTTGGGGGGGGGGGGGTCAACTGAACAACAATATTCTTTGACAAGAAAAAATATTTTTGAAGGAGGACAATCCTAAGTTAGATTTATTTTCTATTGCGTAGTATTAGTATAGTCATATATTGGCAAAATTATAGAGGCGAAAGGAGGGGACACGTCTAAGCAGGTGAGTCTTCAATACAGAGGTGGATTTGACCGGGGGGGGGGGATAAATGTATAATAGTTAATAAAAAATATTATATAATAAAATAAAGCAGATATTAGCAGAAGTAAGTTCTGCATGAAAAATGTGAGATGTATTGGAAGAAAAGGAACTATACACGGGGAAATGACTGGGCTCTTTTTTTCTTTTTTTTTTCTTTTTTTTTCTTTTTTGAAAAAATTCAATGATGGTACAGAGACACCAAAACAGAATCATACAATTTAGAGGACGACAATTTGATTCTAAAGGAGGGAGGGGGATGGCATTTTTTTCTAGTCAAAATGTTTATTTTCATGTCATTGACTGAGGACAGATTATTTATTTCCAAGATGATTAGGGAAAGTTTTTTTTTTTTTTATTTCTATACTACACCATAAAAAGTGGGTAGGATAAAATAAAGAAAAAATGAGAAAATTAGAGTGTGTGCGGGGAGCAGGGGTTCGGGGGTTACCACTCAAAATCAAAAAAGTTATTTTCAAGGACAGATTTTTTTCTCTCCAAAATCTGCCGCATCTATCAGAATCAAATAGTTGTCCCTTCAGAATTACGCATCACGAATTGAATCCTTTACTGTTGTTGTCATGTACAAATTCACACTTTGTAATCATGCACATGAAGAAATTAATAGTTTATCACTTTGTGTATATGTTTGTGTTTATATGTGGTTGTCGCTGTGAAATCAGCGCGGGGCGGGGCTCAGGAACTTCATTGTAATGACATATACATAGTAAATTAGTCTATTAAATGACTCCTAATCTAGCTGCCTTTGCATTTGTTAACTGGGCTGGAGCTGGGTTTTGGTCAAAACTAATGCCATACGTGCTATCATTCTCAGTGGAACACTGTAATAAAATCCACAAAGAGTGAGCTGATGAAGTTAGTTTCAGCTTTGTAAATATTAATGGTGATGTGAACATGCCAAAATATATGTTTAGAAATAATTACCCTTACAAAATATTCAAAACATCCAAATCACTTATATAATATTTTGGTGATTTTTTTGAACTTGTTATTAAACTTTAGAACTGTCCCATTTTATTATTGTATATCTGTATGAATCCATCTATAAGAAATAAGTCTCGCTATCAGGATAAAATATATACATGTACTTGTATATTTATTATTTTGCAATAAATGTAATACTTAATACTTTACATGTATGTAAGTAACACACACTTTCCATAGACGAATCAGGGATTTCAAGGGGGGGGGGGTAGTAAAAAAAATTAAGTGACAATAGAAACTCATAATACTTGTTATTAAATTAAGTGTTAAAGCATAAGTTTTATCAAAACTTTCTTTTATATTGAATAGTTTCCCCCTTTTCCTTTTTTGAAAGGGGTGACCCCCCCCCCCCGGATAATATGCCACTGTCTTCAAGACTGCTTATATATATATATATATATATATATATATATATATATATATATATATATATATATATATATATATATATATATATATAACCCATTGACACTGCTGACTTGCTGACTTATAGACTAACCGGTTGCCAATATATTTTTCATAAGTTCAAGTATCTGCTAGACTTCTTTTTACCAATAGAAGTAATAAAAATGCAAAGAAAAATCGTATGTCTTACTGTTATACAAATACATGTACATATATTTCACAATACATTTTGTTCATTTTTGAAAATCAAAGGTTAGTTTTCCATGAAATGTTGTTCTCGTACATTGAAGGTAAACGACGATCGAATTATCTAGGTAACGGGACGTTTCGCCCCTATTGACGTTTCGCGCCGAGACCATTCGCCCCAAAAGACGTTTCGCGCCGAGACGTTTCGCGCCCAATTTAATCTACATTGTCTACAACGATATATTACGATGTTTTAAGATAAATATTTATATATAAGGTTAATATTGACTGTGT